CTTGGTTGAAGACAGCAGTTTATAAATCTGAAACTATCAAGCAGACAATGTTCTATGTCAATAAACAAAAGTCATCTTGGCTGAGCTAGAAATGCAGTGCTAAATAACATGCTGAAATGTATTCATCAACTCTAGCAGAAAAATATTAAACCAATTTCTATTCATATTTACTTATATGTGATTAATTGGCCCCTCATGAAGGACTAGGAGGAGACAAAGCTTAGAGGGACAACATTCTGTTTGCAGAAGATCACGAGTTCATTTTCTGGATCTCCAGTTAAAGGATTTCAGAAACAGGATGGGAAATAGGATAGGCCACTGCTAGCCAGTGTACATAATACTGTGATAAGCAGACCAGTGGTCCAGTTCAGCATGGTTGCAGTTTCTTCTTGCTAAAAGAGAAGTGAGTAATTCTTCCTCCCTGGAGAGTCAAGTTCCTCTTAGTAAGCCTTTTACCCAACATATTTGGGAAGCTATAAGCCAGTCTCAAATATTCCACTGTTGGGCAAGAGGATCGAGAAGGCAGTGGCTTCCCAACTCATCTGGATGATACTGGTTGTCCGTATGCATTTCAGTCGGGACTTGGGACTGATCGCAGCCATGGTGGGTCACGCTGCGCATTGTTTGGGGTGCAGGGAGAACAGCTCTTCAAGAGGCTCTGGAATTCTCAGCAGCTTTTGGAACCATCAACCGTAGCATCTTTCTGGACCACCTGGCAGGGCTGAGCCTTGGGGGCATATATTGCAGTGGCTCTGGTCTTTCCTGCCAGAGTGTGTCCAGATGGTGGTGTTGGACTAACGACCAGCACTGTGGTCATGCATGGCAGGCATGCAGGTATATATTTCTCAAGCACTACTTTGCACCCCCCCCCCCAAGCTCTCCGGTATCTGTTGCCACCAAACAAGCTGGGCAGGGGGGATAACCTTCTAGGAATAGGATCTAAAGTTCCTACAACAGAAACCTTCTTCCTACAGGATCCCAGGATGGTTCCTGCCTGATTCCTAGAACCTTCCAGGGATACAGTTCTTTGGCAGGAACAAGAGAAGCCATTCCTAGAGTTTGGTTTGGAGGATTTTTTTACCCCCATTTTTTTTTCCTGGTTTGGCCATGGCAGAGGAAAGGGAAGTGTTAAAACTGTTTTAAAACTGTTTTAAAATGTTAGAATGCATACAAAAGAAGCACACTGTGAATGAGATGTCTGCAACTGTGCCTTTTGGAGACACAATCACTTGTACAGGTCCATTTTTCAGGCATTGGGGGGGGGGACTTTCTCCTTTCTTGCTCCCAAACATTGAAATATACTCACTCTGGAGCTGAGCCCAGTCACCCCCATCCATGTTCAGCAAAATGGTCAAGTTATACCTATTTAACTTGGCCTGTTAAGTTGTTGTTGTGGTTCTTAAGTTAGTTTTTTATGTTTTACTATGTTTTTATTTGATTACAGTGTTTAACTTCTAAATTTACTGTAAACTGGTCAGCTTCAGAAACAGAGCAAAAGTATAAGAAATAAATAAGGATGCAATCTTGTGTTTAGACAGAAAATAGTCCTACAAAGAAAGCCAGTGTGGCACAGTGGTGCAAGTACAAAACCAGGACTCAGGAAATCTGAGCTAATTAAATTACTTTGAGCCAGTCAGATTCTCAGTCCAACCTACCTCAAAGGTTGTTATTGAGAGGATAAGAGAGGAGGAGGAGAATTATATAAGCTTCCTTGAGTTCATTGAAAGGAAAAAAAAGGTTGAATATAAATATAATTAATAGTAAAATTACCCAGCATCCTGGTGAGGGAATCTTGTGAGCTTTAGGATTTCTGTCTAAACATGCAGAAGATTGCACCCAAAATGTTTAACCCTAAACAGAATAATGTACTACATATCTATGCTTTAGCACATAAGCCACGCTGGATCAGAACAAATATCTATCTAGAACAGCATGCTGCACATACAGTGGCAAACCAGCTGTCCACAGGATCCCTCATGCAGGATGAGCACAAGACCTCCGCCTGACCAAGCTCCTCAGCAACTGGTGCGGGCAGGCATGCCACCAGTTGTAGCACATGGCCAGCAGCCACTGATAGCCTCCTCTCCCATTAATCTCTCCAATCCAGTTTTAAAACCATCCAGATTGGTGGCCATCACCAGTTCCAGTGGCAGTGAATTCCACAGCTTAACTGTGGAACTATACAGCATAACTATATGCTCTGTGAAGTACTTCCTTTTATCTGTCCTAAAACTCTCACCAATCAATTTCATGGGAAGACCCCAGGCCAAGTGCTATGGGAGAGGGGCTGAAATTACTTTTTCAAAAGACTTTTGGAAGTTCATTAGCCAAAATTCTCTAGGCAGCCCACAAAACAAAATAAAACTGAAAACAGTGTTGTCCAGTGGTTAGTGTGTTGCACTGCAACTCAGTAGTGGGTTGGACTGTGACTGTAGTCCCCACTTGACCATGACGCTCAGTCGAAGTAACTTTGGGCCAGTCATTCTGAGCTTGACCTACTTCACAGGGCTGTTAGGTCTAGGATAACACTAGAGATGGGGAAAAATAAGCATGCTGGCTCGGGCTCCTTATAGGAGAAGGGCACGATATAAATATAATAAATAGCCATAAAATAAAAATTGCATAGTAAAACATAATATAAAAACTGCATGTTTAAAACCAAAATAAAAATGAAGTTAAAATCAAGATCAGTGCAAAGATCTAATTGCTAGATTAATAAAGACGGAGAGAAGTCACTAAAAGGCACATCACATGTACCTTAACAGTCAATAATACCTATATCTTAAGAGGAATGGAACAGTTAATTTGCAGTTCATGGAAAGAAAAGGAGGCAAGAAAAAATCCAATTAATAATTGTCAGGTACCAAACCATTTTCTTCACATGCACATTCGTACATAGGAGCATTAATATTCTCATAGGATTTAATTCACTACCAAGCAGCATACACAGCAGAACAATAAAGGGAAAGCCTGGATTCTGAAGTGCATTTGGCAAGAGTCACTCAGTTGTCAGGCTCAGAGGCAGGCGGTTTCCTGCAGGAACAATCCATCAAGACCTTTGCCAGTCATCTGTTATGGGATCAGTAGACACTCCCTTGGGGAATCCAAGTTTCATTCAGAAAAGGAAGAGGGGTGACAGGAAGTTAACCATTGTCTGGATTCCAGTGGCCAATTCATACATTACATATCCAAAGATCACTTCACTGCAGAAAACTGCATGTTCTCTGCAATGTACAGGCCATGCACATTCTGCCACATACACAGGAGAAGGACACAAAATACCTTCATATACATTATCTCAGGAATCCCTGCAACGATTCTTTAAAGATAGTACTATTATCCCCATATGGCAGAGAGGAGCAGGAAGCCTGTGTGCCAGGACTTTGTCTAAGGCCACCGAGCAAGTTCATGAAGGAATTAATATTTGAACCAGAGATTTCTTGGGTAAGCCAGCATTCAAGATAGACACACACAGCAAAGCTCCAACTAGCTGGAGATTCCTATATGGTGAAATAAATGTGTGAGTTCATTGCACTGTTTCCTACACAGATTGGAAAACCTAAGGCACATCCATGTGTCAAAGGAGCTGCTACAAGCGAAGGTTCCCCACAGCATCCCTATTTCAACACACATACTTGCCTCCCTTAATGTACAAACCAGCCCCGGAGAATCCTGCATAAACTGATGAATATAAAGAAACAATGAAACACAGTTTGCCCTTTGAAAAGAGGAGACACTTCCAGAAAGCCCAAGTTCCACATAATCCTAAGGAAAATACATCAAAATGACTCGTTTATTTAAGAGTCCTAGAAACAAGTCTACCTTTCCTATAAATAGCATGAGGGAAGAGGAGAATCCTGCCTTCCCTTTAAGATGCACCCCCAAACTCCAGACACAACCCAGCATACACAAACTTCAGGGATGATGGGAGAGAGAAGAGCAACAAGGGGGAGACAATACTATCTCAAATAGGGGAAATTGGTTATTGCCACCACCCTTCACAGGAAAAGAGAAGGCGTGTGCACACAGAGGGGGAAGCACAGTCCAATCCGATAGAAAAAACTGTCCCAAAATCAACTGCTGTGCATGACTGCTATTTTAACAACAACAGAATGAATATTGTCAGAGCATGATTTGTGTGTAAATTAGTATTACACTGCATGCATATCCTGTCTTTTTGCTGCTTGCAAGGACCCCAAGCCAGCTTACATAATCCACCTCCACTCCAATTTATCCACAGAACGGCCAACCTGTGAAGAAGGTTAGGCAAAGTCTGCAACTGGCCCAAAGTCATCCAGTGAGCTTCATGACCAGGTCGGGACTCGAACCCAGATCTCCCGGCCATCATTCTCACCACACCACGCCGGCTTGGCCTTTCAGCCAATCGTATTTCTATTTTAAAATTAAAAGTTCAAGTCAAGAACAACCTGGGACCTCCCCGCAAACCGCACCCCACACATTGCATCTTGCCAGAAAAGGAGTTTGAGAAAAAAAAGAATATACACCTCTCCCTATCCCACTACTTCTATTACAGAACGAGGCTGGGGGCCTCATGTCACCCCCCGCACCACACAAAATTCCAAAATTAATTCGGCAGGGAGAACGTCCCCATCCTACTTCCAAATTTAATGACTACATTAGATTTCGGGGGGGGGGGGGGAGGAGGGAGCCCCTAATCTCATGGCCTGCCTGCTGTTCACACTATATAGGCGATGATGAGGGTGGGTGGGTGGGAGGCCTACCGCGGGGGGGGGCACTGGCTGTTCCGGGGACTGAACGGGGAGGGGGGAGCCAGGCATCCCCTCCGCATGCAGCCCCCGCTTGGCATCCCGCCCCGGCCGCCGCCGGCTCCGCTCGAACCCGGAGTGACCCGCAGCGGGGCGGGATGGCGCCCGGCGGCTCCCGTGGCGGCGCCCGCCGTTGTTGTTTCCAAGGCGGCGGAGAGGCGCCGCGCTGCTCCCCGGCTCTCCCTCCCTCGCCCTTCGCGGCGGTTCGGTTACCTGTGAGGCGGATCTTGATACTCGAGCCGGCCCGCCGGGTGCCTGCGTTCGACATCGCTCCCTCCAGAGACCCCGACCGGCCGACGGACCAGGTGGGAAGGAGGACCGGGTCGCAGCGGGGGGTGGAGGGCGGGCGGAAAGGTGGGCTCAGCCGCCGGCCACGATCGCCCCCATCCGGGACCCGCCGCCGCCGCCGATCCCCCCTCGCTGGTCCTGCTCGCTCCCTCGCCGGCCTTCTCTTCCCTCCGTCCGCCCGCCCTTCGTTCTTCCCTCTCTCCGACCCGGCTGTCCGCTCCGCCTTTCTTCCTCTCCCCGCTCTCCTCAGGCGGCGGCGGCGGCGGAGGCGGCGCCGCCTCACGGAGCTTCGACGCCCGCCCGCCGGACGCGAAGGGCGACTGCGCGAGCTCGCGCCGCCCCGGCGCGCGCCTCCTCTCCTGCCCGCCTGCCCGCCCTCCCCTTCCCTTCCCTTCCCCCGAGCTCGCACCTCCTTTTCCCGTCATGCGTCAGGAGAAAAGCGAGGGCGGGGGGCTGCCGCCGGGTGACGCGACGTCACGTCGTGCGTAACAGCTTGGAGGGAGCGGCCATCTTGAGGCGGTCTTGGCTGCGGCCGTGCGAGTCCCGCTCTTCTCGCCTCGGCGCTGCGAGTGAGATGAGGCGGCGTGAGCGCGCCCCTCGTGGAAGGAAGGGGCATTGCAGCCGGTTTTGCGGGGTGGCGGGGAACGTCTGCTGGATTGGGACCCAGGAGACCTGCGTTCCAGTCCCCCCCCCCCCGAGCCATGAAAGCCGCTGGGTGACTCTGAGCCTAACCTACCTCGCAGGGTTGTTGTTGCTGTGAAGATAAGTTTCGGGAGAACCTTGTAAGCCGCTTTGAGTGCCTTGCAAAAGAAGAAACGGCAGGATGTAAATGCAGTGTAATTCTCCCGTTCCTCCTCCATCGGCCCTGCTCAAAGGCCCCTTCAAGGGGTCTCCCCACATTTTCTTTCCCCCCTCTTAAGGCTAGAAAGCCAAGGGGATCACCCAATGAAACTGATGGGTGGGAGATTCAGGACCCATCAAAGGAAGGTCTTCTTCACACACCACCTGGTTAAGTGATGGATTTTGCTTCCACCAGATGCCAAGATGGCCACCTATTTGGAAAGATCTAAAAGGTGACTAAAAGTCATGGAGAAGGCGGCCCGAAGTAGCTACCAGTCCCGCTGGCTCTATGCTCTCTCCGGATTGGAGACTGTAGTCTGTGTGCACCACTTGTTGGGGAACATGCGCAGGCAGACGCAGCTGCATTCACGTCCCGCTTGTGTTTTCCCAAGGGCAGCTGGTTGACCGCAGTGTGAACAGAAACCAGCAGGAGATGGACCTTGCTCTGGTCCAGCGTGGCTGTTTTGCTCTTGCTTGTCACTAGTGAGAGAGGAAGGTACTTGTGACAGAAACAACAGAAGAGAGAAATGAGCATCTCAGGTGCCCTGTTAGAAACATTGATTATGCCCAATTCATTTTGGAAAATCTCTTCCTGCATCCTGTGCCACTAATCTTTTTGGAAGAAGAAAGTCCTTCGAGCATCTTTTCTACATGCAAATTTCCAGGCTGTACAGAGGGAGATGATGAGAAAGTGGAGCTATTCCTCCAGCACTGCTCAAAGGATTCTTTATTTTTCCTCTTCCTGCCCCATCCGTCCTTCCTTGTGTGTTGTGCTTTTTGACGATAAACCTGTAGGCAAGAACTAACTTGTTTAACCACTGATATACAAAAGATTCCAGGGGACGTTTTGGCTGAGAAGCAGGGTAAGAAATACTTTTTAAAAAGTTTCTTTATACCATATCAAACTGTTTAGCTGAGGATGGTCTGCTCCCACCTTCCCCAACCTGATGCCCTCCAGTTGCGTTCGATTAAGACTGATAATTTCCAGACAAGGGTGGAAATTACCATTCCGCACACATAGAGGGCACCAGGTTGGGGAAGGCCAAGCTGCCTGGGGAAGCAACTTTTTAGAGTCTCAGCAGAGACCTTTCACTCCATCTCTTGTACCTTGATTTGGTTTTTTTTACCTACAGAGTCTTTTTTGGCCAAAGGCTGAGCATGCAATCTCATCCATGCAAACACTGTGCCACTCCGCTATGGGATTAAACTCTGCCAAGTCCAAATGCAAACATAGAACAAACACCATTCCCTGCACAAATGGGTTTCTTGTGCGGCCAAAGAAGCCACTCTAGTGGATGAATATTTTCTTTTTTTTATAATAAGTTTTATTCAAAATAACCCTAATACTAAAAACTAAAAACAACATCAATCATCAGAAACATCGGACCTGTTGGGTCAGCCCCCACATTTTTTCTATTTATGATAACTTAAAAACATATTTGACTCTATACGAAGTCCCGTTTCTCTAGCCAATAATAAAAAGATGGATGAATATTTTCTTCATCACCGCAGCTTTGTGATCCTGCTCCAAAGGAATTTCTACCTACCCTGTAGCTGCGAAAAGTCACCCGGGTTCTACTAACTCAATAGCCAATTTCATTACAAATAACTGTAGGGTCTTATGATTTTTCCAGAAAAGGGGCCAAAGTCCAGAAACATTCCTACAGGCAACTATCAGCAGCCACCTTCAGGACCTTTGCTCCAATCTTTGTAAGCAGCCCAAGCCATTGTAGTTACTGGATTTGTTACATGAGTATCCAGTGCTTTTTTTGTAAAAAAAAAAAAAAGTTGCCGGAACTCATGTAATTATTTACCTTTCGCACATAGTCAATCACTGTACACACACCCACACACATCAGTTGTGTAACGAAACATAACAGTCACCGCCTGCAGTAAGCACTCAGCGCGCGGCCACACGACCAATCACAAGCCTAGCAGCGGCATCACAACCAGCGCGGACGAAGTACGCACGCATCAGACTCGACGCACAAGCAGCCCGCATGCATCGTTTCAATGATTTTACCGCCGACCTGCTACGCTCGACAGGGCGATTCAAATCCACGTGGACCAAACATCAAATTTTCAAAAGTTACTTTTAAAACTTGGAAAATCTGTCGAAAAAAGGTGCTGGAACTCCGTTCCGGTGCATTCTATAGCAAAAAAAGCCCTGTGCAGATCCATATCTACAATTGTTTTACACATGTGTTCCACCAAAGGTGTGTCAGACATTCCTCAAAACCAACAAATCTTTCCCTGGGACTGGCCACAGGGTGAATAATTGTGAAGCTGCACATATGGAGAGACATCAAAACGTGAAGCTGTTTGCATGCTTCCCATCCAAAGATGCAGGAGGCCTCGCCTGGAAGTGTGTAAGCCCATAAACCAGTGAGTGTTACGGTTAAACTCACTTCCTGACCAGTGAGTCAAGTCTGCAAGTCACAAGAGAAAACTGGCTCACCCTTATAAAGAGGGTATCACCTACGGAGTCATCTCTGCGGAAGTTTCCACAGTTGGTATCCTGTCTAAGCAACCTTTGTGCTTGTCCTTAGATGCATTAGATCAGAAGGGTAGATTCAGCCCAAGGCCCAAAATCCATTTTAGAGAAGATTTGGGTGGAGGGCATATATCCCAAGAACGGGTGAGATGAAAGGGGCAGAGCCAAAGTACTCAAAACATCAAGCCTTAAGTGAGGCATTTCAGTGTTTCAGAATGGGGTGGGGAGAACAGCCAAAAACTGGTAACCCCCGAACAGCTGATAGTGAGAGGAAGGGGATATGGCCAGGGGGCCTAAACCCCAACTTTGATGAAAGGAAGCCTGCGAGAGAGAACAATGGCCCCGTTTTCCAAAGAAGGATAAAAACCGAAGACCCCTGTCCTTCTGTTCTAAAATAGCAAAACTTGGCCAGATGGTAGTCAGGAAATCACTAAATATCTGCAAATAAAATTGCTTCATTCCAACAAATTAAGCTGACAGCATTAGAGGGAAGCTGTCAGCTTTCCCTAGCCCAGCATCATGCTCTCCAGGGATGATGGGAGCTTTAGTCCAACAGATCTGAAGTGCGCCAAGATGGAGACAGCTAGGGGGTTTTAGAAAAATAATACAGGCTGAACAGTGGGTTCTTCAGTGCCCAATGAAAGTACTGCTGTTCTGTTCTGAGGAACATCGGTTCCCAATGAAGGACATTCAGCAGTTCCATATACCTGGACTTTTCAGCTGTGATGAGTACTGGATACTTAGGACCAGGCAGAAGGATTTGTGTGGTTCATTCCTTCCTTCCTCCTCCTCCTCCTCGAGCCATCTATTCAGGAAAAGCTACAGAGAAACAAGTTTTGCTGGACTTTCCTGGGGAGCTCTGCACAACAGTTTTTTTAAAAACCCAAACCCTTTATTAGCATGTGGCTTTCATGTGCCCTCCCCGCTTTTCAAACTATAAAACAAAATCATGTAAGCATGTGAATGCACTTCCAGATGGGGAATTTTTAAACTTCAGAGTCCTTAGAATGCACCCCCGTCCCCCATGAAGCCATGCACAACCAACCAGGGGCCACGGAAGCAAGAAGGATTTACCTCCGACTTGTATAGATGTGTACCATTAAAAGTGCTCATGCTTACAACATTCTTAAAAGCCTACCTTTTTTGCTTTTGCCATCCTACTGCTTTATAATCATTTATTGTCTTAGGGATTTACGTAGCTGTTTTAATATTTTGTTAGCTGCTCTGGAGACCCCTTGGGGTTGAAGACTGGTTCATAAAATAGATGAAAATAAATAATACATGTGAACAAAACAAATATTCCGTATTTTACTGTTCATTAAGACAAGGATCTCTTAGCTTTCTGCTCTGAAGATTCCTGGCATCGCAGGAGGGTATATGTGAAAAACGCAAACCCTCATCCAGCCTGACCTGTAGAACTGACACTTTTCTTTTGCTCTGAAACATGTTCTTGTATCAGTCTTTTATATTAATGCTCATTGTCGTCACCTGCAAGCTTCTTGTTGTACCCAGTGTCCAGTGCCTCTTTGAATCTTGCGGTGGCTTTGATCATAGGGACATCCGGAAACAAAGTGCTTCTGTGTGGTGCTAGGAACCTAAGATATTGTAAGCTACTTACCAAAAATAGATTTTTTAAAGTCATTTGCAGCAGCATGATTTTTTTTAAAGCTTCTTACACGCGGAGCACACCGGGAGATGTTGCTGCTAGCAAGATGTACCAGGAGAAACACAGGCAAAGTATTACTAGCATCTGGGCAAAGGCTGATCAGTCTTTCTCAGCCTCTTTTTACCATCTGTAAAATAGGGACAGTAGTCATGTTTAATATAGAAATGACCGGAGCGAAAACCGGTGTAAAGCCCAGCAGCAGTGTAAGAGCACTACAAACAGTGTATTTGTATAATTCCCTAAGGAATGGGGTACCTCCATTTCAGAGACGAGAATATTTAGGAAGAAACAAACCCACATGCCTCTAAAAGGTACAATTTACTGAACACAATGATGAAGTGAAGATTCAGCATATAAAGAAGCAAAGGAAACCTTGCACTGCCTTTTCCACAGCTGAGATGATTCCTGGAACAGGTATGGGGATTCTTTGGAGGTCTGCAAAGCTATCTGAGCACACAATGCATCCATTATTTTCCTGAAGATGGAGAACAAAAGATAATGCCTCTTGCCATGGGTTTGGTAAAATCCGGCTCTTCCACTGTTTCCAAGGCTGTCAGTACATACAGGCCCCAACTCCACTTTCCAAAGAAGTGCCACAGCTGCTTCAGGGAAGCCAACAGTGTTACGCTCACAGCAAAAGCAGCTCTTATCTATCCAAGGCATGTGTGGGAAAGGCATCTCCAAGGCACTATCTCTGGTGTTCAGCCTAGCAAACTAAAAGACCCCAATACGTTGGCATGGCTCCAAACAAACCATGCTTCCTTTGGGATACTGAGAAAGCTCACGACACCACCTGTTGAATCTTAATAACCTCCTCGCTATTGTTCTGGTAGAGCCCATTCAACACAACTCCTAAAAACAAAACTGGAGACTAAAAAGCCCAGAAAAGTGCAAAGGATTTCACCTGGCACTGAAAAAAACACAATATAGGACAGGACAAGATGAGCAACACCACCTGGAGAACTTCTCCTCCTCGATGGGATGCCACCACTGAAAATACTCTTCAGAGAGGGTACTTGGATTTGTATTCCTGTACAAGCAGGAGGTTTTCCAAAGAACTCTGGGCCAGCCAGTGGGCTGAAATTAACCTGCATCCCAGGGTTGTTGTAAAGTCCAAAACAAGATAATTCCTCGCCACGCATGCCGCACCTGGAAACGCTGCCCTGAGCTCCTTAGAGGAATGGGAGGCTATGAATGTGATAACTAAAAAGGCCAGGCAAAACCATTCATAACGTCCGACCTTCATGTCAACTGTCTGAGGTCATGCTGTGCACCACTGGAAAAGAGGCCAGATGAAGCTGTGCATATCCACAGAGAGGTAGTAAACCCAAGCACGGAGTGAGCAGCATTACTATTTTTCTACAGGCAAGGAAATGACCTAGTTTGCCAATCCGGTTGATTTATCGAACTGGAAGCTGAAATCAAGATCATGTGCGGTTGGATTATACACGTCCCCAGACAGTACTTCAGTTCATATCATCAGCTGTTGAATTTAGATTAAATTGATGGGGCTGGCTATGCAGCAAGGCTTCGGAAGGGGTTTTCTTTAAATAAAAAAAAATGTCTATTGGATAAAACCAAACCAGCTTTTGTTTTGTTTCTAAAAGCAAGGTTAAGGAGACATAGCGGACGGGGCAGTAGCTTTGCAGTCGATTCTACATGTCGTCTGCCAAAAGTCTGGTTTGAAATTGTGTCCCACCTTTCCACCAAATGTGGCATTCGGCAGTTTTCAGTCGCCAGTAATTCCAGTTTTCGCCACTGTGAAAGCTTGTCATATTCTTGTTGACTTGTCATATTCAGTTTGACATATTCAACGTGCTGCTAATTTATTTATTTTATCGAAGACTCTTTTTTTATCCCATCATTTATTCCAGGAACCTCATGGTGGTTTACAAGATTAAAACAACAGAACACTTGCAGCAATTAAAAACTCTGCAGGGCCGGTGCTTGATATAAGGTAAAATAATTAAAAATACTATCAACAATTTAAAAACTGGGAAACTTAAAAAGGTTTTGACCTGGTGCCAGAATGAATAAAACGTTGGTGCCAGACTTACTGCTTTGGGGTATATGTTCCATGACTGGGGCACAATAGCAGAAAAGGTACCCTTCATCGATTCGTTTGGCACGACAGTATAGATGCAGTCTTTTAAATATGTTCCCTGCAACCTTGTCTCTGCTGGCTAAGGAATACATCCTGTTGACGACCACGGTCCCTTTTGGCCATAATAGGACACTAAAAGGAACGCTTGCGTCCATATCTGCCCTCCCGCCCCTTGAGATCGGCGGCAGAGGCCCGCCTCCGGGAACCCTCTGTGAAAGATATGAGGGTGAGTGCCCGGAGGAGGGCCTTCTCTGCGGTGGCGCCCCATCTATGGAATGCGCTCCCCAGTGAGGTCCGCCTGGCGCCGTCGTTATTTGCTTTTCGGCGCCAGGCCAAGACCTTTTTATTTAAATGTTATTTTAATTGTTAACTTATGAATTGTATTTATTGAGGTTTTTATGTACATGCCGAAATGTTTCCGGTTTTTTAACTCTAATTATATAACTGTTTATTTATGTTTGTTTATGAATGTTGTAAGCTGCCCCGAGGCTTTTTGCGAATGGGGCAGCATAAAAATGGTTTAAATAAATAAAAATAATGGGAAACCATTTTACAGCCCTGTTGTACTCAGTGAGGGGGAGAGAATTAAAGACATAAATTCACTTGTAGCTCTGCTGAAATCCATGGGACTTAATACTCAGGTAAGACTGGGGTCAAATAGTTATAAGGCAGCCGATTTTCTCTTTCTGAAGCAGGCTGGGGCTGCCTTTCCTTGGCCTCCACCCAAATATGCAAACAGTCCAATTCCAAGCGTGTTTACTCAGGAACAAGTTTCACTTAATCCAGAGAAGCCATGCATCAGATTGCTGCCACATCTTCAACACGGGAGGGTTACGCATTTATGACATCTCCCGCCCCCCCATATTATTCTATGAATGAATGAGACAGATTCTACAAGAAAAACCTGATCTGTTGTCTGTTTTGGTATTTCATTCACGGGGAAGGCATGCCATAGTATTTGCAAAGTCTGCGCAAGCTGAAGGGGTTGATATACACATCTGAATGCAGCACATCCAAATCAGAGATCAGTAAAACATCACTGCCCATCTGAGAAGTTTCCATTTACCTGCAGATCACTGCATTTACTGATGGCTAAAGGTATAAAGAGTCAGAGTGGTGCAGTGGTTAAGATCTCAGGTCTGGGACTGAAGCAATCTGAGCTCTAGCCCCCATTCAGCCATGGAGCCAACTGGGTGACTTCTGGCCTCTCAGGCCAGCCTACCTCACAGGGTTGTTGTTATATAACATTGAGAGCAGAATGATGTGAGCTGCTTTGAGTTCTTTGTAAGAAAAAAGCAGGATATGCATCTAATTAATAACTAAAATAAAAAGCAATCTGAACAAACTAGGTTTTCACAGAGTCTTTCCTGGGAGAGGGCAAAGACAGAAGCATGCCTCCAAGGTCCCAGAAAATTGTGAGATGGCCAACATGCCAAGAGAGTTAAAAGTGGCAATCTGTCAAAATAATCTTGCACTGCCTTGTTTCCCAACAGCACGTTTTTCCATCCTGGTTTGTTTTCATCTTCCCTCTCATCAGCTTGAGCCATGAGAGATTCAGACATCTGTTCACCGAGAGATAGCTTTACTAAACATAGCATAAGATCAGCTGAGATTCCATCAAAGATGATTCCAACAGGAGGAGACGGGGAAACTGTTTTAATAGGAGGCAGGGAAAGCATGGATTGTGAGAGGGAGTACAATGCATGTGTGATTGGTAGTCTGGAAATTGAGTCAGAGGGGAAAAAGTCTGATCCACACAGCTGGAAAGATGCTCTTCTCAAAATTTAACAAAACGTTTGGACAAACCTCCCCCGCCCCTTTCAACCTGCCTATTCAACCCTATTCAACATATGGACAAACTCTTTTGATTGCTAAAAGCCATGGACCATTTAGACCTTTTCCCTGTATGGACATGTGTAGGATCACACCCTAAAAAGATTACCAGGGACCTCTTTCTAAGACTGTCCATTCACCGCTTGAATTCCTGCCCTAAATCCATAATTTCCCATGGCAGACAATCGTGAGAAAGGGCTCCAAGATGTCACAAACACTTAAGACATGCCTACCATCACCGGGGAGGTGGGTTGGCCTGAGAACTGTATGCCCATAAAAGTGACACAACAGATGAGGCGATTGCTTCACCCCTTTAATAAGTAAATTTACAAAGGAGACACTGTCCAGACATGGTGTCACCACACCTACCGGCATCAGGAAAACCAAAAGCTGACAGCTCCCCGTCGCCTCCCTGACTCACTCGCTGCAGGAAACAACTGGAGGGAAAGATGACAAAGGCAGGGAGTGCGAAAGAGAGTTGTCTATACGTACGGCCTGGAGAAAAGATCTCCATCCCTCATCTGATCAAACCGAGTCGCAGCAGATGCAGCACAGAGAAAGCCACGTTCTTCACAGTGCTTTCAGTCTGGACTGTTCCTTGCAACCCAGATGCCAGCAAAGAGAGGCAGGGACACTCCACCAGCCCTGCCGGATGTCTATAGGATCCCCCCCCTTCTCTTCTTTATCCCCTTTGGTCAACCCTTTCTCACAGATTCACAGAATAGCAGGAGTTGAGAAGTCCATCAGACCCAGCCACCCCCCTGGTAGCGCATGAGGCCAAGTCACACCATCCCACTCAGAGGACGGTCGCTCGATTGCAAGCCGGCGGGGCCACCTTCTCTAGCAACTGGCGTTTAGCCTCCACAGGAGCTTTCGGCTGCGAAGAATCTTTCAGATAAATGTGCCAACGGTTTATACTGCAAGGCGAGCTGATGGCTTCAACAGCTCTCAAAGGGGTGAGGATGAGGGCCACGAAGGACACCTGGTGCCCTTCCCACACATGTCCCTGGCCCAGGCCATCAACACCGCCTCCATCAGCCCTTGATGACTGAGAGGGAGGGGGCCAGGCGTGATGCCTGCCCACCCAGCTGCACCGGCTCTCCTGCAAGTGCCTCTCCCCTGGGGGCGGGCTTCTTGCAATTTTGTGCAGCCAGCAAGGCAAGAGAAGCACTTGGAGGGGTCCCTGGGATTGTCCTCCCCTTGGCCGTGGCAGCTGACCCTCCCTCCTGCATAACCAAGTTCAGAGCTAACACGCCACTGACTTGCCATGCGTTGCCTTAGACATGCCTTGAAAGGGGGGTTCGGGAATTCAGGACAGACAAGGCTATGGCTGTGCCAGTTGCTAGACAACGAGAGCCTTGCCTTTGCCTTCTGCTTCTGGACTTCCCCAAGGCATCTGTTCCTCTGTGCACCCCTCTTCCTGCCTCTTCCCTTTTTCCTTGTGTGTCGTCCCTCTTCTGATCGTAAGCCCGCAAGCAGGGACTGTCTCCTTTAATTGATTCTGTGTAAGCTGCTCCAGGAGCCTTTTTGTCTGTGGAGTGGCATAATGAAATACTTAAAATAAAAATAAACGAATCATGCTGGCTACTGTCAGAAACAGAAATCCCGTCTCAACGATGGACTTCCAGTCTCATTTAGCAAGGGACGTCTTATGAGAAATGGATTGCTAGATTGTTTTGCTCAGCTAAAATTGTCATTTTCAAACTGTGTTCCAGAGAGGCAAGGGGTTATTCCAGGGCATCTCGTTGGGACCGTACGGCATCATGTCGTGGGCAAGCATCTTTAAAAAAAAAAATACTTCTGCAAATTAGAGATGTCAGAGAGATTTGCAGCGGAGTCAAATGAATTTAGATTTCTATGAATCCAACCAAAGGACCCACTTTTTCTGAATCACACAGACCATCTTTTTGACTTTTGGGGCTTTTGTGCCAATTCACATCAGTGTGAGTGCGTTTTTGTGCTAATGCAAACAAGCACATCTGGGCTAGTGCGGATTAGCATAAGTAGAGCACAATTTGGTTAACGAGTGCAATTCCATCAATGAGCAGGCAACCAGACAAAGGGAACGTGTCAGTCTTTGAAGTGGTCTGGATGGATTTCCCAAAATCCAAGCAACAAATCTGGGGGTCTCCCTGAGCCCACAGACTCCCCCTCCTCGTGCATGGATGGTACCCCTTTTGGCTACTTTGGGATCTGCCAGAGGACAGCCTTGCTCTTAGCACGTGGGAGGGGAGCAAGCATTTTGTAAGATGCCGGCCAATTCTGGGTTCCTTTACAGTGGTGGCACATCCTCTGAACAAAACAGAAAGCCTTTGAATTCTTTCTTGCTTAGGCGTTTCTGCAAGGAGGTGCTGGAGAAGCACCAGCAGGGGCTGAGGTTCAAGGGTCGGAATCTCACAGGTGCCACATCCCTGTCATGCGGCTTCCTGCATCTCTCCCGGGCACTGAGGATGACAGCCTGAAGCACAGGAGAAGGGGAAGGCCAGGCCAAGAATAAAGGGAAATGCAAATTTACCTGCATACCTCTAGACCTGGGGGCCATAGGCCATCTCCTCACCTGACAGGTAAGATGGCCACAATGACACATCCTGGAGGGCACCTGGATTAGTCAATGGCTAAGATCTTGTGGCACCTTAAAAATGACCCAATTTATTTCTGCATAAGCTGTCGAGATCTGGAAGAAATGGCCAGAAGAGCTTTGCTCATCTTGAAAGTGCACAGGTCACCTGCTTGCTTTAGCATGCACGAAGCGGCCAGCAAGCCACGTTACAGCACTTTGGAAAATGGTCATTGCTTGGCATTTTAGGCACAACATCTCTTTAAGCTGTGCGCACGTCGCCTGTGCCGTTCTCCTCTCACCGCTGCCTAAATAGAAGGATGAGTTCAAGGCATTGGGCTAAGCTGAAAGGCTGGATGGTGCCAGAGCCCCCACCAGTTCCATGCACAGAAGCTGGCCAGACTAGAACCTGAATCTTCCTCCAAGACTTGGGGCAAGAGCGCACCCTCTGCTTTACCTGGGGTCAGGATGGGACAGGACCCAAAGCATCCGCAGCTCTTTGCTCCAAGCCTCAGGGCTGCTCCCCACCCCACCCCACCCCACCCTCTGTTAGAAGCAAGTCTCACTGCGCAATTATGAAAGTGCCTTGGGCGCCTCCCAAGAGGCAGGAAATAAATGCAACGGAACGACGGCTCCTCAGAGCTGATCTGAAATTGAATTCCGCCACCAGGATCCAGCGGCCCTGCTCTGAAAAGCCCGTGTGTGTTTGAAGCAGGGGTGTATAATGGCGCCTGGCCGGAGACGCTTGCCAAGTCTAGCTTGCTGACCTCGGGGATGGAAGAGGACACTATCCTGTAAGCAGCGCAGGGGCACCATTCCACTAACGCAGCAGCTTCCGCACAAGGAACAGGATCAGGTGCTGCCTGGCCCTTCCTCTCGGGAGCAGAATGTCCCACTGCCTCTGCCTTTCCTCCTTTTCCACAGCAGTCAATAGGACAGAAAACAGGGACCTGCTCATGCCCTAGAAATTCACAATACTTTATAGTTAACCACAGAACTGCTGATTCAATCCTCAGACGGGGCTTCTCCTCTGGTGCTTCGATCATTGCGCCAAATGTGCCACCCATCACCAAATCTGCAAGGCGGGTCAGGCCTCCCCTTTCACCAGTGGTAGAACCTGCTGCTTCATCTCAAAAGGGTTCATCTCTTTCTTGGTTGTCTTCTGGATTCAAGGATTTCAGATTCAAGTCTTCAGGGCAGAAAGAAATACAAGAATAACTCAACTTATCTCCACCATAGATGCACCATAGGATCTATCACACTTTAACGGCCAAGTGTACCCCCTGCAGTGAATCCGGGGATGAGCAGTTGGCGAGGAGCTGCCCATGGCTTGCTTACTTCCAGTGTCAGAGACAGTATACTGGGGAGCCGTCGCAGTCCTGTGGCAGGTTTCCCATAGGCATCTAGTTAGCCACTGTGCAGACAGAAGGATGGACCAGATGTAGCCTTGGTCTCATCCAGCTGGACGCGCCTCCCATCCTAAGCATCTGTCTGGTTCATCAGATGCTTTAAGGACATCACAGTGCATCCAATGCAGCAGATGGTCCCCCCAAAAGCATATGCCAGAACCAACTGGTGGGACTCTGCACTGCACGCGTGTCATTCTCAGGGCATGAGTTGCTGGGGGACACGGGAGGGGGACGCGGTGCACCACACTCCAGTCCCACTTGTAGGGTGGTGCCGTTGGGGCATCCGATTGGCCCCATGGAAGCAGAAAGCTGGCCTGGAGAGGGCTTTGCTGTGACCCCACATGGCTCGGGCAGGTTTCTCCCTTGCAGGAGCCAAGCGCCCCTTGAAGAACGAGGGAGGCTTAAATAGGGAGCAGAGAGATGGCCACACCAACAGGGGACACGGCAGGGTTCCAGTCCCTGCGGTTAACAAGCTGTGATTTCTTCAGTGCTACCAGGACAGGTCCAGGTGCAAGTCAAATCATCACTTGGGAGCAAGAGCTGTACTTTGTTTTGAAACCGCTCGTGTGGTTTGTCGTGGCAGGCATCACTGAGGCCTTCCCCATCGCACAGAGACAGGGAGCCATCTTAGCTTAAGGACTGACAAGGAATTATAATTTCTTGTGCATTTTCACACAGAGAAATAGAAAGTCTGCCTGCTGCTCAGTTGGGGCATCTTTAGTAGACCCGAAAATATTGATGGAGCTGATTAAACCCATCAAAAGTAAAAGTGCAGCAAGGTAGAGTCTAATATGCTGCAAGGTAGAGTCTAATGCAGCGTAGAGTCAGTGCAGCGTAGGGCCACAAGGTTGGTGGCCAGTTTGCAGGGGATACCGTATAGGCAAGACTGAGGAACTGGGTCTCTTCAGCCTGAAGAAGAGACTCAGAGGGGATCTGTTGGCAACATACAGGTACGTGAGGGGATGTCACATGGAGGTGGGTAGAGACCGGTTCTCCCCTGCAGAGGAGGGCAGGACGTGCTCCAACAGAGCAAAGCTCAGGGAACCCAGGTTCAATTTGAATGCCAGGAAGCACTTCCTGACAGTCAGGACCCCGAGGGTGTGGAATGGGCTTCCACGAGAGGTCGTTGAGGCCCCCTCGGTGCGGGTGTTCAAGGATAGGCTGGACGTGCACATGGTGGGCATGTCGTGAGCAGAGCCGGCTGGTGCCGGAGGACGGACTAGATGGCCCGGGAGGACCCTTCTGACTCGCTCTGTTTCTATGTTTCTAATATGTAGCCTGCCGGCACGTTTAGGCATGTAATCCCAGTGCAAGCTTAGAACAGCAGCAGCAGCAGCGGCCCAAATTCCCAGCATCCCTCAACTAGCTCAGCCAGCTGGGGAATGCTGGGAGTTGTATGCCTGGTCAGGAAAAGTTGTCTTACATCAGATCATGACCTAAACTACATCAGAAACCTGGCAAGGCCCGTTCTACCTTGAGTTGGGTACTCAGGATGGATATCACACGGCAAGGCAAATAGAATATGACAACTGTCACAGGAAGAGTTCAGCCAGGGTCCGAAGGCTAACAACATTGGGGTTTTTCCAGGCAAGACTCCATGTGCCATTATCCTGTGTCATCATGGGATTTTATGAGGCCATCTCGACAACATTTCCGTGCCGCTGCTTCTGTATTTTTTCTTCCAAGGGGAAATCCATCAAGGAAGCAAGATAGTGTAACTTCCCAGTGCCTCTTGCTCCATAACACTAGCCTTCCAAGCCCTCAGGAAGCACCCTTCATTCCAACTGCTTCTCTCCCTGAGAAAGGAATTCCCTAGCCTAGAAGCTGCTAGTTCTCTTCTCTGGGACTTCTGCAAAGAGACAGCCAGACTCACATGGGTGGGCTATGGAGTCTAGTGCTCACAGTTTCTTACCTCGCCAGAAAAATATTTCTCTATGAGACCCAGCGCAGCTTTGTAGACCAGGGTGTTCTCATGGGTCTGCAGGGCTTCAATCTTCTCCAGGCCATCAAGCTCTTCCACCAGAAGACACAGCTTTTCTGTCTCCCCTAACTTCTCAGCTGACTGGTTGGAGTGAAAAGATAAGCCATGGTCGGACCTACAGAATCCACCGAGTCCTTGGGCCATCCATTCATTTCCTGCTTGCATACAGAGGTGATTCTAACAAAACCAATGTCTGCTACTTCTTTTATTTTAATGGCACAGTCCAAAGAGAGGGAACCAACCTCTGTGAAGAAGTTTGATGAGGAACGCTCCTTCGCTGCCTGCCTGACCAGCTTCCAAGGCCATTGGTTGAAGTACTCTAGGGGGTTTTGTGTGGACCTGGGCCCCATCTGGCAGAGATTTTGCAAACCACCTGTGTCTACAAAACTCCCCACCTGCTGAGGTCATACGGGGACCAATGTGACTCAGTTTTTGGCATCTGCCAAAGACACTTGTATTTAAGTACCATTTTCTTGAATGACCAGCCCAGATTTTCTTAGGACCATTTGAACTTAAAATGGATTTGTGTTTTGATTTTTCTCCCCTGAGACCTTGCTGTACACAGCTTAGGAAACTTCTATACAACTAGAGCAGCTTATACATTTTATAACTAAAAGGAATACAGTTAAGTGTATGGCCTGAAGGCAAGTCAGAGTGAACATCCTGGTTGGTCCTTGGGCAAAGCTGAGCAAACCTGGGCTCCTTTCAGCCCTGGGACACAGTCGTAGCTCAGTAGCAGAGCACCTGCTCTGCATGAGGAAGGATCCAGGTGTGCTACCCCAGGGAGGGAAGCTGCCCAGCCCTGGACAGCCCTCCAACAGATGGGCAGATGGTCTGATTCTGGATAGAGCAGCTGGCTGGCTGGCTGGCTTTCTCTCTCTCTCTGTTTCCTTAGAACGGTGTAGAGTGGAGCTCTCCTCCTCTCTGCCTACTACAGCTCTCACAAAAGAGCAAGGGCAGAAGAAAAATTAATTCAGCTCACTTCTTGCGCAAACGTTGCTAGGGTTGGACTTCCAAACCATGATGAGATTGAATCAATTATCCTTCAAAAATGGCATTTTCCTGAATTTTGGAAAGGTGTTCTCCAATCAAATGTTCATCAAATGTATGTGTTATAACACTCAAATGTACATTATGTTAGAATTCCTTGCAAAAATGTGTGCATTAAGCAAAAAAGGCATGCAAACATGCCTGTATGAGGGCATATATGCAAATACAAATGTGCAGATGAAGTCTAAAAAGTCTCAGTACTTGGGATGAACCAAGTTTAGGCTGACAAATCGAGAAAGGGAAAGAAACTGAAATGCACAGATTCATCCATCCCTAGTGCAGAGACAGAAGGAAAGAGAAATTCTTCTCTCTCTGCTGCACAGAGTCCTGAGGCCACTCAGGCTTTCTCTGGCTGACATTTACATAATTTTTAAAATGATAATGTAATTATGATAATCGCTTAATCACCATGCCTAGTTCATTCTCCAACAGTAGCTTCCCAGAAGTTCATTCATACAGCAAATGCATTCAGATTGGTAACCTCCCCAGTCTGCTAAGGGAAGCAGTAAGATACACGCACTACACCTTACCTGGAAGATGTTCGAGAGGCTATCCAGAATCATAAAGATGGTTTTGCCATCTTTGATAGACAGCAAATTCAGCAGAGGCTTCAAAGTGCCTGCCTGGACCATCTCCACCACTTGCTCGACGGTGCCTCCAGTGGTGAGGTTGGTAACTGCCCAGATGGCCTCCTTCTGCGCCTTGAAGTCTCCCTGTAGAAAACAGCACCTGATATACCATCATCCGGATGCCACACGGGTGCATTCAGGTTTTGTACCCCAGAGGGACTGTCAGGTTCCATCATCCACTCATGGATGGAATCGGGAGGGACAGGCGTTTCATCCCGCTTGCACGACTCTGCACAAGCACTAGCCTGTACTTGCACAGATATGCATTTTTTAAATTAAATTTCTACCTGCCCATTAGCCAAATTGACTCTGGGAAGGAGCACTTTGTGCAAATCCCCCTCCAAGAAGCACAAACAGAACAGTCAGCAAGTCTGTGAAAACCTTATGCAGGTAAGGATGAGAATCAGCAAATTTTCCTCACTTGGCTCCCCTGACTCTAGCTTGCTTTTTCTCTGCCCCAAGTCCAGCTCGAGCCGAGTGTTTGCGTGGGCATCTATTTATATTTAAAACTTCTGTAGACCGTCCCATTACGGGGTGATTTAACAATAAAATGTAAGAAAAGAAAAAATTAAAACACAGCATCCTAAAATTTAGCAATGTAAAACCCCACTTAAAACAGGTCTTCAAACATAGGGAAAATAGAAAGGTTTTGGCCTAGTGCTGAAAAGAATAAAATGATGGCGCCAGGCGAACCCCTCTGGGGAGCGAATTCCACAATCGGGGCGCCACCACAGAGAAGGCCCTTCTCTGGGTAGTCACCCTCCTAATCTCCTTTAGGGAGGGCACCCGGAGAAGGGTCTCTGCCCCAGATCTTAAGGGATGGGTGGGCACATATGCAAGGAGATGCTCCTTCAGGTAACCAGGCATCCAACAGGAAGTGAGTCCAACTGTTGCCTACAAGCACAAGCAGAGTTCTGCTTCTCCACACTAGACCAGCCAGCTTGGTGTACTCGGCAGAACAGTGATCCAGTGCAACAGAGGGCTCACTTTGTGTTCCTGAGCATCTGTGGGGTTTGAAGCTCAGCTTGGCTCACTGTTTTAGCCAGGGCTGAATGTGGGAAAGAAGCCAGTGAACACAAAAAAACTGGATTCCAGGTGGATCAGTCTGCAGGAAGCTACAGTCATTGTTGTTTAGTTGCAAAGTTGTGCCCAACCCATCACGACCCCATGGACAACATTCCTCCAGGCTCTCCTGCCCTCCACCATCCCTCACTCGGAGTCCACCCTAGCCCACACCCACCGCCCCAGTGACCCCATCCAGCCCCCTCGTCCTCTGCCGTCCCCTCCTCCTTTCGCTGTCAATCGTTCCCAGCATCAGGGGCTTCTCCAGGGAGCTACATTCACAGGAATTGGCAATAGAGCCCAATCAGCTTGGGTGTTCCCTACACTCCTAGTGACACAACACAGCAGCACCCTGTAGCGATTGGAGTGACGCCCTTGCCCCTCAAAATCCTGCCACAATGCACAGACCCCCAAGGTTCCTCCAAGAAGTGCCACAAGCACGCTTATTGCAGGCATGAAATATCTGCACGACATGGGTTCATCACGACCTACTGAGCAAGGCACTAAGCACCCTGGCTCGGGCTCCAGAGCTTCTAACAGGCATCGCTCCCCCCTCCCCGCACACGACACACTTCCAAGGACACCTCAGTGGCCACAAGGACTAGAAACCCTTTTGCAGTGGAGAAAGGAGATTCCCCACCCACCCAAACAGCAGCTGTTTCCTGCAACGCGCCGCCAGCGGCAAGCCACAAACCTGACCCGCAGCCAGAGAGCTGCGCTGCAGGACGCCGAACGCAAAAGCCAATCGGATGCCCAGCAGTGCAGGAGGGTACCTTGTCCAGGAGTTCCACCAGCGGGGGCAGCAGCCCGCAGGTGATGAGCTGCTGTATCTGGCTGCACGGCCCGGCGGCGATGTTGCTCAGGGCCCACGCCGCCTCCTTCTGCACGGTGGCCTTGCGGTGGCGCAGGAGCTGTGGCAGGACCGCCAGCATGCCCGCGTCGATGGCCTTCTGCGTTTGCTCATCTGTCCCGGTGACGACGTTGCCCATGGCACGCAGGGCCGGGGTCTGAAACAGGAGAGCCATTAGCAAAGCTGGGAGGACTCGAGAAATACGCTCTACACCCAATATCGCTATTCAGTGAAAAGTTACGTAAATAAATATATCAGAGCTGCAGGTCTGACACCCTGTTGGGAAAGCCTGGCGTAGTAATTGCAGTGCGTGGTTATTGTTGGGATCAAGGAGGATGGTCTTGGGAACGCATTCCCACAGATTGCTGGCTGCAATCCAGATGCTGATTGGGAGTCCAAAAACGAAGCACATTCCAGTGAGAATGCAGAGGACGGGATGGCTCAATATCCTGGGATGCAGGAGCAGGAGGAGGGATCGTCTCAGGGCAGGCGGTCCCTGGGAATGCCCAAGTCACACAGCGGGCAGGAGGGCTCCAAGGATGAGAAATGTTCTGATACAGGCCAGGGCCCTGCTATCCAGCCTGCGGCACAGCATCCGCGGAGAGAGGAGGCCCGTTCGAATGCGGAGAGGCGGTGTGTCCGCCTTCAGAAAGCCCCTCAAGGGGATGGGACATGCTGCTAAGGAGAGGTCCTGGAGGTAAACACCAGACTGGGTGCAACAGACTGTGCATGCCCAGAGATCCATTCTGCGTGATTTGTTCTTGGGAGCAATAAAGAAAGTTTTGCAAGGGAAACTGTCTGTGGCTTTTGACTGCTTGAAGGAGGAACCTCGGCTCGTGACAGCGATGACTGGGGAAAGGTGGGTTCAAGCCAGCCGCTCACCCGTGAGGCCCACTGGCAGCCTTTGCCAGGTCTTGGGGCAAGCATGTCCCTCACGGAGCAGTTGCTAGGATAACATGGGTGGGTGGAGGACCCTGACTTCAGGTGGAATGGCTTCTAGGAAAGGTGGGATAAGAAAGGGGGAAAATGGGAAGGAAGAATGAAGCCACCCATGACTCCAGCCATCCGTGCTCCACTGTGTGGCTTGGAGCATCTTTGAGGACCTTACCAACGCATGAAACAGGCAAGCGTCCTTCAGGATCTCCAATGCCAACTTTAAACCCAAAGGAACAGCTCCACTGAATGGAAAAAGGAGGGGGTTTTACAGACTGAGCCCCGAAACCCAAAAGGAACATCCAGTGTCCCATGCAACAAACACAAACAGTGACATCAGCCCCGGCATGTTTAATAGCCATCTTCTGTAGTGGTCAAGATGCATTTGTGCAGAATTGCTTTCCCTAAATAGGTGTGTGCTTACCAGAATAGGCAACTCTGGACTGGTCATGAGCTTCACCAGCTGTGGTAGGATCCCCAACTCAACCACAATCTGGATGCGATCGTTGGACCCATCGGTCAGGTAGGAGATGGCCCAGCAGGCATCGGAAAGGATGTCCTTATCCTCGTGCTGCAGGAGGCAGGTCAACGCAGGCAGCATCTGCTTCACCGCCCCCAGGGGTGGATACGGGTTTTTGTTTCTGCAGAGGTTGGACAGTGCCCAGGTGATGTTCCTCAGGAAACCAGTCTGAAAGCAGATTATATGTTCAAGCAAGGGGAGAACCTGGATCTCCAGAACCCTGAAGGCCAACACACTAACCTTCTCACCACACAGGCTGGGAACCCAGCATGGCCTGGAAAGCTATAAATGTTCCTTCTGGCCCTAGATCAACCATTCCAGATCCTCAAGTTGCTATCACCACAGACCAAAACCAGGTTTGTGTTATGCCAGTTCCTAGATGACTGGACCTAAAGGATGCCATTTACTTCTCTTAATTGGCTTATCATAACTTAGCATCCAGTTAGTCTTAGCTCCCTTTTTGAGGAGACTACAAGGAATCAGAATTGGAAGAGTCAAAATTGTAGCTTGTGGATTTTATTAGCCATCGCTTTTCCTCAGGTTAAAGCGATGGACCCACCCCATCTATCCAGAGACATAAAAGGTGAACATCTTCCAGGCTTGCCTCCCGCAACAGTGGATCCAAAAATGTTTTCCCTCACCAATTCTTAGCACAAGATCAGAATTGAATCCACCAAGAATGATTTTTGCTGTGTGCTTTCTTGGAAGTGAGCTAACCAGCTATGGATAGCTAAAGGGCAGTGAACTTGTAGCTGAAGTACTCAAGTACTTCCTCAGTACTGAAAATTTTGTTTGGAAATGCTGAATCACGGACAAATGCGCAACTGACCGGGGTGGATGGTGCCACCAGAGACAGAAGTGGAGGGATCACGTTAAAGTTGATCAAGGTGTCTCGGTACATGGGGCCGTCACCTGTAGAACATGAACATTTCACATGGCTATCGGACACTCTTTCGTAGGGAATGTATCATCCATGGGCATGTCTACGGGATTTGCACACCATCTTTCTGCCAAAAAGTAGCAGCCAAAGCACTTACGGGCATAATTAAAATTAAAGCAGTTTAAGTCCATCAACATGTATGTGTGTATCATATGGCGTGCACACATCATACTTCAATGAAAAAACAGACATAAAAATAACATTTAAAATATGTATATCCTGTCCTATATGCAAAATGCCTCAGGATGGCTTACAAGAACCAAAACAAGCAAAAACAATTAACAGTTAAGAATGTGCGTGAAACCAACAGAAACATATCACCAGTAAGAACAAAGTCAAAAACAAAATCAAAATGCAACGGTGAGTAATATAATAGATAAAATATAAAACTGAATGTATTATAAATACTATATTTACATACTACTATATAATGCAGCTGGCGCCTGTCCCCGGGCCAGCTGTCCATCCCCCGCCATCCCGCCACTCACCGGCGATGTTGCCCAGTGCCCAAACCGCCTGCTCGCAGATGTGCATGTGGGGGGAGGACAGGAGGACGATCAGGCCCTGGACGCCGTTGGCCTCCACGACGGCTCTGGTCTGGTCGGACGTCCCCGAAGCGACGTTCGTGAGGGCCCAGGCAGCCTCGAACTGCAAGTTGGGCGCGTCGTGGTGGTACAAGAAGTCCACCAGTCTGCGGATGATCCCGGCTTCGATGACTTCATTGATGGGCGGATTCTTCTGCTTGGACAGCAGCTTCCTGGCGGAAAACACAGGTATGATAGCCTTGACGGGCTGCCTTGGGGCAGGGTTGAGCCTCGTTCAGCCCAAGGGCCTGATCCTGTTGGAGGAAAGCTTTTGTGGGCCCTCCCTCTCGCGAGAGTGAAGCCCAAAGCAAGCTGGACGGGACCAAATATGACCGGCCCATTATATGGTCAATATTATAATACTATCCTAGTCAGTATTACCCATGGTTGGTCTTAAATTCTTGTAAACCACAGAGCCTATGGGAATGGGTCGGGGTTTGTGTAATATTTATATTGGATTGTTATATATAATATGTTAAATATAAGAAAAATAAATATAATACATAATTATACAAAATACAATTTAAATATATATTTAAATTTTAAATATTTAAATTTCATTCATTTATTTATTTACATACATATATTTATAGGCACCCTATAATTGCCAAAGCCTTCCTTGGCAGCTTACAATGCATAAAGCATACTAACAGAGTAAAAACACATTAAAAACCAATTAAAGCATAATGAATTCAACATCTATAAAATCAATTAAAAAGGGCCACAGCATACAGGCTAAATGTTAAAAAAAATCCTAAAAAGCTTTGTCTTTGTCTGGAGCCAAAAGGAAAATAGAGATGGTGCCAGGCAAATTTCCCTAGGGAGGGAGTTCCAGAGATGGGGAACAGAGAAAGAGAGAAATAAATATTAAATAATCAAAATAAATGAATATTCTAACTCAGAGCTCTTACAATGGATTTTTGACACAGTGGGCTTTCAAAACTGGCCTTCTGCCCATCAGAAGTGGCAGCAGTGGGGGGAAGGTTTTTGGTGGCTGGCTTTTCTAAGAAGCGCCACTGATGGGGCCCAACGTAACCCCCATCTTCCAGAGGCATCCCAGGGCCCTCCATGGTCGGCCAGCCAGCCAGCCGTTTTTCCCCATTTCCCAGTGAGGCGCTACACCCAGCAGGAGAGTCTCCAGAGGCAGAGCTCTGGGGCTTCCCTTTCAGCGTACCTGACGGATTGAGCTGCCTTCAGCTGGAGACACGGGTCCTCCGACTTGATCGCTTCAACAATTTCCTCTAAAGAGAGTTGCGCAGCCTGCAGCGGGAACAGCGAGGAGCTGATGAACCTACGATGGCCGAGAAATGGCAGCGTACGCCATTTCCGGCCACGACACCGGCCTGGTACCCACAGCTGCTCCCTGCCGAATTACTCTGGGAACATGTTTTGCAGACTCTGGAATAATCTCTTTATCTGCCTGGCGAGGGACAAAGAGAATTCGGTTCCCTGCTTGCTATTGCAACAGTTCCAGTCCCTACCTACTCCAACAGAAAAACGTAAAGCTGTACCAGACTATGGGCTGGCTTATAAAGTGGCTGCAGACATCACTAGTCACCACAGCCTGGCCACTGCGGGCTGGGACTCCATCTGGGCTGCAGCCTCTCCTGCTGAAGTGCTACCATGAGGCCAATTACAGGCGAGAGGAAGAGAGGTCGCCTCCTTGGACTACAGGCCCATGCGGTGATTAGAAAAACCCTGAGCACCATCACAAAATGGCTGCCACAGGAGGCCTGCCAAAGGACAAGACACCGACGCAAAAGGCTGAGTGCAGGCCGGTCCTCAACACAGACCGACTTGGAATCCAGCCTTCGACATCACCAGAAATGGAATTGCAGGAGCCCCAACGGCTGGTGTGTTCAGGTGGAGGGGCACCTGGTGGACACCAGAAAGGTGCCTGGAGGCACCTTAGTGCTCATGAGCTCCATGCTGGTGTTGGGAAAACTCAGCTAAACCCTGAAAGAACAGAGCTGCTTGTGCGTCTTTGTGCTCTAAAATGCTTGCACCCCTTTCTCAGGAAGCACCCAATAATTCCAAGCCGGGTTACTGTTGGGCATTTGCTGTTAGTTTTAGAAGTGGGGCCTGGTGGCTTCCCCAAGAAGCTGCCAAGGCTGCTGTTTTGCCGATCAGTAAGAACTGGTCAGGCTGCCAGGTTAACAGCATCACCACCACCCTCATTTGCATGCCAAGACTCACAATAATCCCAGGATCATGAAGTTAATACCCTGCAATCAAAGGCCATTGTGTTGCGCCCGCTCTGCAGAGCTCTCACCTTCTGTGCGCCCCGTGTTTCGCCATCAACTGCCCAACTGCTGGGCCCATGCGACTCAGAAACTATAAAACACTCTGTATATGTTCTAAAAGCTTGTAGCTGGCGGTGCAGACCACTCCCGGTCACACGCTGTCGTAAGTAACTGCAGGGGGCCTGGGTGATCTTTCAATAAAACTGCGGAGGTTCGAGGCGAAAGGGGTCTTTCCTGACCGAACCCGGTTTTCTGTTGCAGCTGCCATCGAGGCTTTCCTGACACTGGGAACCCCTATATCACCCAACACCTGATCGGCTTAAGGTGGGTGCCGGGAAGCTCTTGAAGCATCTTGTTTGGAGTCCAGCCTTTCCCAACTCCAAAGGTTTTAGACCTCACCTCCCAACAGTATGGCCAACAGTCAGGAATCCTGGAAGTTGTAGTCCGAAACACCTGAAAAGGACCAAGCTGGGGAATGGAGGAAGAGAACATTCTTGCAAGAACCCGTGAACATACCCCGTTCTTCTGTTCTTTCTCTGGGGAGAGCTGGTTTTCTGGGGTGAGAGAGATGTTCCTTCGCTTCAGGATCTGCTCATCTTTCCTAGCCTTGCGAAGTTCGACTCCAGCTTCTATCCTTTGCCTCCTCATTTCCTGCAAAGGGGGGACAGTGAAGGACCATGCTGTAGTCAAGAAACTCCGAATATTACAGTCAGGTGGGGGGAGCTCTCCTGCTATGCTACAAATCAAGACGGCATCCTGAAATGTTCCTTGTACACCCTCACGGCCCTTAAGACCTGCAGGAGAAGCCCTGCTCTGGAACCCTCTCTAAGGTCATCAACTCAGAGTAGGGCCTTCTCTGCTGTGGCGCCCAGACTCAGGAATGTACTCCTCAGAAAGGTACACCTGGTGCCGAGTTTACACTCTTTTTGGCACCAGGCCAGAACCTTTTTATTTAAACAGTATTTTAAAATTTAACAGCTTTTAACCTTTAGTTGCTCTGTTGCTTTGTGATTTGTTTTGGTTTTATTATTATTAGAAATTGTTTTAATTGTTCTTTTAAATATTGTAAGCTGTCCTGAGACTTTGAATAATAGGACGGCATACAAAAGCTTTTAATAAATAAAGATGCCGCCTCCAACATTTCCAGAGGGGCAAGGTGGAGCTTTCCGTTGAAAAATCAGGAATTATAATGTGTCTGCCACACTACTGAGGGCATCACATGCTGGGGGGGGGGGGAATTGGTTTGCAGCATCTCCAACATCCACAATCCACAGATGTGGCATCTTTCCCCCCTCCTTTTAATGGACACGAGCAGCAGAGAATCTAGTTACCTGCATGCAGGTGTTTTTGTTGGTATCACCTTGGAAGTGTGCAAATACTGCCCGTTGGCTTCATCCCAGAACAGATCTGTGTTCTTTATTCTTTTACTGAGAACACTGCTCTTTGTCTGCCCTGTACTACACAAATACAGCACCCACCCACAAAGAATTTCCCTTCATGTTCCACAGTTGAGATACCTGGGGGAGACCAAAAGCATTCATTTGAAATATGGAAACATGAAATAATGAAATGCTTATCCTTCACCTCACAGGCCTAAGAGAACTGTTCAATTCAAGACTTAGAAAAGGCATTTCTATATGGAACGATTCTAGACATGTAGGCATGATCACAGTGGCTTGCCCTCCATTCTGCCCCGCAGCCCTCAGTCATTACACAGCTTTTGGGAGCGGAATACAAAAACAATGCAGCTGCGAAAAAACACCCCTTGGAACACTGTTGGCAGGACCATCCTGGTGCTTGTCATCCGGAGCAAAAGCTCAGGAAGTTCTGACATCAGACATCCACACCCATGGATGCTCACGCCATTCCAGCACTACCTGAACTATGAACAGGAGGAAAGCACCAGGAGTACAGCAAGTTATGACATGGGGAATCCCTGTAAAATCCGATGAGCAAAGCATCTCAAAGCCTCATCTGGACACAGGGCAGAAGTAGAACCAGTCATTTTTATCTGCTAGGATCCAGTTTCATGCAATGCCCAGGAGAAGCTCTGACTCAAAGTGGGTGGGTGTTATTCAGAAACATCCCAACTTCTGTTAGTAGAAAGCCAGGCAGAACCATTGTTTGCTGGAACTTGTAGCAGAAACAGTAGAATTGGCTACTGAGCACCAAATGCATCTGCTTGGGGTATTTAAATAATGCAAGCTTCTAGCTCTCATGGCTGTGATGCTGTGATATGGGCTTTCCAAATCTCAACTGGAAATTGGAGTTTGTTACTCCAGTACATCTGTTTAGATTCAGTTTAGCATGCTTCTTGGACAAATATTTAGTAAACCTAAAAAGTAGTAACAATGTATTGATTAGGTTCAGACAACACAATAACAATGTCATTGAACTCTGGGGTATTGTGTTGGTCTAACCCAGCCAAGATAACAAACCATGGTGAACAACCAGCAGTTTGTTACACAAAAAAGCGTGGATTCTTTGGATGGCTTGTTACTTCCAACAAGTAACCCATGTTTCAACAACCAACTGCATTCCAACAATAACCCACTCTCAGCACTTCACTGAGAGTTGTGTTGTCTGAACGCAGTCACTGTACCAGTAAGTAGTCAATTGGTCTCCCCCAAGCCATGGCCAATAGTTGCATCAGAATACTTGATGGGGAAAAAGAATACACAGGGTGGTTTAAGTGGTACACTGAAAAAAAATCAAAGCTTTCCTTGGAAATATTAATAGGATTGCTTGTAAATATTTTAAGACATGACAACTCAGCATCTCACACTTCCCTTATGTTTAGATTTAAATAAAAAGGCAGCACTGAAAACTGGCAGTAAACTATAGTTTTTTAGCCCTTCAGGCATGTTATGCACAGAAATAGATATCCTAGAGATAAAAATGTTAATTCAAATGTTGATTGTAGATTTAACAACCCTGCATCAGTTGAGTCAACCAGTTTGATGAGTGTTACAGCCCTTCAATATATCACTAATTAATTCTATGAAACAATTTGTTGCTAAGAGAGGAAAAATATAGCCATGGAAAAAGCCTCTGCTTCAGACAGGAACTTCAAGGACAGCAGATTGTCTGGCACGGCTTTCCTCAACCTGGCACCTGCCTTTTATTGTAAGAAATAAAGCATGTCAGCTCCATGGGGGAGCCCCCCAAAAAGACAACCAGGGTGGGGTGGTGGCTAGGATGCAGGACTGGGGCTTGGGAGACTGGGGTTCTGCCCCCAAGCTATGAAGTTCAAGGATGATTTTGAGCCAGTTACTTTCTCAGCCTAGCCTACCTCACAGGGTTGTTTTTTTGATAACATGGAACTATGCAAGCCAGCTTGGGCTTTGCACCAGAGGAAAAGGGGCAGATTTATTAAATACAAAGTAGCATTCCATTTATTTATTTAAAACTTTTCTATACCATCCCATACTTGAAAGTCTTAGGATGGTTTACAGCAAATTAGTCTAAAAAAATAAAAATAAGAACAATTGCCCAGCATCCAATGTTAAAATAGAACCCACCACTAAAATAAGTTAATTAAAATACTGGGAGAATAAAAAGGTTTTTGACAAAAGGATAGAAGCATTGGTACCAGGCGAACCTCTCTGGTAGTAGCAATAATCTTAAACTGTGCTTTCTGTAGCAAGAGAACACCGACCATCATTCCAGGGGCTGGGGAACCTAAAGCCAGGTGGGACAGGTAACACATGCCTATTTTGGAGATGATCACATGAGAATTCTTGCTGCTACATCACAAGGCAACATCGGTTGCTAGCCCTGCCTGGATTTGTAGAACTGGAGTGGTGAATTTAATCTCAGATAGTGGGCTTGTGCCTTTACTCCTTTAGCCACTTGCACTGAATTAATTTGGTACCCCATCAAAAACTCTCCAGTGTTAGTATCCACACGCTTACCGCAAGGTCTTTGCCTTTGTTTTTAAATTTCTTCATCCGTTCTTCTTGCTCATTTTTGGTAGGCATTCTCTTCACAGCTGCTCAGACAGCAGACAAGTTGCTGGGCAGGTGTGGCCCTTCACTCCTAAGCAATCAGACACGTCACACCTGAGTTCAGTTATAGTGCTCTCATCTGCCCCCTCCTCTCTTGCCGTCTTAATTAGAGGCAGGCTTGCCAGAAATTAATACTGTAACTGGAAGTGGGAGAGCTTGTTTTGCTGGTTTCACAGAACTACAATCATCGGAATAGGTGATTGTTTTTTCCTCCAGAAAAAACAGCACTGAGGATGTCCAGCATCCACAGAATGCCGTTTACTGGTGGGAAAGAACGGGATGGAGGATCCTACATTCCTTTCCGCTCTCCTCCTTTCTAGGAAACAAATCAACCCTATAGAGCAGTCTCAAACTCAACCTTGCATGGCTCTTTTAAATCCAGAAACATTAAGTCTTCACTCAAATGTTGCCAGACAAAAGATTGGTAGCTTTAATTGAAGGTCAGAGTGTGGCTTTGCTTGCTAAACTTGCAAGGCAGAGTGTAAAGACACAGAATTATAGGAAAAGCTTTCACCAGCCTGCAGGTTTAAATTCAGTGTCTCTCTGGCCTTAGAAAGATTTAAAACAATGCTTGGAGTGGAAAAGACAAATGTTAAGGGGAAAAAAAAGTACTTGTTTCCAGTTAAAGCAACATTTACAGTAAATATTTATATTCCACTCTTCTTGCTTCCAAGCTGTTTTCAAGCCACTTACAAACATTGAAAAGGAGCAGTCATTTAAAAACACACAAACATAAGCAAAGAGGCCAAGGGGGACCAAAACAGTGACATCCATGGAAAAGAAATGATTTTTTTTTAATGTAGTGCTTCTCTGGAGTATTCCCCACTGAATTCAGTAGGAGCAAGCACACCTTGAACTCTTAAAGGACCAAGAAAAAAAGATTCTAAAATTAAAGCAAACCCCAATTTCCCAAGTAGCTAGTAATCTCAGTGTAAGAACATCTGATAGGGATAAGGAGGAAAAATAACCTCCAAGGGCTGGACCCACATATTTTGTTAAAGACCAGCATCAGCCCTGTTTGCTCATTTCATTTTTGCCCACCCAGCAAACAACATTCTCCGACAAGATTAAAAAACTTGCCACACAAGCAGTCAAAAACATAAAGCACAAGGTGACTATCAAAATGAACAAAATACAATACAAACCAACGAACAGCCCAGAAATAGACAAAAAGCACCACTGCAGTCCATGTGCATTCACATCCAAAGCCAGTCAAGTTATTTGGGGAACTGAGACAAAAAAATTACTAAGTTTTTTCTCATCCCTGGCAAGAGAAAAAAAAAGGGGGGGGGAAACCCTGAATATTATCAAATTTAATTGCTCGCAATTAAGCTACTCCTTCACGACACTTCAGATCTAGCAATTAATAGTAGAGCCAGGCTTGGATCCAGCTAAAGGGACGTACGAAAGAGAAGGAGCACTTCTAAAGTTACATCGAACCCTCCTGCTCGCTTGGTTCGCGGGCAACCCGTCCGACGCTTAAATCTCCCGGGAAATGCGCCGCGGCCCGCCCCCGCCCTCCCATTGGTGCGCCCGGCACGCAGCCCCGCCCCCTCGAGGACGCCCGCGTTCGATTCTCCCCGGGAGCTGCCGCGGGCACGTGTCGCGCCGAACCCGCGGGGATTCCGCACGTGGGGATCGTTAGGAACGGCGGCAAACGCTGCCAGGGGACGAGCCATGCAGGAAGGAGAGGCGCGGGCGGTTGCAGGATGGATGTACCGAGCAGGATGCCTAGCGACCTGAGGGTGTTTCCTCAGAAGCCAACCCCTCCTCATAAGGATTATGCAACCCCGCTGAGTGTGCATAAAGATTATTTGTAGTGACCCCTGGTGTGTTTGTTCAGACGTTAAGCCATCCTGCGATTGAAGGGGTGGTCCAGTTTACAGGTAAAGAAGGAAGAGATAGGCCTTGAAAGTATGAACTTTGTAGGATCTGTGAGTTAAGTTAAAAAGGTAGGCTGCAGAATAACCTGCTGCAAATTAATTGGAGTTCTTAAGGCAATAGTAGCAATCCCAATGCTCTTACCAGAACTCGGGGTGGGGGGGAGCAGGAAATAAGCAAAAAGCTATGTCATGCCCTCCCTCTGTTGCTGATACAACAGAGACAGTGCTTTTTTTGTCATAGAATGCACTGGAATGGACTTCCGGCACCTTTTTTCGACAGATTTCCAAGTTTTTAAAGTAACTTGAAAATTTGATGTTTGGTCCACGTGGATTTGAATCGCCCTGTCGAGCGTAGCAGGTCGGCGGTAAAATCATTGAAACGATGCATGCGGGCTGCTTGTGTGTCGAGTCCGATGCGTGCGTACTTCGTCCGCGCTGGTTGTGATGACACTGCTCGGCTTGTGATTGGTTGTGTGGTCGCGCGCTGAGTGCTTACTGTGGGCGGCGACCGTGATGTTTTGTTACACAACTGACGTGTGTGGGTGTGTGTACAGCGATTGACTATGTGCGAAAGATAAATAATTTCATGAGTTCCAGCACCCTTTTTCTTACAAAAAAAGCACTGAACAGAGATAATCAATGCCCCGAGCTTGCTTTCAGGAAGTGCCCACAAACAGCACCATGGTGTGGCAGAGGGCATTGTTGTGGGGGTCAACTTGTTTTGGGCAAGTTCCGGGCGCCAAATGAGAGATTCGGGTCTGCAGCCACGGGGGTTGACTTCCCGAGACAGCCTTTGTTTCCAAGTCATGGGGCTGAGCACCCACGCTCTCAAAAGTTAGGCGTCGTGGGGGTCTTCTCAGAAAGAAAAAAAAGTCAAGCATAGAAATTGCCCAGGAAGTTCCAGGCCTTTTCTTCCCGGCATGCCTGAGGCCACCTCTCCTTCCGCCAGGGAACCTGTAAATAGAAGCCTGGGAAGGTTCTTCCCTTGTTTGGGCCATGACGGACTAGCGCTCCGGCGGGAATACGCTGGACCAGCCCAGGCGACAGCTGGGAATGAGGCAGAACCCTGACATGCTGAATCCGCGTTTCTATATAGCTGTTTAGTGACTAATAGAATCGCCCGCCGCACATGCACCCCTCTTTATCCAGAGCTTAATATAATTCTGTGACACGCAGGCCCCGTCTCTCATGTCACGGAAGGAGGGCTTTTTCCTGCCCGTTAGCGCTGCTAATTAGCTGCAGCCGGGAAGAGCGTAATGGACCTTGACTGCAAGGAAGTGCCAGCTAATCTTTCTTCCCAGGCTCATCAGAAGTGAGTGACAGGAATGGCTGTGAGAAGAGAACGTGGCAGAAGGCGCTGCGAGAACCTCGGAGCACATCATCCGAGGGTCCTCTCCAGGCGGCTCCGAGTCAGGAGTCAGGGGCGAAGGTTTTCCTGGACTGGCCCACTGTGTGCTGGGCGCACATGCAGGTTGGATGTTCCAGCGCAGAGCAAAATTCCGACCTCCCCCCAAATAGGCGAGTCCTATTTTGAGAAACAGCCCAAGCGTACTTTCCCCTACGTGCGACACACTCGTTTTCACAGCACGGGGAGAGTATGACGTGGAGAGGCTTTCAAGCATGCAGCCCCCCTTTCTTGGAGTCTGAAATGGAAGAGTCCAGGAGAAGTTCTACCAGCTGGTTTTCCAGAATGCGTAAATTCTGGCCATCCATCTCTGCCTGGCTGACCTTGGGTTCTCTTCTGCTTTCCTCCAGTGTGTGGAATGAGGATAATTTGATAGTTAATGTTTTAAACATATATTTTGGTGGGGTTTTTAATGAGTTTTTCAACATTTTAGTTGCAATGCTATACACATTTGCTTGGAGTTAAGCCTTATTCAACTTGCTGGGGCTTAGTTCTGAGTAGACTGATGCAGGATTGTGTGGTTCTGCCGTGCTTTGAGGGAGGCAGGCCTCCTGGCTTGTGACGGCAAAAGCTTTCCTTGAGCTGGCGTCCTTCAGCTATGCTGGACTACAATTTCCATCCTCCCCAGCCATATGAGGTAGTGCTGGCTTGGAATGGAGGAGGCAGTTGTCCGACATATCGGGGGGGGGGGGACGATGACCAAGAAGGCTGGCATGAGCCTTTATGAATGAGACCTCATTTTAGAGGTTAGAGCAGTTGATCTGAGCGCTCATCTTCATCTAATCCAGTGGACTGAATTTGTTGGCCTTCAAAGAGACCAAAGATTCTTTGACGATTTTATTAATAAATCAAGAACACTTTGGATTAGCTAAAAGCAGGGATGGGGAACCCGAGACCTCCTGATGTTGTTGAGCTCCAGTCCCTATTGGCTCTCACCAGCATCACCAGTGGTTGAGAAGGATGGGACGTGTAGTCAAATGACATCAGCAGGGGGCACATGGTCCCCACCTGAATGAAAGGGCACTTTCTGATCAACAAGTCCCTGCTTTCAATTTTGAGAATCTGCAACAGGCAAACAGAATCTCGGAAGAGGTTCCCTTTGCTTGTGCATGGCAAAGAATATTCCTTTGCTTGTGCATGGCAAAGAATTACTGCTCCGAGGTGGTGCAAATCCAATGGAATCGAAAGTTATTGAGGGTGGTTTCTGGCAGAGGGATCCTAGCACCAAGACCTGGAAGACATTGTGTGTCTATTCCACCTTTTTTGTTTAACAGATTTTCTATGGTAAAGAAAAAAATGGGAGTAGCAGCGATGATGCAAAAGGGGCCAAATTCTGGGAATAAGCCAGAACAAGGGCTTGAATATAACCTTGTTCGGAAGGACCCAAACCCAGTCTGGATCCATCTCCAAGTTTTGCTTTGCTGCTGCTATCTGTTTGCACACAGGTGAATTCATGCAAATTGGCTGCACCGCTTCATTAGCTAAAACTCAGGTAATTAAGTGAAGAACATGGATTTAGTCTGTCATCAGCTCTAATTCTTATTTATATTATGCCATCAGTGTGAATGATGTTGATGAAACATTAGCAGAGGAGAAATAAACACACTTGCAAGTCTCTGCTCTGACCAGGTTAGCATCTAGAATTAGACATAGCAGAGTTCTTGTTCTGAGGGTAGCATTATTATTAATAATAATTAATAATAATTCCTAGAATGGAGAGAAGCACAACATACTTGCCTGCCATAGAAGCACTGAAGTTGGCAACCCTGTCAGGAGGAAGAAATAGCTAGCTAGCGAGCCAAATTAAGTGCCGCAAATATTACTGAACATAGCGATTCAAATCCAGTTGTGTAAGAGCAAAGCACCAAGAACCCAGACCTGGCTGGACTGATCCATCACTTCGCTTTCTCCCACATTTGAACTGATTAAATCTCATTTTATTCCATTCATGGAGACATTTGCAACTTTGGAGAGGATCTTGAAAGAATGAACCAAACAAATTTCACATCCATCCCTAGCTGGGGTTGGGTTGGGAAGTGATACACAATGTCCCAACATGCATCCCATGAAACTCCCTTAAAGATGGTGATTGAGTAGGAAAAGAGATGGGTGAGCCCTGGTTTTCTGTTTGGGGCGAGAAAGCACGATAGAGTATCACGGAAAGAGTGGCAATAGAAGGGGCTACTCTAGGCATCTAATCTTTGTTACCTACAGTTTGCTAGCTTTGCTTCTGTTGGTTGGCCAGTCACACTGTTTAGTTTCTGAGACGGAGAGTTTATTTCAATGTAAAAAAAGTCCTTTGGGGGAGAGATTGGCTAGGAAGCATTAATAAGATGTGGGTACAGTGAGAGCCAGTGTGGTGTAGCAGTTAAGAGATTGGACTCGGGGAGTCTGGGTTCTAGGTCTTGGGGTTTTAGATTCCAGTGGCCCAGTTAGCCATGAAGCCAACTGGGTGACGTCAGGTCAGTCACAGACTCTTGGCCCAATCTACCTCAAAGGGTTGTTGTTGGACTGAGGACAAGATTGAGAGTTGAGGATAAGATCGCGAGGAGGAGGAGAATTATGTAAGCTGTCTTGAGTTTCCTGGAAAGGAAAAAAGCAAGATATAATGAGAGGGATTAAAAACCTTAATGGACCAAAAACCTCAATGGACCAATCAGGAAGAGGCACTTGTGGTTGATGGGTAACAACACAGAAAAGAAGGGGATTTTGCTGGTGGGGGCTGCTAGAACGCAGGATGTGAGCAGGAGGACGAAGCAGGGGCGCAGACATGGTGTTTACATGGAAGCGATGTGATTGCCTCATCAGCAGGCCGAGGCAAATAAAGAATCGGGCTGTAGAATCCAGGCAGGGCTGCCTTGCTGTGATGTCTGAACCCAGCCAGTCTTGCCAGTCCTGGGCAGAGGGCCCAAGGAATAACGGGGAGTGTGTCTTCCTCTGGACTTGAGCCGTGGACACACTGGGTAATAAGCGTCCTTCTCTGTGCGAATTGGGCCAGCGTCCTTGGCTTTCATGCGCTGTAGCTCAGCCTTGTGGCTGAAAGGGACGCCTTTAGCAGCGAAATCTGCAAGGCAGGGGGTTCTATTTCAGCCTTCCTCCGGTCCCTTGAGCCACAGAGCTGCGTTTCTTAGATGCCCTATAAGGAGAAGAGAGCGAACACGGAGAAATCCCCAAGAAACCGGGGCTTCACTTGATCTCCCTCCTGAGGACGGGTCCTGGCTCAATCAGCGCTGCATTGTTCACTAGCACTTGCTTGTAAGGAGAACGTGATATCTTGAGACTCATCCGATGGGTATAAAAGACACAAGCCAGTCTCTTGTAAACAAGGGGTGCATCTTGGCCTTGTCTCTCTGGCAGGTAACTTGTCTCCGTAGAAAACATCTTTGGGGAAAACGTTTGTTGGTCGGTGGTCAAGGACTTGTGTGCAGGCAGAAGTTCTCAGGCTTAATTCCCAGGTCAAGTGGGGGAAATGGGCCTTGGAGAGCTGCTGCTAGTTGGTGTTGACAGTATTGGGCTTGATGGATCAACATGCTGACCAAGTGCAAGGGAGCTTTTGGTGTTCATAATTCCTGGTGTAGGAACAGTCAAGGGTCTTGCGCACAGAAGGTGTGAAGATTAATGGCTCTGTTAATAATTATAGTACGGGTCCTTCTTCCTTGTTCTCAAACAGATTCTTTGCTTCCTCTTCTTCCAGGACCACTGGGCAACATTGTTCTCCGTGTCTCTTCTTCCTTCTGGTTCTGCCTTGTGCCTAAATCCAAGCCAAGATGCCTGGCGCATATAAAGGAGAATGTGGGGACGATGTGGATCCCATGGAATTCCTGGCTCCAAGTGAGAAGGAGAAAATTGAGGCCATTAACAAGCCATATGATATCAAGAAGTCTTGTTGGGTCAAGAGTGACAAGGAGGGCTTCATTGCAGCAGAAATTCAGTCGGAGACTGATAACCAAGTCACTGTCAAGACCGTGACCAATCAGGTGAGTGGAAGGGAGAGAGAAAACTTCTCCATATTTTGAGAGTCTTAATTGGCTCCTTAGCTTAAAGATCTAGGGCAACATTTTTCCAGCTGTGGAGGGGAAAAGAAAACCAATTTCGCTTGTTAGAAATTTAGACATCTAGACAAGGAGTTGACTGAGGAGAGATCTTTAGTTGTTTTGGACTTCCTATGGAGATCCAATATAGCCAGTGGTCAAAGTTGATGCTGGAGGCTGATGCTCCAAACTTCTTGTGATCCACTTTCTGCCATGATCCAAGTAACCAAGGCTTTAGAACTCTCAAAGTTATCATCCAACTGGGTTCGTTGGAAGGAAATAGCACATGAACTTTCTTCAAACTGGTGCTCTCCAGACGTTTTGGACAAACTCCCCTCAACCTGAGTTGGTAGGATCAATGGTCAGGAATACAAGACCTCTGGAAAGCACCGGGTTGCTGTATGCTCTGATCTGAGTCCCTGATTTCTGTGACGCCAGTTACATTAGGCTGAAGATGAGGCGGTGCCAAAGAGGGCATAAAAGGTGGTTGGGTGATGGACACAGTGCGGATTGTTAAAGTTAAAAAAGAACAACACTGCAGTATTACCACTAGTTAAGTCCTTTAACCTGCGCCATGATGAATTCTCCTCCATCCGCTCAATTATCATCTCAGCTGTAGCTCCTGTGCAATGAACAGCATCCAGCGGTGTCATTCCGTAAACTCAAATAGTTCTAGAAGCGTGCCACTAATGGATTTGTTTGTGCAAGAGGTTGCAAATTACATGTGCGCAAGCGTGACAGGCAACCGGTCGCAGAACTAGGCTTGTGCAAATTTAACTTTAGTTGGGTTCTCCTCTTGTGCACAGTTTGAAGCCTAATTTCTGCCAACACGATGCCTGCTAGCAGAATGACAAGTTGGATGCTTCCCAGCGGCAGGGAAACCTATCGTTAAGTCCCTCCAGAATGTGGTAAATTGCTGCGTCACTGTGCCTTGGCTTCCCTTAATTAACACATGGTTGATCACACAGACTCTCACCGTGAAGAAGGATGACGTGCAGCAGATGAACCCACCGAAGTTCTACCAGGTCAGCGACATGGCCAACATGACCTTCCTGAATGAAGCCAGTGTCTTGGACAACCTCAGGCAGCGTTATGTCATGATGAGAATCTACGTAAGTGAGCCTGGGGTTTGCGAGTGTTTCCGAGACAATAGAAACCTTTTGGTCCAGGGGTTAGAGGTTCTTTGCGGGGGCCAGATGATCTAATACATCAAGTGCACGATGTATTTGCTTACATCCCATCTTTCTACCAAGGAGCTCACGGTGTCGTGCGTAACCTCCCTCTTCCATGTTTGTCCTTACAACAGCTCTCTGAGGGAGGGTAAGCTGAGAATCGGTGACTGGCCTGAAATAATCCAAGTAGCTGCCTGGCTGGGTGGGGACTCAAGCCTGGGACTTTCCGAGCCCAACGTGCTAAGCACGACATTGCCCTGGTTTATTCAACTCAGTTGAGTAAGGGTCAAAATGTATGCTGCTTCAAAGCAGGGTGGGGGAAGCCAAGACAAACCCTCTTGCCCCTTAACGAGTCTGGGAGTGTTGGCTTGGTGTGTGCTTCCACACGTGGCTTTTCTCACACCATCACCTTGCACCATCAGTGGCTTCCACTCCTAAACCTCCTGTGTCTCTCCACCACTTCTACCATCTTTTTTCTTTCTCTGAAAAATCCATTAAGGAGAAAAAGGTGGTCCAGCGGCACAATGCTCTTTTTTGGCACTCGAAACCCCCTGTTTGGAGACACCTGAGTAAAGAAGAAGCTGTAACAAATAGTCAGCTTCAGGCTCCTAAGTTATCGGAGGCAAAGGATCAAAACAGAGGAGGGGAATCTAGCTTTTTGCTTCCCTGAAGGGATACAAGACCAAAATAGCAGCCATTCTTAATGCATAAGAGAGAGAAGATAGTCATTGATGTTTGCTTTGGGATAGAAGTCTTGTTTTCCTTTTCTTGTATTTCAAAAAACTGATATTGGGCATGAATGAAAACGAACATTAATTTACAAAGAACTCCCAATATTTGGTCTTCATAGGTTCTTTTATTCCTTACAATGTCCTTAAAATTAGCTAGAAAGGTTTTTTTCCTTTTGCAGAATGACTTGGTTTGCACATGAAGCTAACCCAGAATTTATTTAACCCATTGTTAACTCATAGTTTGTTGACCTACTTGGGGTTTGTCTGACAAACCATGGCTTATTTTATCAATCTCTGAGTTGATTGCTTCCATCCTGTTTTGCCCCTTCCTTCCCTGTATCCCAAATGTCTTTGTGGCACTATACAGCAATTAGGGGTTTTGACCACTCTTACCTCTGTCACTGGCTAAACAACCTATGAATAACCCACACTTTTGGGGTCACACATAATGACAGCCTGTGGTTTAAACAACCCATAGTTCACAACCTAACAACACACCATAGATTCTTCTTCATGATTAACCAATGACAGTATCTTCAGTTAAGATTGGTCCATACAAATAACAAACCAGAATTCAACACTTCATGGGTTCAATAAACCACGTATTCATGTTCTGTGCAAACCAGGTCAAGGCCTTCTCATTCTCAAAGATGCTGCTTTTTGAAGCCGAACAATATGTTTTTTCTTCTTTTCTCCTCTGGATTTCGGATGAGAAGATTCCTGCTTAGCTTTCCCACTGTTGCCAAGTCAGCCTTTTCCAAACCACAGTGAAGGCACGAATTATGAGTGTGCCTGCTTTTTTTCAGTTTTCATAGGACAATTTGGATGGAGGGATGGAAAATTAGTTTTCAAATTACCTGTGAATTTGAGGGATGATGCCTTTGAGCTAGTTATGTTAACAAGGTGCTCATTTTCTTCCTTGAGCCTTTTTGCTGGTGAGTGAAAAAGTCAGAAGAAGAGGGGAAACATGGCAAGGGCTATGAACGGGAGATGTACCTGGGACCTTTGGTAGCCTTCTGCGAATGGCGCGGGGACAGGGGCTGATTGCATTCCAGAAGTCCCATCCGAAAACAACCCAGGGTTTTAGCTGGACACGTGATTTTATCATTCTTATCCTGCATCATTCATTTGTAAAACTTCACGATTGTTCCCGTTTCTAGACGGGGAAATCAAGTCAAGGCCATTTGTTACATTGACGGATTCAATTGCTTTTCATTTACGCTTCAAGTGGGAGCCGCTTGCTTGAATGGCTGCCCCCGAGGGAAACAGTTCATGGATACAGAAAAATAACATATCCTGGAAGTAACGTTAAACCAAACTTTCTTCTTGCCATGTTGTTTTTTCCTTGCAAAGCAAGCAGGAATTTTGTGTCAATGGAGCATTTGAACATGCCATCCGTTTGCCACAACCTTCTGTGCAAAATCGCCTTTGCCTCCGGTTTGCAGAAACGGGAAACAGATTGTCCAAACCGAGCAATAGCACCAAAGCAAACCTGTGCGGAGAGTCCCGCTCAGGTCTTCTCGCCCTTAATCCCACAATGCGTCAGTACAGGATGGGAGGCTCATCCTGGTTCCTTTTGTGGCCCTTCCAGACCTACTCTGGCTTGTTCTGTGTCACCGTCAACCCGTACAAGTGGCTGCCCATCTACGGAGCCCGAGTGGCCCTCATGTACAAGGGCAAGAAGCGCACAGAGATGCCCCCTCACCTCTTCTCCGTCTCTGACAATGCCTACCACGACATGCTCATGGGTGAGTGCTGAGATGGTGCGCCGAGCTTCCGCTGTTTGCTCCTTTGTTAATCCATTGAGTAAATGTGTTTAATGGTGGCCCTTCGGCATCACGCTCTAGTCCTCATCCCAGTGGCTGGGAAGACTCCTCAGTGCGGTGGCCGTTGACTCCTGGGTCAGTGGGGTTGGCTAGCCACTCCAGGGTTCATGCTGAACTTTAGTGGAGCTATCACGGTGAGCGACCTAGCTTGGCCTGTGGTTCAGCACCATAGATAGGTGAACTGTTGGAGCCACCAGCATGGATCAAGATGGAGGTGGCAGCCTAGACAGTCCTGGGCAGTTTTTAATTTAATTTAATTTAATTAATTTAATTTAAATATTTATACGCCGTCCTTTGCAGCAGCCTCAGGACGGCTTACAAAACTAAAAATTCCAATATAAATAATATTAAAAATAGCACAAAACATTCCACAATAAAACAATGAACCACAATATATCCTCTCTTAATTAAGGCAAAGAAAGAAAATAAAAAATAAAGTCCTGGGCAGTCGTGATGGCCTCAGATCGCCTTTGTGCTTGGGGTGGCGTCTCAGAGGCCGTCCGGCTTCCTCCAGGGCCAGTGTCTGTGTGCCGGATGCGTGAGATGAGGTGGACTCTGGTCTGCAAAAGCTTGCATCTCGGTGGGTTGGTGACACCACCCCTTTTCTGTGTGCTCGCAGGTTAATCTGCAGAGGTATGCAGGGGTGCAACTTCTTCAAGAGAGAAGGAAGCACTTTGCACTTTCTGAGGGAGCACTTTCTGCTTTTCAGGGGAATGGGACCATGGCGAGGTGCATCGGCGAAGGGGCATCGGTGGGAGGGGGAGAGCTCACAGCCAGCGTCTTTTGCAGCTGGTTCCGCTTTGGCTTGCGGGCAGCACTGGCTGCACCAGAAGCAAGTTGCCATTCTGAGTTCACCTGTTTGTTGCAGAGAACCGCAAGGTCTGCCAGGAAGTCGAAGCCAAAAGTGAAGGAGTTTTCCAAAGAGGCCAGCCAGGAAGCCCTTTATAACTTTTCCTAGCCAAAGGTCCCCGGTGGCCATCCTCAGGAGATGAGGCCGGGCTGGGTGGGCAAGCCGTTATGGAGTCAGGCGGCTGCCCTCGGAAGTGTTCTAGCTGATGCTGCCGACTCTGCAGGCAGCCAATATGTCTGGCATGGCTGGCACTGCTCATGTGCAGAGCCCCCCAAAAATGTAACATCCCGAGACAATCTGACCTGCATGGTTTCTTTATAGAGCCCATCATCGCACCCTCCCCTGCCTAGGATAATAATAATTCCTGTCTTCATTTTTATTTTATTTTTTATTTATTAAAACATTTCTATGCCGCCCCTTGCCGAAGCCTCGGGGCAGCTCATTTCCTTGCCACCTTCCAAAATATGGGTGTTTCTGGACAAAGCAAGGGGTATGCTACGGGGAAGGAGGGCTTTGTGGTGCTTCTGCAGAGCTGTCGGTTAGTCTTCTAGGGCTTCTAAGGCCCTTTTATTAACACCTGGCCTGTTGCCTTGTTTTGCACAGAGCGCGAGAACCAGTCCATGCTGATCACGTAAGTGTGGCTATTTCGATTACTTCTGATTACCTAAAAGGCGCATAAGCCACCCGGGGAGCTGTTTTCCCCACTCTTACAATATTACAATAGGGTTCTGATACTTTGCCCCATTGCTTCTTTCACCGGTAGCGGAGAATCTGGAGCTGGCAAGACTGAAAACACAAAGAAGGTCATCCAGTACTTTGCCAATATGGCGGGCAGTGGCAAAGCCTCTGCTGATGGGAAGGTAAGAGTTTCCAGCTGGATGCACCCAGCTGGAAACTGGGGCACCGCTGGGGCACCGCTGACATGCAGCTGAGCCCCTGCTGGTGCAGGCTGCTTGAAACGTTTTTTCGTTAGCTGTGGAGAAGCATCCGTGCCAAAATTCTGCTTTGTTGTTGTCTTGGGCAGGGGTCCCTGGAAGATCAAATCATCCAGGCTAACCCTGTCCTGGAGGCCTTTGGGAACGCCAAGACAACCAGGAACAATAATTCCTCTCGCTTCGTAAGTACCTGCTTCAGAAATTGCACGACACTCAATCAATGCATTCTTTCTTTGCTCGGTGTTCTCTGTTCTGCACAGGCACACACATCACTCACTTCCTTTTTAACTAACGATACATCGCGTCATGGCTCTCAGCGATCTCTGTTGGAAACAATTGCATGTGAAATGTTAGGAGGCACTATCAGCTCTTTTGAGGGGTGATGGTTGTTTCACGGACAACTTTTGATGTTGCTGTCTTGGAGTAACACATGTACATGCATGAACTCCTCCTGGGGGGAGAGGTCCTGCTTGTACATAAAATCGCGTGTTTTTCCCTTCAGTCCTCTCTGCAGCCTTTTTGGTCTGCTTTTCAGTGGTGGTTCCTGTCTTTGTGGAACCTTTTCTTAAAGATTGTCTAGTTTTTTAGTTCCTCAAATATTTTCTAGCTTTGTCTAAGAAATCTTTTAATTGAGGAGTGTTCCTTCAATCTGCTGCTACCTCCCTCTTGTGCATGGACCAAGGACCTGACTCAAGATAAAGTAGCTTCTTACATTCCCAATATAATCTCTGTTCCTCCTCCACCGGCCCTCCTGCTCACCTGCATGGAATTTCGGGTGGCCCGTGGTTACTAGGTGAGATGTTAAATGCAAAGCTGCCTATACCACTCCAGGCACCTGTAGACCATGCATTGTGCGATATTTTGTGGCATTGAGCAAAAGCCCGGACTCTTGTTCTCTCTTCCCAGGGTAAATTCATTCGAATTCACTTTGGCAGCACAGGAAAGCTGGCTGGGGCGGATATCGAGAGCTGTAAGTAGGCTGGTAGCGTTACTGGTTCTTCCCCACCACGTTGCTTTGGTCCCACCCGCCACTGGAATCTGGCCCCTGAGATTTTTTCCTGAAGTGAAACTGAGTCCTTGGAGAGCAAGGGGTTCCTCACCCATGTTTTAAATGTTAATTAGTCATCTGCAGGTTAATGTGGATCTTAGTGGGTTGATTAATGCATGTGTTGAGGAAAACTTATCTGGGTCATTAACCGAGAGTTATTTATTTAACTAATAGGGTGATAGCCCTAAAAATTATTGAGGACTAAACGGGGCATGATTAGAGATATGAAGCAGATTGTCCTTTGGCAGATTGTCCTTTGGCAGGTTATGAACTTCTTCCGAGCTGCACGGTTTGACTTCTCCGGGCTCCGCATTTGTATTGTGCAGTGTGGCCGTCTTAAAACTGCAGAGCGAGGCATGGCCAGGCCTTTTAAGAGACACCTGGTCGATTTGGGGAGTGAACCGTGTTGTCAACTCAAGCTCTACGTTTCTGTTCCCACCAGATCTCCTAGAGAAATCTCGGGTCATTTCCCAGCAACCCGCTGAGCGGGGATACCACATCTTTTACCAGCTGCTCTCCAACAAGAAGCCAGAGCTTGTCGGTATGGCACGTTGTTTTCTTGTTTGCCTGTGACATCCTTGCTGTCTTATCCTCACAACAACCCTGTGAGGTGGCTTGGAGTGAGTTGTTCAGGGGCCAAAAGTCACCCAGCAAGCTTCATAGCCAAGTGGGGATTAGAAACTAGGTCTGCCAAGTCCAATCCAACACTTTAGCCACTATATATGAATTGAGATCAAGAATAATTTTTAAAATCACCCTCTCCCTCGCCCTGCGCATGTGTGTGATAGAAAAAGGGAGCTTTCCCCTTTCATAAGACAGGGCTCTGAACGGAACAGTAAGAAAAATGTGCAGAAGTCAAATGCTGACCTCCCTTTCTTGCAACAGAAAACCTGCTGTGTGTGCCCGATCCCAAGGAATACTGCTGGACAAGCCAAGGTGTGACTATTGTAGACAACATGGATGACGGTGAAGAGCTGCTTCTCACGGATGTAGGTTTGCAAAACCGGCTCTCGTTGCGCCCTGGAAATAGAGGGAACCCCCACGGGAACTCTCTTCCCCCGAGAGCTGCATCGCAGCTTGGCATTTTGCAGCCACTCCTAGATCATTAAGGTAGCCTCCAGGATGTGCTGGACTGCTACTCCCATCACTCCATCCAGTGGGGGACAATGGGTGCTGTAGTCTCACACTTGGGAGAGGGCTGAGTAGAGGAAGGCCTTTTTGTAAATTGGAAGTTAGCCTCACGTTGTCTTTTGCGGAACATTTTTAGCAGCAAGCGCAAGACAACATTGGGTTCCTCCCTGAACTTCCCCATCATTTAAGATCCGTTCGGTGATGCCCAGCTTGGTGTCCCCTTTGCGCAAAAGTGCGATTGACCCCCGGAAGTGGTGGGGCCTCCTTCGTTTCATCCACTTGCTTTGGAATTTCCCTCTCTCGTGGAAGCATGTGCGGCCTCCAGCGCTGCCCATTATTTTTTTCTGGAAATCGGTGGGAGCCAAGCTACATTTGTTAATGTTGCCTGGTGAATGCCATTCGCAGACTGGCTCTTCAGGAATTTCCTTTCCCGTGAGCCTCTCGCAGCCCAAGGTGTTTAAAGATTGTTGCGCTGCTGTTTCTGCTTTTAATGATTTAAAAAACAGTTCAGCTGTGGACTCTACTCATTCAGTGTTCAGGGGAAGGAACTGCAGTCAGTTTTGACATCTATTGGAAAATGCTGTCTAAAAATCGCAAAAGCAAGAAGTCCTGACGAGTTGTTCTTCCTCTCTCTGCCAGGTGGCTTTCGATGTCCTGGGCTTCACTCCGGAAGAGAAGAACAGTGTCTACAAGCTTACAGGTGGCATAATGCATTTTGGGAACATGAAATTCAAGCAGAAGCCAAGAGAGGAGCAGGCCGAAGTTGATACCACTGAAGGTAATGAGCGAGTGGCATGCACAGAGAACAAATGCCCATCCAGGGCCATAATCCAGGGCCAGGGAAGTGCATTATGGGAACCCAGCCATGCCAAGTCTTGTTTATTATCCACCAGCAATCTGCAGTTCACAACCCAACAACAAGCCACGGGTTGGTGCTCTTCATGGGTTGTCCATGGGTAGTGACAACCCGGGTTCAACCCATGCTCGTCCCTTGGGTGTGTGTTACCATGTTGTCTGAGCCCCGTCACTGCCTCGTGGTTGCTGGGCGCTCCTTTTCTGGAGGTCTCTAAGCAGAAGATAGATGGCCATCTGTTGGGGATGCAGAATGTGTGCTGAGCAGGGGTTGGACTCGATGAGCTCCGGCGTCCCTTCCAACTGACTGTGACCATCACCCTTGGTCTTTCCGTTTGCAGTGGCCGACAAAGTCGCCCACCTCATGGGACTCAACTCTGGGGACCTGCAGAAGGGCATCACCAGGCCCCGGGTGAAAGTGGGCAACGAGTTTGTGCAGAAAGGCCAGAACATGGACCAGTGCCACAACTCTGTCGGAGCCCTGGGCAAAGCCGTCTATGACAAGATGTTCAAGTGGCTCGTTGTCAGGATCAACAAGACCCTGGACACCAAGATGCAGAGGCAGTTTTTCATCGGGGTGCTGGATATCGCTGGGTTTGAGATCTTTGAGGTACGGGAAAGCCGGAAGCAGCCTCTGGGTGAAAGGGCCGTCCAGGGGGAGCTGGGGCAGAGAGGCGGTGCAGGTGGAGCTTCGGCTGGGAGCGTCTAAGATCTGATCTCTGGCGTCTCCTGCTCGGGCCAGGAAAGGATCCTGCCTGGAGAACCACGGACAGTCTGGGTTGACAATTCTGGGTGCGATGACCCACGGTCATCGCAATAAGCCTGCTTCCTATGTTCTCCCCGCAACCTTTGTTCCAGTCTGTCCCTTCTCTACCGGCCCTTTCACTCACCTGCATGGAATTTCTGATTGCCTCTGGCTGCCAGCGGAGTTGCTAAATGCTCTTACCCATCCATGCGCTTAAGCTACCCACGCCGCCCTTACAGCGCAAGGTGGAGCACTGCTGTGAACTTTCCTGCCCCTGCATCCTATTTCTCCCCCAATCCAGGCAGGATTTTTCCTCCCCCCTGCCCCACTGGACTCCTTTGGTGACCTTGGGTTTGTTTTTGCCCCCATGAAGGTCCTTTCTGGACTTCCCCAAGCCTACCGTTGCCTCCCCCTTGTTCAGGGGCTCCACCCCTTTAGACAGCAGCACCCAACAGCCCAGACCTCGGAAACTGAGAAGGGAAGATCCGAGCGTATCGTTTCTTGCTCTGATTCCTATTCGAGGAGAGTTCCCTTTGTGGTGGATAGAATACAAACACAAATGGGGAGCAGGAGCGGTGCTGGATAAAGAAAAGATCGGTGGTTCAGGCCGGCCACAGGGCAAAATACACACAAATCTGTGTGTGTTCCTTTGCATGCATGCTCCAACGTCTCTCTGTGTCCCCTCTTAAGGACGCCTCTGCTTGTGGAAGGGGATGCATGGGCAAGCAGAAGGTATTTGGTGTCCGGAAAAACTCTCGGGTAGAAAGGTTCAGCGGGCACAGGAGGAGAGCACACGTGGGCCGGACGCCAGCCGATCCAGGGGGATCCGGTGCGGCAGAGGCCTCAGTGCCCCGTGGCTTCATTCCAGCCCATCCCTCTGGAGAGCAGGGGCGTGGGGCACGCGGCCACCCGAGATTCGGGGCTGCAAATGGAAGCGTGGGGGATCCAGCCCGTACTGATCGTCTCCTCTCGGGGGGAGCTATTGGGTCCCAGAAACATAGGAAGCTGCTTCATACCACCTCTGGGAACATCTGCATCCTTCCGGATCAGCGCCATCTCAGCCTGTGCTTGTGGCGGCCTCCTCTGAGCCCAGTGTTTCATGGCCTCGCAGCAAAGGACTCTCGTAACGGCACCCGTGCTTTCCTCCTCCAGTTCAACAGCTTCGAGCAACTGTGCATCAACTTCACGAACGAGAAGCTGCAGCAGTTCTTCAACCACCACATGTTCGTATTGGAGCAGGAGGAGTACAAGAGGGAAGGCATCGAATGGGTGTTCATCGACTTCGGGTTGGACCTGCAGGCGTGCATTGAGCTCCTGGAAAAGGTGAGCTTTCTCCACAGTGGGGGGGGGGGCACCCCGCTTTCAGCCCGAGGGCCAGATTCCATTTGAAGAGGCTCTTGGGGGGCCGCATCCTAGTGGGTGGGGCTTGGAGGCAAAGGGGCGGGGCCAGGATACCTGTGTAACCCTGCCAGCTGGCTCATTTGGCTCACAGGTTCGTTCAGGTATTTAACCTGGGTGGCTCCCATTTCATAAAGGTTGTTTTTGGAGAAATTCGAGCAGGGCCCTAGAAACGTCCGTGCCCTGCTGCCCCCCAGGTGGTCAGTGGGGAGAGCCCTGCTTTCAGGTTACAGGCCATCAAGTTGTCTCTGACTTTTGGGGACCCCTTCAAAATGGCCTGTCCAGGACAGCCCTGCTGAGCTTTTCCAAGTTCAAGGCTGGGGCTTCCCTAACGGAGCGGATCCAACTCTTGTTTCTTGCTTTTCCTTCCCTCAATTTCCCAAGCATCATGGAGGGAGTCTTGCCTTCTCATGACGTGCCCAAAGCATGACCACTTCACTTCCACCATTGTTCTTCCTGGGGGAACCTCTGGCTCGGTTGGATCTAGAACCCACGTAATCGCCTTAGTCTATGGTTTCCTCAAAGCTGTCCTCCAGGGCCATGTTTCGAACACTTCCTCTTTTTTCCAACTACAAGAACCCCTATGATGTTTAGAGAAATGGTCCCAAAGACTTTTCATTGAGGGAGGGGGTACTTTGGTGAAGCCAGAGGGAAAAGACACTTCCCCCCACCGCGTCTGTTTTCGAACCTCCTTGATCTGGATTTTATGGCGAGCCATCCTGAAGGCCTGTTACGGACACAGGATAAATTTGGGAAATGGGAGCGACATAAACAACAACTCCCTTCCCCCAGGTGTTTTGCCGCTGACTCCGTCCGATCCATATTACAGGCAGCGCTTCTTACAAAGCAGAGCCGTTCCCATGTGTTCGTGCGTTCTCATCAGTTTTCCTCTTGTGTCTTTCTTTCCCTAGCCCATGGGCATCTTCTCCATCCTCGAGGAGCAGTGCGTGTTTCCCAAAGCCACCGACGCGACCTTCAAAGCTGCCCTGTATGATAATCATTTGGGCAAATCCCCCAACTTCCTGAAGCCCAAAGGCGGCAAGGGCAAAGGGGCCGAAGTCCACTTCGAACTGGTGCATTATGCTGGCACGGTGAGTACCGGGCCTGGGGCACGGCTGAGTGACTCTGGCGCAGTGGGACGAGGTGGATCTTCGTACAGGACCTGGTCATCCTTCCTCGGCTTTGAATTGTTCTGCATGAGGCAGTTCACTGCCTTCCCTGCTTTCTCTTTTGCCACAGTCTTGAGATCCAAGCTCTACACGAAAAGCTCTTCCGTTCCTTTTTGTTTTAAATAAGTTTTATTTGAAATTATAATCCTAAAAAACAACCAAAAAAAGACAAAAAAACCCTACAAACAACATCCATCATCAAAAACATTGAGCCCACTGGATCAGCTCCCACACCCTTCTTTTTCCATTTATGATAACTTTAAAAATGTATTTAAATCTATGTGAAGTCCCGTTTCTCTAGCCAGTAATAAAAAAAGTCCCAAGTTTGACAGAAGTAAAGCTCTTCCATTCCTGCTTTTCTCCTCTAGAACCGCTCAGTAGAGCTGTGTTGTAGCATAAAATTCTTAATATTTTGAGGCAACTGTGATTTCAAGGAGCAGATTTACCGTGGCTCTGCAACTCGTGTTCAAGCAACACTGCGCCCCAGCCCAGATACCCACTAGGAGCTGCTGCCTGGAGGTTCTGTGCCCCACCCTCTCTCTCCTTCACTTCAGGTGGGCTACAATATCACTGGCTGGCTGGAGAAGAACAAAGACCCCCTGAATGAAACAGTGGTGGGCTTGTTTCAGAAGTCTGGAATGCCCTTGCTGTGCACCCTCTTCAAAGAAGAGGAGGCTTCAGGTATGCACATCTCTCTCTGCAAACCAGCCTGCCCTGAGCAGCTACAGAACCACATCCCATTTGCTACTTACAACAACCCTGCGAGGTAGGCTGGGTTGAGAAACAGAAAGGGAGAGAGTTGCCTAGAGGTATTCAGTGATCATTGGAGTCAAGCAAGGAGTTTAGCTGTGGTATTTCTCTACTACACCAGCCTTCCCCAACCTGGTGCTGTCTATATAAAGTGGAACTACAACCTCCATCAGCCTCAGCCGGCATGTTGTAACAGTCCCCTATCATAGCACCTTCCAAGGTTGTCTCTCTGATCAGGCTGCATAATGCTCCCTTGCACTGATCAACTGGCCTGGTCATCTATGGCGATCAGGAATTCTGTGCAGGTGAGCAAGCTGCTGGTGAAGAAAGGATGGCTTGTTTCCTTCCTTCCTTATCCTGCTCGGTTTCATTGCCAGCCATGGAGAAAAGAAAATTGCTGTCTAAGTGGGCATAGGACAGCTCCACATGTTGGCTGTCTAGGTTTTTTCCCAGGCTGGCAAGTTTTGCAAACTTACAATTTATAAGGCTGAAATAATGACCACAAAAAAGCCTGACCTTGGGGCAGTTAAGACCCATTTACTTTACACAGGACCTGATCCTGGCAGAGCTGCAAAGGGCTAGACCTGGTTTGTTGATAAGGGTCGACGCAGCTGCCTGCAATTCTCGAACTCTTCCTGGAGCAGAGGCTGCAGGGACAGCGCTTCAAAACTGACCCTTATGCTGTTGGTTGGGGGGAAAGCCACAAACTTACCACTGTGGCAAAGAAAAACAAGGTGTCTGCCATTTTATGTGTGTCTGCTGGGACTGCAGCCTCCCTTGAGGTTCTATGAGGCATCCTTTCCCACGACGGAGCTCTTCCCCATCATTCCAGCTTTTCCTCTTGCTGGAAGCAGAGTGCTCCAGGATGCGTGGAGCTTGCTTTATTTGAGAGAGGGCGTTTTTGAGAACAGCTCACCTGGGACCCACTGCAATTGCAGAATGAAGCTGGAAGATTCTTAGCCTGGCCTCCCTCTCAGGGTTGTTGTCGTGAGGATGCAACAGAGCAGAGGAAGCCATGTAAACTGGTTTGGATTCCTCCAAAGGGAGAAAAAAAAGCAGACGTTAATATAACGATAAGTGAAAGGATCAAAGAGGCGATGTGGCCGAAGGTAACTGGGTGTGTGGGTAAATACACACATTTCCATACATTTTGACTCTTCTGCATTTCATTATTGCCTTTAGCTTCTGGGTCAAAGAAGCAGAAAAGAGGATCTTCCTTTATGACCGTCTCCAACTTCTATCGGGTAAGGTAACCTGGCATTTCCTCCACGGTAATGGCGTGTTTCAGCAAAGGACTGCAACACCAGGACCTCTTCCTCTGGTGTCTTTGCACGGAAAGAAAGAGAGCTGTGTGAAGATCGTCTCATGGGCTCCTTTGGGATACCTTCTTTTCCCTGTGGACTAGCTCCCTTGGGCTAGAAAGGTGCCGCTTGTCCCTACCCAGTTACTGCCCTGGCTGTCTGTGCCTTACTGAGAAACTTACCCTTGGAGAATGCTTGCTGCAGGTCAGACATCTTTAGCGTGAGTCTCGAATATATATTTAATTTATTCAAAACTTTTGTATGCCATCCCTTAGGCATGGCATCTCAGGACAGCTCACAATCATTAAAACAACAACAATAAAACAACAATAAATAACAATTACCCAAAATACAATTAAATAAGTTAAATAAAGGTGGGTGTTAAACATTAAAATTTTAAATTAGTTTTTAAAATAACAGTTCAATTAAAAGGTTATATAAAAATTCTAGGTTGTTGAGAAAGGACCGAGTCAGGGTTTCAATGCAGGGTGGTGTTTGTTCCAAGCAAGTCTTTTTTCTTGCATTTCGGAAGGGACGGTGATGGGGGCTACCCAGAAGGTGCGCTCTTGTGTACGGGAATCCCTGTGCTGACCCAGTTCTTCCAAGCACGGAAATCACTATGTGTATTTTGCAAATCTTGTGCATCTCGCTCAGGACGAAATGGGCATCTCCCGGTTCTGTTCATTCCTCTTCTTTCTCCTCTTTCAGGAGCAGCTGAACAAGCTGATGGCCACTTTGCATAGCACCTCCCCGCATTTTGTGCGCTGCATTGTGCCCAACGAGTTCAAGCAGTCTGGTACGTGGGTCGGCTTCTGACCCCAAGAGTGAGGATCTTTCTCAATCATGCAAGGTCACAGTGTGGTGTAGTGGTTGGAGCAGAGAGCCCTGGGTTCAAGTCAACATGCTGCCGTGGAGCTCAGCAAGTTACTTTGGGCCAGTCTCAGCCCAGCCTCCATCACAGCATTGTTGTGTGGATAAAAGGGGAGAAGAAAGGGACCAAAAGGCACTGGAATAAGAAAACGAAAGGCGATAGCAGGGGTGGCAAAGGTGTCGTTGGTGCGTGCACAGGATCTGCAGCCTGGGTGTGTTGATGCTGGCAAGGCACACGGACAAAGGGAGAAGAAACTGGAGCCAAGGCTGAAGTTCGCAAGAACTGAAACTAGGGGCTGCCCAAAGGAGAGCTATAGGGAGCTGGTGTCGCAGTATCACCCTGAGAGAGCTGGAAAGGTTTATAGTTCTGCAGTCCACCCTTCCCTTTCTGGTTGCTTGTTCAGGTACAAAGTAGAATCCTGTTTAATTCAGCCCTTTTAGGTCAGTCTCTGTGTGAATCTACCAAGCTCAAGCAATAGGCCTGTCGCTGTGGTTGTGGTTGTTTGTTATTGCCGTCAGGGTGTGGCGATGCTGAATTTTGTTGTATGACTTCACAGGAGTGGTTGATGCCCACTTGATCTTGCATCAGCTGGCCTGTAACGGTGTGTTAGAAGGCATCCGTATTTGCAGGAAAGGTTTCCCCAACAGGCTGCAGTATCCTGAATTCAAACAAAGGTTTGTTTGTTAATGTTAACATTTCCTCCGTTTCTTAGAGCAGAGGTGTAGAATAGCTGAGCAATTTTCAGGTTGGCCTTGGGAAGAGAGAGGGACTATCCGGGCAGCTCTGAGGGACTGGGATTTGTCCCTGAAGCTCAAAGGCCACATCAATGATATAAATCAATCTGTAACTTGTGGGGTGAATATTTATTTCTATACAGATTAGATTTTTTTAATTCTGCCCCATTAGCCATAAGGCTCCCTGGGCAGGTAAGAATGTAAGCTATTTTTATATCTTACTCTGCTCTCTTGAAGAATGTATTCTACACTTCTATTCTTTATATCTTATATATAACTTATTCTTCTTTTTAGATATATATTGTCTTGTTATATCTAAAGAAAGTCTGCACACTGAAATAGCTAACTGATTTAAAGCAAACCATCTATGCAGCTTTTCACTGAGGGGGAAAAAATCCCAAAGTAGCATTCAATAGATGATTTTGTTTAGTTTTGTTCTTTTAATGTGAATTTCAAGAACACAGAACCACAATACTGGGGGTTTTTTGCAACATTCTACACTTCTATTCTTTATATCTTATATATAACTTATTCTTCTTTTTAGATATATATTGTCTTGTTATATCTAAAGAAAGTCTGCACACTGAAATAGCTAACTGATTTAAAGCAAACCATCTATGCAGCTTTTCACTGAGGGGGAAAAAATCCCAAAGTAGCATTCAATAGATGATTTTGTTTAGTTTTGTTCTTTTAATGTGAATTTCAAGAACACAGAACCACAATACTGGGGGTTTTTTGCAACAAATATAACTAGTTACAGTAGGGGCATATGAAATGTATACTTTGAGTACATGAAAATACAACTATCCATAGAAACAGGTATGTTTAAGCTTCAAGAAAGGCAGACCAAATATCTGTATATCGATCCATTTGCATCTGGGATTTAAATACCATTTGTTGAAATGTCAGAAGCATTGTTTGCTCCTCAATCCATGGTGTTATTGGAATCGAAAATGGACTGCTTGATCTGCCTTTTAGCAGACAGAAGATGATTGTTAATGTGCAGGTGTTTATCCTCAGCCTGGACAAAAAGGGCTTTATTGGGTAAAGGTTCTCCCCTCTGCTTAGCTTTTCTGTGTCCTCCCAACCCTGTAACTCCTGTGGGCAGAACGTTTCTCAATGCGTGTTTGTGTCTCCTTCACGTCAGGTACCAGGTGTTGAACCCCAATGTCATTCCGCAGGGGTTTGTAGACAATAAGAAGGCCTCAGAACTATTGCTGGGATCGCTTGACTTGGGAGAGAATGAGTACAAAATCGGACATACTAAGGTACAGATACTGGTGTGAGTAGGATTATTCGCATGCATAGAAAGAACCCACCAGAATTCTCCAAAAGGCCCCTTCAAGCTCCTTTTGCTTTACTTCTGTTTTCGATTTAGCTTTCAGCTCATTTGGACAGGGAACGTGTCCATTTTGAATGGGAAACAGGACAATTCTGTTTCGCAGACCTTCCTTCCAAATGACACACAGCCCAATCCTATGGCCTTGAGGCAGCATCTGGGTGACCAGAGGGTTGGTTCTCCAGTGAGAACTGAACATACTCCAAGTCTACTTGCTGGAAGTGAGGAATGGAGTATCCTAGAAGAGGGCTTGGCTGCCTGGCTGTAACCCTGAACCGGAGCACACTGCGGACTTTGGTTGCAGGTCCCACGTGCCATGGCGGGTGGCCACCAATAGGTCTTTCCCCCCTATTTTGTGTAAAAGAGGCCCCTCAGAACATCCTCTGCCCTGGTGGAGCGCAGTGGCTGGCTGTGCAAACCGAAACCCTGTTGCTTGACTGACGGACACACGGATCTCTGTTTTCCAAGGTGTTCTTCCGTGCCGGGATCTTAGCCAAACTGGAAGACCTGCGAGACGAACGGTTGGCCAAGATCATGACCATGCTGCAGTCCCGAGGCCGTGGCTTCCTCATGAGGATCGAGTTTAAAAAGATGTTGGAGAGGAGGTATTGAATTCCCCCGCAGCCCAGCTCTGCCCTTGACTCCTTCGCTCATGGGAAGTAATAGTTCCATTCTACCTGGCACTGATCAGAGCTCACCTTAAAGGCTGAGCCCACCTCTGGACTTCACACGTTCAGAAGGATCCGGATAAATTGGAGCAGGTTCCGTTGCCAGCATCTCCCAGTGAAAAGCAATGAAATATCAGGGACTGGTAGGAGCCATTCCTGCTCAGAGGAGGAAATTTTGGCAGAGATCGGGGGGTGCAACCTTGCTCAGCTCGTGGGCCAGGTACCATTTTGGAGAAATGGGAGCCATATTTCAGGGATGAGCGTGGCTGGCAACCACAGGAACAGGGCCACAACTATGAAACATAGTGGCACGAGCTCTTATGTCTGGGAGTGAAGCCTTTTTTAAATTTTATTTTATTTTATTTTAATTTGGAAAGGAGATGAAACTGCATGAAAGCTCAGAAACCACGCAATGGTTGGCAACTGAGGGGAAGGGGTTGAGGCCGGGAGAAAGTCATCACCATCCGGGGAACCACAGAAGGCTGGTTCAGCCCTGCGCCTGATGTCCTGCACCCCTGACACGCTTGGGTCGAGGCTCATGCGACTTGCTCTAAAGCAGAGCTCGCTCTGTTCTGTTGGCTGCTGTCCCATCTGCTCTCTGTTTGCCCAAACTAGCAGGCTTCAAGGAGCTGTCCATGGTGCTGAACCTGCCTGGGATGAGTGGGGGTTTCAGCACCATAGAAACATAGAAAACAGAGCGAGTTAGAAGAGGTCTCCCGGGCCATCTAGTCTGACCCCCGGCATCAGCCGGCTCCACTCACGACATGCCCACCATGTGCACAACCAGCCTGTCCTTGAACACCCGCACCGATGGGGCCTCAACCACCTCCTGTGGAAGCCCATTCCACACCCTCGCACCCATTCCACACCCTGACTGTCAGGAAGTGCTTCCTGGCATCCAAACAAAACCTTGGCTCCCTGAGCTTTGCTCCGTTGGAGCGCGTTCTGCCTTCCTCTGCAGGGGAGAACAGGTCTCTACCCATCTCCATGTGACACCCCCTCACATACCTACATGTCGCCAACAGATCCCCTCTGAGTCTCCTCTTCTCCAGGCTTAAGAGGCCCAGTTCCCTCAGTCTCGCCTCATACGGCTTCCCCTGCAAACCGGCCACCAACCTTGTGGCCCTGCGCTGCACTGACTCCAACCTGGCCATATGCTTTCTGTAATGAGGGGCCCAAAACTGAACACAACACTCCAGTTGCGGGCGCACCAGAGTCACCATGGACATCTCCTGCCAAGATACTTTAGAGCAGGTGCACCTTCCCACAATGGAGCTATTGGCCTGGCCAGCCAAACCATGGCGAACTCTCCTGCTAGTTACAAAGGCCGAGTCACAGGCCTCCACTGGGACTTCCGGTCCTTTCCTGCCCTTCCCAGGAACACAGTGGCTGGAGGCCCAAACCTTGTTTTCCTTTCCATGACAGGATGGGCCTGATGCTGATCCAGAGGAACATCCGCAAGTTCCTGCAGATGCGGTTCTGGGGCTGGTGGAAGCTGTACAACAAGGTGAGCGGGTGGCGCCAGTGGCTGCTTTGGCGCTCGGTGGGTGGGGTTCGGGTTTGGAAGATAACGTGCATGCGAGGAGAAAGTTTCCGGGCTGCTTATTCAGCGATAAGGAGCCCCATTGTGAACTTCAGTTAATCAGTAACCAGGGGAAAGGAAAGAGCCCTTTCCCATGATCGAAGATGCCTGATACAAAACTGGGCATGCAGAGTTGCCATCGGAGCACAAACCTTGTGGGGAAAGAATGGGCCCTCCTGTGCTGTTTCGCCATCTTTGCCCTCGCCCCGGCTGCCGAAATGTGGGGCAGGAAAGCTGTAACCCTGGTAAACATGTGCCTCCTTTTCAGCTGTGTCTCTGAGCTGCCGGGGGCACGACAAACCCTGATTTAAAGCAAAATTGAGGTGGTTCTGGTGGTGGAGGCGGCAACAGGAAGAGAAGTGGCCCCTGCTGGATTCTGGTGGCAAGGATTCGGCCCCCGAATTCCTTGAAAGTTGCCTGCTGTATAGGAATGAATTTATATGCCACTTTGCAGAGGATGGTCCTCAAAGCTGTGTACAATAGCATCATTGAGAACTAATATTAAGTCTCCTGTAAAGGCTTGGATAGAGAGATCCTGTGGTTAGAGTGATCCCCTTTTGGGTTGGTGAGCGCATTTGGAACTTTGAGAATGTTTTGTGGGCTCTCTCACAAAATGGCTGCCAAGGGGGTGTCTTGCTCTTTTGTCAAATGGCTCTCACAGTAAGTAGGGATTGGCCCCTCTTCTTGAAGGCAAAATAGTGAGACAAAAAGGAAGAAACTTGCCCAAGAACCTAACGGCAAGGCAGAGGTGGACCTTGAGTTCCAAAAGTGCTCTTTCTGAACCTGAGTGAAGATGGCACGGGTTTTAATTTGTAAAACCTTCTAAGAAATGTAATAACAGTCAGGAGGCACAAGGGAGAGCAGGGAGCCGGGCAGGATCCAAATGAGGAGTCTGCGGTTACTTTGGTACCCGGATGCCCCATATTTGAGAGCACAGGTTAGAGGGTGGCCAAAACAAGCAGAAAGGTGGGTGCCTTTTGCTGCTTTCTCCATGCACTTGGGAAATCTACTCCAGATGTTTTGGGGACCCACCATAATAACAGTGTGGGAGGTGGCGGGGGGTGGGTTTGGCAAAAAATTGGTTTCCACTAGATTGGCAACCTTTTGCAAGTGGGAGCAGCCTTTCTGTCTGTGGAAGAACAAGCTTGTATCCGAGCCATAAACTCAACCGAACAGTAGCAGGGGTGGCATGTTAAGAGTCAGATAAATCAACAACTGTGCCAGTATGTTGTCATACATTCTTCCAAAGTGGAAGGGCTAATCTTCACTATCCTCTTTGGGGAGGGAAAAGAAGCCAGGCAAGACTCTCATGGAAAAACATGGAGAAGTTTAATGAAAAGGCAAATAATTAATATGCTTCAGCAGAAACCTTGCTGAGGGGTACAAGAATTAATTTTTGAGTTATTCTCACAAGGCAGTATTGTTCCGTATCTCAACAAATTGAATCCATGTTCCCCGAGGAATGTTTCCATCGAAACACGTCAGGCAATTCACTGTTTTGTTAAAACTCTCCACATTTTTGGTGCCATTTAGAAGCTTTCCTCTTCTCTCTCTCTCTCTCTCTCAATCCTTTGTATGTGGTGCTTATTTTTCCAACTTTCTTGTTGGCTTTTGTAGTCTGCTACACCTCATGGATATGGAATGCGGAAAGACATGCTAAACCCCCAAACCCCCAAAGGCAAACACGTCCTTCCAAGCCACACTCTTCCTTGCACAAAAACATTTTCTTATGTGGAGCTTTGCTGAGCCTTCAGCAGGGAGGTGTCCCATAAGAGGGCCAGCAACCAGTGCAGGATATTCTTAAAGTCCTAATGATGCACAGATGGAAAACCTAGGAGCTCATCTCAGCCCCAGAGACATTGATGGAATATAGAGTGGAATCTGTTTCTTAGGAACGTAAGAAGATCCATGTTGGATCAGTCCAAATATCTACCTAGTCCAGCATTCAGTTCACACAGTCCAGAATCTTGCACCATTCTGCTCCATGGGATGGATTCTGTTCAGTTCTGCTTTGATTTGAGGGAGGGGGGAAATTCTCCCTTTTCTCTAAAAATATCCCCATCAGGGATAATTTTGTCCCTGCTTTATCCATCCTTTTTCTTGGATACAGAAACAGCGCGAGTCAGAAGGGGCCTCCCGGGCATCTAGTCTGACCCCTGGCTCCACTCACAGCGTGCCCACCATGGGGTCTTTCCCCAGATCTCTCTGGCATGTGCACTTTTGGTATCATGTTAAACCCCAAACAATCAGGGTTCTTCAGTTCTTTCAGCAGCTGCTCTTGGGAACGTCCTGCCTCCCCTGCCACTTCTTGCATAAAACCGAGCAATGACATGGAAACCTCTTGATCGAAGAAGGATCACCTTCTCATTGTTTTCTCCTCTTTGTGGGCTGGATTCCCTGGCCACAGGTGAAACCTCTGCTGAACGTGGCCCGGCAAGAGGAGGAGATGAAAGAGAAGGAGGAGGAGCTGAGGAACGCCATGGCCAAGGCGCAGGAGCTGATGGATCGCCTCAAGGAACTGGAGGAAAAGTTGGCCACGCTTAGCCAAGAGAAGAACGACTTGACCATCCAGCTGCAGGCGGTGAGTCTCCAGGGCAGGCCCATCCTAGGGCGCTTCCTCGGTCGTCGTGCCTCACTGTCGCAGACGCGCGTGCAGGAGCTTTGCACACTCGAGGGAACGGTGCTTGCATCAGGCCCTGGAGGGCTCAGAGTGGTCAGAGCCAGCTGGAAAGACCAGAGGCAAATAACTTGGGCTGAATCAGACAGGAATCGGTTTCCAAGAACGGCAGCGAAAGGAGCCAGGCCGACGGAGATCTTCACCAAAGATCAGAGCTGCAACAGAAAGTCCGAAAGGTCTGAGATAGGAGGTATGATGCAACGTGGGCGGGGGTTTCCAGAGGACTCGGCTGTCTCTAAAGCAGTTCTTCCATCTGACGGATGAGCAACTGGTCAGAAGAGCAGCGGGCTCACCTAGTGCAGCCAGGCTGATGAGCTCCTTCCAGGGCGCAGTGGAGCAACGGAGGCGAGGCCAAGAGCTCCCTCTGCTGGGCATGGGCTGCCCCAGCAGTGCAGGGGGCCGGGTGCTTGGATCCCACAGCCAGCTTCCCAGGATGGAGTCGCTTGGACTCTCGCAGACCGACCTCCGATGTCGCGTGCCAGTGGAGCAGAGTGCTCAGAGTGTTGGACTGCTGTTCAGGAGGTCCGAGTTCTAGTCCCCACAAAGCTCCCTGGATGACTTTGGGCAAGTCGCTGACTTAGCCTAACCTACCTCACAGGGTTGTTGTGAGGGTAAGATGGAGAGCAGGAAGAGGATTTTGTCAGCCTCCTTGCGCTTCATGAAGAAAGAAGGCTGAGGTATAAATATAAGAAACAAACAAAGCGGGAAGGTCCACACTTGTTTTGATTGTGGAGAAAGTGTCAGGGCACCTAGCGCAGGACACAACTTAGGGATGCAAAATAGTGTGGGTTTTTGTTGCATGCTGAGAGTTGATAAAACAAGCAGGCCGCTATTCCATGATTGCTCAAGCTTGTGTTGGGCTAGTGAGGGCTACAGCCCCTTGAGTAGAACTATGGCTATTTGCCGTTGATTTCGTGCCTGCTGGGGGTAGGAGAGAGGAGAACTGAAGGAGAGCCACTCTGCCCATCCAGCTTTTCCTGCCTCTGTGCAGTCTCAGAGTTCCCCCAAGGCTGCCTTTGCCCTCTTTGCCAGGGTAGGAAGTGCCTGGCCATGGCCCAGGCGCTTCTGCCAGTGGGCGAACTGTGGCTGCGGACGGCGCATGCACGGTTCTTCTGGAGGCAGCTGGTGAGCTTGCCTCAAGAGGCCCCGGGCAGCTGTGGCCTCTGGGAGTGGCCATTCATGTGTCTCTTGTCCACCCCTGCAGGAACAAGAGAACCTGATGGATGCCGAGGAGCGCCTCACACAGATGATGAAGGCCAAGATGGACCTGGAGAGCGAGATCTCGGACATGAAAGAGCGCTTGGAGGAGGAGGAAGGCGCGGCCGCATCTCTGAGCGCCAACAAGCGCAAGCTGGAAGGGGAGCTGAACGATCTCAAGAGAGACCTCGAAGGGCTGGAAACCACCCTCGCCAAGACTGAGAAAGAGAAGCAGGTCCACTTTTTTGCATAGAGAGAGAGAGAGTGCGCGCCTGTTATGGGCCGAAAATCCCCTGCAAATGCAGGCTTTTGGGTCCTTGCAATGAGTCGGGGGGCAGGCTTGGGCAGCTGCTGAGGGTCCATAACCCAGCAGGGGCCCGGTGACTGCAGGCCCTTGCACCTGTGTATCCTGCTCATTCTTGCAACCTGCTTCTTCGCCTGGGCCAGTGAATGGCGGTGGCGAGGAAGACCACCCCCTGGCTTGGCCAGCGAATGTGTCTCGGAGCGTTGCCCAGGCGCGCCTCCCAAGACTATCATCTCCGCTGCCGCTTGCCCATCATCCTGTTGCTGTGCCAGGTGTATTCCTGCCGCTCGCCCTTTGGGCTACCAGGACCTCCTTTGCCAGCCAGGTGCTCTCCTAGCAAGATAGGCTGCGATCCCCATAATCCCCAGCCAGGTCATGTTCCCAACCATTTGAATCTGCCCTCCTCCTCTCCAGGCGTTGGATCACCGAGTGCGCACCCTGACCAGCGATCTCTCAGCCCGAGACGACACTGTTGCCAAACTCCAGAAGGAAAAAAGGGCTTTGGAGGAGCTACACCAGGTAAGGCCACGCCACTCCGCTCCCCGTTTTGTCTCCGAGATGCAAATCACAGTTAGGAACTGTTGGAGGTTTGTTTATTGGACTTCTGGAAAAGTTACCTTCTAGCTATGAAGGCCTCAAAAGGCACGGCTTACAATTCAATAAAAAGAATATATACAAACTGCAGCACGTAGATATTGTTCATAGTAGCAGGAGGGGAATAATCCAAAGAAATGTCTGATGAAATGTTTTTTAAACCCCATGTGGCTGGCCTAAGGTCTAAAGGAGGAAGAGCCAGCCAGGTCTCCACAATTAGATGCCTTTCCAAAAGAGGTGTTTCAGTGCCACCCCTTAGAAGGCCCCGTCTTTCTTTCCAGCTAAACAAACTTTCAATCGCAAAGGGAAGTAAATGGAGCCAAGCCTCCAGTTGGGAATGCGGTGGGTAAGCACAGTAAAAGGAGGAGTGGGTCTTTCAAATAGTCGGGCCCCAAACTGTTCTGCCTGTGTTTAATTACTCCTTCAATACCGAAAGTGATCCAAGGGTGGTCTCAGGGCTCTTTACCGGTGATGGGCAGAGCATTCCAGATGAGGCAGATCTGGCCCCCTGGGTCTGAGGTTTGGCTCCCTAAGTTTGTTCTTGTAATCCTAAACCATGGTTTTGAAAAGCATGTGAACCATCTGTATGGTTAAACTAACACTTTGGGCAAGAGACCAATAGCCCTACTTAAGTGGACATGTATAATGATCTCATTGGCTCGGATCCTTTTGATCTTGTGCAGGCAGAAATCTCAGGCACTGACGCGTTCTGCAATTTAAACTTGCAAAAAAGAAAGTTAAACTTCAGGTTAGCCAGAAATCCGGCTTTTGACCCCAGAAGGCTTGTGATAATTGAGCCCAGTTAAGGGTTCCTTGCTTGCTTTGGCAGTGACAGGTTTTTCTTCTTATGTGTTTCCTCTTAGAAAACGCTAGATGATCTTCAAGCCGAGGAAGACAGAGTGAACCATCTAACCAAAAACAACAGCAAACTCAGCACCCAAATCCATGAGGTGAGAGCCGAGCCGGGTGCTGGGGAGGGGGTACCATGGTAGTCTTTTGTGATGCAGACTGAATGGGGATTTTAATGAGATTTCTGCCCCGTGTCCACAGTGGAGAAAGGTTGTCTCCAAGAGCTGGGCTTCGGTCTTACCCCCAAAAGGAAGCTATTCACTTACAGGGAAGAAAATGAAGGGTTGCCCTCGTGGATCCCAACTCTGGGGTAGAATCTTGTTCCATCCCCATTCCAGCCATTGAGAATCAACTCTGTGGCTATTTTATTTCTTTATATCCCACCCATTGTGGAACCCAAGGTGGCTACATGCCCTGGTGGTCTCCCTTCCAAGCTCAGACCAAGACTTGACCTACTTAGCTTCAACATGATTATGGGCCTTCAGACCATACTCTGGGCCTGACTGGCATTGCATGGCTCCTTCTAGGTTCTCCTTTCTGTCTTACAGGTTTGGAAAACCCCAAGGTTGAGGAATCACAAGTGTTGAATAGGCAGTCTTTAGGTTTAATATGCAGATGGACAGATATATGGATACATCATCTGCTTTTATTAAAGTCCAAATAAATATGCCCAATCATCTTGTCATATCTAAAATAATATAGGGGTTTTCATGACATACATATTTCTTGCAATGCATAATATGCAAACCTTATGCTAGAAAACTGCAATGTTTATTTTTGCTTGATTTTGTTTTTATTTTTATTTATTTCCATTCATTATAAAAACATTTTCACCAGAATGTATTTGGGAAAGAAAACAACCTTAAAGGAGGCGGGGAAACTCCCAAGAGAGCTCAGTAAAGCCCATGGCCACTGAGTGATGTTTGTGGGGGTAGGAAGAAGGGAAAGATGGGGCTGGAATCCTGGATGCCCCCCCCCCCCCGAATGAAAGGGGAAAGAGATAGCAAGAAAGCTGATCTCAAAATGCCCCCATCAACTTCTTTTTTATGTCTTTATGGGTGTTTGCTCATTTGTTCTGATAACTCCCTTTCTGTCCACTGCTTTTTCCAACCAGCTGGAGGACAACTGGGAGCAAGAGAAGAAAATCCGTGCGGAGGTGGAAAAGGCCCGACGCAAAGCGGAGGGGGACTTGAAAATGACCATTGAAAATCTCAACGAGATGGAAAGGGCGAAGCTTGACCTGGAGGAAGTGGTCAAGAAGTACGTGCGCACAGACACGCACGCTGGGTTGAAGGGAAGGTCATGACGGGCTGGGCTCATAGGAAGAGTGGTGGATTGTCCAGCCGGTAAACCCAGGAGAGAGTTTGGGGGTTCGGGGCCACTGCCCAGGGTAGGCACCCAAACTCCCAGCATGCAGGCTGGGGCATGCTAGCAGTTGTAGGACTTCTCAGCAGATGTAAGATTTTGCCCTAAATCTTCCCATAAATGATCGTGGGACCGTGGTGGTTGATTTACCTCTTTGGGCTGGATCGTAATACTTGTAACATCTCCCTAAATCCTGCTGAAGTTCTTCTCTTCTTCCCCATTTCTTTATGCCCTTCGTGTGTTGATCAGCTCTTCCATGAAAGCTCTTGACCATCATTTGGGCCTCCATTCTAGCATGTCAACATGTCACGGGCTTCTTCCTTTCTACCCACGGGACTGGAACGGAACCCCTTCGCGAGCATGACCGGTTTTTCTTTGCAGGCGAGACCTTGAGATCAACTCTATCAACAGCAAAATGGAGGATGAGCAGTCGCTGAATTCCACCCTCCAGAGGAAACTGAAGGAGCATCAGGTAGAAGAGGAGGATGCTGAGAGGGACATTCCAGGTGGCATCCTTTCGCGGGACCTGCACAAATGGAGCACTTTCCCCCATAATCCCCTGGGTTGGCCTGCTCTTGCCAAGAATTAAGGGCAGGAGTGGACAGCTTGTGGCCCTTTGGATGTTTTGGCCTACAGTTCCTCTGAGCCCTAGCCAACACAGCCAAGCTGAGGGGTGATGGGTTTCTAGTCCCCATTGTCTAGAGGGCCACAAGTGGACCACCCTTGCCTTAGAGAGTTGGCTACCCTGAGAGGACACTTTAGGGGATGGTGTTGTGGCCAGTGTGTATGTGGGAGAAGTGTGTATCGACTCCACCCACCCCATGGTGCTTGGGTCCGGCATCCCCCACACCTTCCACGGGCCTAAATACTGGCCAGGGCCTCACAGCCGTATGTTTTCCTGACAGGCCCGGATTGAAGAACTTGAGGAAGAGCTTGAAGCTGAACGCTCAATAAGGGCAAAGGTAAGCAGTCTGTCCAATAGCATTTCTTCCACCGCTGCCAGTGTTATTCATGCTAATTGTTCGAGCATTTTAGCTCCTTGAAATTGCTCGGCATCACAACAGCCATGTAAGGTAAATCTTTCCTAGCCCCGTTTTACAGACCGTGCTGCTGAGGCTGCAGTGCCATTTTGTGGTTATGTAATGGAATATACAGCAAGGCAAAGAAGGAGCGAAAGATGCTGGTGGGGGTCGGGTGGGGCAAGGAACCAGATATAAAGAAGTCAGTCTTTAATCCCACAAAGAATCCAGGAGTAGAAGTCTTGGTGAAATGGCAGCTGAAAAGCCTTGTCTTGAGAAGCCTTGGTAATAATCAGTTTTGGGGAAGGTTTGGCGGTCTGAAGAAGCATCAGGGCTCGAACCCATGCCTTCTGCATCCTTCTCTGAAGGATGGTCTCCTGCATCAGTATTTCAGGAAGTGGGCGATGCAAGTTGGTGCATGGCTCCAGGTGCCGAGTCACCTGTCTAGGGCTCATCTCCTGACCTCACTCATCTCCGTCTCCACGTCTGCATTATAGTGGTGGGTTTAGGGAGTGCAGCCAGGGGCCCAGCAATGCTAAGGTTCTGCTTCCTTGACTTCCTTCAGATTGAAAAACAGCGCAGCGATATCTCCCGGGAACTGGAAGAGCTCAGCGATAGACTGGAAGAGGCCGGAGGGGCTACTACTGCTCAGGTGAGCTTGCACCCATCAAGGTGATAAACTATTATTCCCATTTTATGGACTGAGACACAGAGTGTTAAAGGTAACATACTGTCCCAGCCCACAAGTAATCCCTCTTTCAAATGGGCTTCATCTGCTGGGAAAGCGATGTGTTGGACGCTGCATGAGAGAGTGCATGGAGAGAACATAAATGATTTAAAATACATTTTTAATTTCCAGTTTGGCAACCGGAACAGGGAAGGAATGTTAGGAGATCACTCCCACATAGTTATACATATTTGACTATTATCTGTCACCTTTTAAGAGTAAAGGTTCTTCCAGTGGCAACAGTAAAGTAATAAATTTACAAACATCATATGACTTAGATCATAACATCTAGCAGAAAATACATACGAGGGTTCTTCTAAAAGTTTCTGCACTTTTAAAAACTATTTATTAAGAATTTAAAAAACAAATTGTATCACTTTCCTACATACTCACCTTCCTTTGCAACGCATTTTTCCAGTGTTGTAGCAACTTTTTAATGCCATCAGCAAAAAATATCTAAAATGTATTTATAAAAGTATGGAAACTTTGAAGACCCCTTGTATAAACAAAACCAAGCTGAATGTGTCTTGGAGAATAAATAATAGCTTTCAGTGCTATATCTAAAGATTGGCAGAGAGGAGCTCAACAGAGCTTCTGGAGAAGAATCTTCCACAGCGGTGTGGCCACCACTGAAAAGGCCCTGCTTATGGGACTGCCAATCTTACCTTCACTCGTGATGGGCTAGCAAGCTGAGCCGCAAAAGCCCGTCCAGGGTTGTCATGTCAAGGTGGTCCAATTCCAGTCTGTTTAGTGCATTAAAGGAGAGTAGCTGCTTGTTAAACAGCCCAGAAAGACATTGGCTTCATATTTGGAATGCTCTCCTCAAGATTTGCCTGGCACCTTCCTTATATTTTTTTCGGCACCAGGCAAAGACCTGCCTTTAAAAAAATATTTTAATCGTGAATGCCATTCGACCTTTTGTTTTGTATTTTTGTCCATATTTTACTGACGTTGCATTTTAATATGTTGTCATTGGGTTTTTATTGTGTTTTATCTTGTGATTGTGAGCTGCCCAGAGGTGCTGTGGCGCAACTGGACAGAGTACAGATGTCTTAAGTAAATAATCAATTTCAGTGGTGAATGAAACATTGTTTGTTTATTTAAATGATTTCTTTCCCACTCCTTGGCCAAAAAGACTCTTGGAGAAATTTATGATGGGTTAAGCAAGACGATTCCCTCCCACAGCATTATGAGCTGAACAGATGCAGTGTGCAAGGAAAGAGTGATGGGTGGGGAAGAGGAAAAACCAAGGACATCTCTTGGCCAGGCTGATGGGGCGGCCCGGCTCCGCTTCTCATGTCGCGCTGCTGCACCTGCCGAAACGGCTGCAGGTTGACGCGCGTTGGGGCCGAAGGGATGATGAGCGGCCGCTGACGCTCTGCCCTGCCGCCTCCAGATTGAGCAGAACCGCAAGCGCGAGGCCGAGCTGCTGAAGCTCCGTCGGGAGCTGGAAGAGGCCGCCTTGCAGAGCGAGGCCACGGCCTCCACCCTGCGGAAGAAGCACACGGATGCCATGGCTGAGATGACGGAGCACCTGGAGAACCTGCAGAGGGTGAAGTCCAAGCTGGAGAAGGACAAGCAGGTCATGAAGGCCGAGATCGACGACCTCAACTCCAGCATGGAGACCATCCAGAAATCCAAGGTATGACGATGGGAAGACGGGAAACCATGCTGCTGAGTCCGGGGAAGAAGGGTGTTGGCTCTTTCCCTCCAGAGCTGGAGGGAAAGGGCCAAAACAAGATAGACAGTGGCCAAGGAGGGAGAACGGGGCCAGCCTGGCAGCCAGGTTTGAAGGCCAGGTGGAAGCTTGGGTGTTCCTCAGAAGACGAAGCTGTGCAGGTTAGGCTGGGGTGACCAGTGCTGGACTTCAGGGCGCAGGAGCCCGGCTGGGGCCCCAGCTGACCTTCTGGTGTTCTCCCACTCACGTTCCCCAGCCCACAGTCTGTTGGGGGGCTACATGCCGCCACAGCCTCACTCAATATTAGGCTGCTTTCAATTTACTTATTACATTTCTACTCCACTTTTTCTCCTGCAAGGAACCCAAAGAAAGTTGTGGACTCCCCCTCTCCTTCTTCATTTAGCATCCCAACAACCCTGGGAGGCGGCTTAAGATGAGGGACCACGGCTGGTGCACAGTTCCCCAGTGATTTTTGTGGCCTGAGCCAGAAGCTGGGTTGGCCAAGTCCTAATCCAACACTCCAACCACTAGGCCAGGCCGGCACACTTCCCGTGTTGTTATGACTTAGCCGGCTCCATCGGCTTTGGCCCAAATTTCTCACGTTGATTGGCACCTCTGCTTAATTGGCCCCTGCCCTGGCCCTCTCCTCACCCACTTTAGCTGTCAAGTTAAACTCATACATGATGAGTTGTGAAAGAGGCCTTGGGGCACCCTGTTGGGGGGAAAAGCACCCACACTCTCTCGTGCCCTGTTTCTGCAGTTAAACGCTGACACTCACATCCGCAAACTGGAAGACAACCTGGCTGAAGCCAATGCCCGGCTGTCTGAGATGGAGAAGAACCAAGCGGAAATCAACGCCATCAGGACCAGGCTCCAAGGTTCATCCCCTTCTCTCAGTGTCATGTGCAGATATATTCATCTGCTCAGATATCCGCAATTACACTTGGCACCCAAGCCAGTGGTTTCCGGACTTTCACGGGATGTTTCATGCGCTGGACATGAACCTCCCTGCATCAGATTCTGAAGAGCCCTCCAAATGGCAGAAGGTTTTGGGCCGTGTCCTGCCGCACCTAGTCTGCTCATGGGAAGAGGCCTCTAGGCCTGGTGGGCTCTGGGCTGGCCCCTGGTTAGCCCTGCGACCCAGGGCCACGCTCTAGGAAGAGGCTCCCACCTAGCCCGTGGCTTTCTTCCCCCTCCTCGGCCTCCGCCCTGCCTCCTGGTCCATTCGCCTCCTCCAAGCATCCAGACGGAAGGATGCCCTGTTGCCTCCCAAAATAGCCCACGAACTGAACGGACATGCCCGTTGCTTTTTTGCCGCCGTGGTCAAAGGCAAGCTCACTGTCACAGGTCATCCCGTTGCAGAACGTGTGAAAGGTGCCTCCTGCTTCCTTTGCATGCCAGGTTGCTCCTGAGGGGCTCCCTCCTTGCCCTCTCGCCTCGTCCTGTGCTTGAGTTTTCCAGTCAGTGGTGTAGTGGAACCAGGGCTTGCTGGGCTGTATCCCTGGCACTGCTTGTCCAAGCAGGGATGCCAGTGGCCCCTGCCAGCCCCTCAGAATCCCCCCTTTCCTCTGCGCTTAGCTGCAGTCCTTGCTGCAGCTGGGGTGGGTGGGAAGGAATTTTCCAGGCAGTTTTCCTTCTTGTAACGTGACATATTTTGGAGCGGCTTCATTCGCAATGGGCAAGTGAGATCCATTTGCCGTAAAAAAATAAAAATTGGTCTCTGCTGGAGAGGAAAACTGCTAGAACTTTTTCGTTGACATGGATCAACACAGATGACTGAACAGCTGGGCATGGTGCCTGCCACACAAAAGCTATCAGTGCACCACTGCTTCCAGATGTGGTTGGGCTCTGGCTGCCATCAGCCCCAGTCAGCATGGCCAGAGACGATGGGAGCTGTGCCCCGGCAACATCTGGCAGGTCGCGCCTGACCTAACGACCTCCTGGTCTTGTTCCCTTTCGGTGAACTGAGGCAATGGGAGCCCCCTGCCATGTCTACCTTCCCTCGAGTGTTGCTGATTCTTTCTCTCGTTGCTTCTGCAGCGGAGAACAGCGAGCTGAGCCGGGAGCACGAGGAGAGTCAGACAAGGCTGAACCAGATCATTCGCGTGAAGACCTCCCTCACCTCGCAAGTGGACGACCTCAAGAGGCAGCTGGATGAAGAGTCGAAAGTAAGGAGGCAAAAAGACCACTATAACAATTCCACACGGCTGTTATTACATCGCACTGATACAAACACCTCCCCCTCCATGTTCACCACTGATGGACACTTTTCTTGTCTCTTCTTTTAATAATTTTATCAATTTTTCAATCTAAAACACAACGAAAAAAGAAAAACTTGTGACTAAAATAGAAACATACAATTCAAATCATTCTTAGAAGAACTGTGCCCTCCAACCCCGGGACCAAAGAATCCACGTTACGGATGAAAGAACTCATTCAAACATTCTTTCAGGATGTTTCTCCCTTCCAAACCTGCAAGTATTCTTTTGACAGATCAGATCTTTCCCTTTTATGAACACATAATAGATGCATGATGAGCAGTTTTCTTCCAGTTTACAATCATGTTTTCCTGGAGTGCGGGAGTGCAAATACTGTTGCTACTATTACTACTAAGTAGTAGTAATAGTCAGACAGATCCACCAAATAGAATATTCTGCTATTTTTATTCCCTGTCCTTTGGGTTTTGTTTCTTCCAAGCAGCCTTGCTGTGATCCATGTTGGGTGTTTCGCAGTTTTCCACATGGCACACATGTTTGTGTTCTCCTGATCACAGTGGCGCTCTTGAAGGGGCCTGTGTTGGGTTGAACGGACATTTCGAACCCCCAACACGTACCCAGAGAGAGCGGGACTAACCCAGGATGCATCTCCTTAGGCCCGCAGTGCTGCGGTTGTGAGCCTGGCCAACACCAAACACGACCTGGACCTGATCAAAGAGCAGCTGGAGGAGGAACAAGCAGGCAAGGCGGAACTGCAGCGCCTGGTCTCCAAGCTCAACACCGAAGTCACCACCTGGAGGACCAAATATGAGACGGACGCCATTCAGCGGACGGAGGAGCTGGAAGAGACCAAGTGAGGAGGGACCACGGAGCTCCAGAGTGGGATTTGGGGGGGGGGTACCTTTGGAGAACTCCCCCACTTTATTGAGGGTTCTTTTCCTCTGCTCGCTCTGTTCAGAGGACAGGAGGGCAAGGAAGAGTAAACAGGCAGCGCTGGCAGCGGACGGGGGATGCTGCCACTTGGCCCTTCTCCTCGGGGCCGCGATGGCAGCAGCTGCTGCTGCTCCGTATTGGTTTATTTGAAGCGCTTTTTATCCGACTCCTTGCCACTCTCCCCACTGGCCAGCCAAGGCAAGGATGACAAGGATCAACTGTGGTGCTGGGCCTGGCTTCAGAGGCTCCGTAGGCCCCAGGGGCCTCAGCGGGGGCCCCAAAGGGCCGACCTTGGGCGCCAGCCTTGGAAGGAGCCTCTGTGAGCCCTTGCCGCTGGCTTGGCGCGTTAAACATAACGCCAAACTAGCTGCATGGTGGAGTGTGGGGAACCGTGCCCTTTAGTGGATGGTGGATTCTAGCTTCCATAATCCTCAAACAGTGGCCATGCTGGCTGAGACTGATGGGATCTGGAGTCAAACAGCATCCGGAGGGCTTCTTGTTCTGCATGCCCATGGTATACACAGGAGTTCCTCTGTGGACATGATGTGAGGTTTTTGCTGCAACAATGTTTTTCTGTAAGGACAACGACCACCATGTGATCGATTGATCGCTCTATCTATAGTTTTTGTATGCCGTCCCATCACTTAACACCTCGGGACGGCTTGCGTAAATAAATAAACATCATACGAAATACAAACTTGCCTGCAGCGTTGACCCATGTCTTCCTTCTTGCCTTCTCCGTGTAGGAGAAAGTTGACAGCCCGCCTCCAAGAGGCAGAGGAGACCGCCGAATCCGCCCAGGCCCGCGTGGCCAGCATGGAGAAGAACAAGCAGAGGCTGCAGATGGAAGTGGAGGACCTCACTCTGGACCTCGAGAAGGTGACGGCACACGCACGCCTTGTCGCGCCAGCACAGGTCAGGCTGCGGGTGGCTCGGCTTCGCATTCCCAGGAAAGTGGAGTCCAGCCATCCACGCCCAGGTGGATGAGAGATCACCTGTCGTGAAGACGCAGCTTGGCCTTTTCTGGCTCATGGGACTTATGGGACTGCAAGTTGTATTGCTAGGCGTCCGGAGGGGCTGCAGGCTGGGGGAAGCAGACTTACATAGCTTGGATACGTAAGACCGCAGAGCCACAGCTGTCGGGCTGTGAACTGCTTTCAGTCCGTGGGCTGGATGCTGTTCTGGAAGACTTTTTGGGGGGGCTGCATTGTGTGCTGGGTGGGGCCGATGAGAAAAGGTGGTGCGGACAAAGATTCCAGTAGATTGGAAAGGAATGTGCCAGTGCTGTCACGAACCGGGATTTCTTCTTCGCACATTCAAAAGGCGCAGACCCGTTTCCTTGCAGAGGGTCCTTTACAGACCGAAAAGCCCCAGACACCCAGATTTAGGCCGTGCATGATGAACGGCTGCTTGTCGGCTTCTTCCTTCAGTCCAATGCAGCCTGTGCGGCCCTGGACAAGAAGCAGAGGGCCTTTGACAAGATGCTGGCCGAGTGGCAGCAGAAGTGTGAGGAACTGCAGCTGGAGGTGGACAACTCCCAGAAGGAGTGCCGCATGTACATGACGGAGAACTTCAAGCTCAAGACGGCCTACGAGGAAGCCCTGGAGCACCTGGAGTCTGTCAAGAAGGAGAACAAGACTCTGCAGGGCAAGTATTCCATCTCCGGCTTATCCCAGAGGTGCAGAACCTTTTCCATCCCAAGGGCCACATTCCATTCCGGAGAAGCTCTTGGGGGCTGCATTTTAGGGGTGGATGGAGCCGGATGCAAAATAGATGGAACCAAGCGTACCAGCCTTCATTCATGCGAGGCTCTTACTACCCGGAAATAAGCCGTAGGGGAATCACAGGCTAGCCCAACAACCCATAGCTTGTTCTGGAGGTTATTGGATCCGTGATGGGTTGTTGTTATCATGCAAGCCCAGATGGCCAACCCCATCAGCTACGTGGCCTTGGAGGAACACGCTCAAGCTCTGCGGGACTCTGGCTGAGTTCCAGTGCCAGCCACCCCTGAAGTGCCCAAGCTTCTGGCTTCTTCCCTTCTGTGCTTGCTGTGCCTTCCCCTCCCTTTTACATCTCCCAGAAGTGCTCATTACATTTCTATACAGCCCACGGCCGAAGCGCTCTAGACATTGAGTCCCCCATCCAATTTTCAACCAGGCCCGACCCTGCTTAGCTTCCAAGATTAAGCAGGAGAGGCACTTCAGGCTGTGCAGGAGCCTGACTCTTCCTGGTCGTGGAGGAGAACGGCCAGGGTCATAGCAACACGCCCTCATGTGTGTGCACATATTTCCTCCCCACAGAGGAGATCAAGGATCTCATCGATCAGCTGGGAGAGGGTGGGCGGAGCGTCCACGAGCTGCAGAAGATGAAGAAGAAGCTGGAGATCGAGAAGGAGGAGCTGCAGGTGGCCCTGGAGGAAGCCGAGTCTTCCCTTGAGGTAACCAGGAGAAGAACCCGCTACGAGGCCCGGTTTATTTTGCGCTGCCAGCTCAGCAAAGGAGCTCTCCGTTCGTGAGAGAGACGAGCCGGCTGTGCTGAGGAAAGCTCTCAAGCGCAGGCCTTCATCGTGGAACGCCCCATCGCTGCTCTTCCGGGCGAGTCCAGAGTGCGATGCTGATCCACGGCACCCAAAAGTTCCGGCCGTTTCCCCCTCCGCCAGGAGCGTGCCTTCGCTCAACCCTGAGTGGCGGCTTCGAGACCGAGCCACCCTGAAATACTTCGCTTTGCAACCGGAAATTGTTGCTAGGAAAACGCCGGCCTGCCCCGGTTGCCACGAGGATGGCAGCCGAGCTCGGAGAGGGTGGCAGGTGATGCCAGCAGCCCTGCTGATAAGCAAGCCCAGCTCCTGCCACACCGCCATCCGGAGAGCCAGCGGTGCGCCACCCAAGGCTTTCGGGAGGGGTCCATGTCCTCCATGGTTGCTGGGAGCAGGAATTGTGGGGGGACGGAAGAGCTTGGTGCCCCCGCTAATAAAAAACTGCCGGCCCCGTTTCCATCATCCTGCTGGCGCTCGCATGTGCCCTGGTCTGTTCAGAGCCGTCCTGCAGCAGGAGTCACTGCCTCCCAGGCCGAGCCCCTCCATGCCTCTGCTTGCACCTTTGCCAACAGGTGGAGGAGAGCAAACTCATCCGCATCCAGCTGGAGCTGGCCCAGGTCAAAGCGGACATCGACAGGAGGATCCACGAGAAGGAGGAGGAGTTTGAAGCCACGAGGTACGGCGGGCGGGTTGTGTGCAACAGCTGCAGGAGCAGGAGGGCCCATCATGCGGAAGAACAGGCGCCAAGGCCAGCGTGGCTGGCTGAAGGTTTCTGAGCTCCTCTGGGCCAAGGGCCCTCCTCTGGCGCGCTCTCTCTCTCTCTCGGAGTCTCTCTTCTGGCCACCGTGGTCCCCGCTGCTGCTCCTCTCCCTTATCACGGGTACCACTTGCTTGGCAGGCAGAGTCAGTGGGGAGGCTGGTGAGGAGGAAGCGTGAGCCCAGCAGCTCTTCTCCATGGGCCCCTGCGTGGGTGCAGGCCCTTGGCAGATGCCCCACCGGGCTTACCCTTCATGCTGGTCTTGGCCTGGTGACATTTGTGGTAGAAAGGCAGAGTACAAGCCAAATGAATAAGCCATGGCTTGTTTCATCATTTGCTGGACAAACCACAGATAGGTCAACAACCCATGGTTTCAGTGAATCGTGGATTGGTGTTATGGGTGAACAGGGCCAGTGAAGAGCCTGGGATCTTGCCCGTGACGTCCATAACTGGCAGAGCACTTACATTCAGCTTCCCCACCAGTCCAACTCCTCAGCCACTTAAAGCCACTCTGGCTCTTTCTTTTGCTGAATGCGATGCGGGATTTACTTCGGCACAAACGTGCCGCTGCCCGGGCTGCGCCAGGACGGGACCTGACGGGCCGGCTTGCCTGCCCCTGCAGGAAGAACCACCAGCGCGCCATCGAGTCGCTGCAGTCCAGCCTGGAGCTGGAGGCCAAGGGGCGGGCTGAGGCTCTCCGCCTGAAGAAGAAGATGGAGACGGACCTGAACGAGATGGAAATCCAGCTGGACCATGCCAACCGGAACAACAGTGAGCTCGTGAAGACCCTGAAGAAGCTCCAACAGCAGATCAAGGCAAGTCCTGCGGTGGGGAGGCGGGGGGGGGGGGGGCGAGGCTCGCCGGCTGGGGAGAAGACCTTTGCCCAGAAGGACCCCTGGCCGCCGGTCAGTTCCCGGCAGGCAGGGGTGGCAGCGCTAGGCCACTGCGCCGCTGGAGAGCCCGGGTGGCGTGGCAGCCCTAGGCTGGCCTGGGACGCGGGCGATCTGGCTTCTCTGCTGCACTTGGGCCATGAAGCTCAGGGGATGATTCTGGGCCAGCCCTGGCCCACCTTGCAGGGTTGTTGTGAGGATGAAATGGAGACGGGGAAGATTATGCATGCTGCTAAGGGGCTCTCGCAGGAGAAAGCAAAGGCAGGACATCAATGTAGGGGGGGTGTGTGTGTGTAATTTCTTTTAAGAGCCGCGCCTCCATTTTCTAAGCAATTCTGGGGTGGATTATCTCCATCAACCCCATGGGTAGCTAAGTCGATCTTTAAAGGCTTCAGCATGAAGGCCTGTCTTAACCTGGCGCTGGAAAGATGCCACGCTGGGTGCCTGGTGGGCCTCAGAGGGGAGGTGGTTCCCTAGATGGGGCCACCATGGAGAAGGCCCTGCTCTTGCTGCCCCCCTGAGCCTCCCTCTCTTTGGCCGCTGCTCCCGTTCCACCTGCAGGACCTCCAGATCCAGATGGACGAAGACGCCCGGCAGCACGAGGAGCTCCGAGAGCAGTACAACCTGCAGGAGCGCCGCCTCAGCCTCCTCCAGACCGAGCTGGAGGAAGTGCGTGTCGGCCTGGAGGGCAGCGAGCGCTCCCGCAAACTCCTTGAGCAGGAGCTGGTGGAGGTCTCCGAGAGGCACAACGAGCTCAGCGTCCAGGTGAGAAGTTGTGCTGGAGAATGTGAAGCTATTCTGGGGTGGTCCGGCTGGAAACGAGCAACAAAGACCCGTTGGCTTTATGAATGTCCTGCTGCTGGCAGAGGTAAAAACTGCTTTGGGGATGCACATCCAAGCCATGGCCTGCGTTTTGGGCTCTTCTTGGAGCAGGATTATGCTGACCGCCATGAAGGGCACCCGCAGGCCAAAATTTACCTCTGTACCCACTTCCGTGAGTGCAGGAGGCTGGGCGGGCATTGGTGCCTTCTGGCCCCCGTTGGCAAAGGGGTGGCAGAGGCTGGCTTTGTAGTTAAATGCCACACACCCCGCATGGCCTCTTGCCCTCAGAAGCACACCTAGAGTTCTGTCTGGCTCCCCGTTTTCATGATCGGCGATGTGCCCATTTCCGTCGGCCTGTGCCCCACTTCACCGAAATCTTCTCCCTCTGCAGAACCAGACCCTGGTGACCATCAAGCGCAAACTGGAATCGGACCTCATGCGCATCACGAACGAGCACGAGGAGCTCATCAGCGAGTTCCGCACGGCAGATGAGAAAGCGAAGAAAGCAGTGGCGGACGTGAGCTTCCTCCCCATCTTTGGGCCACGTGCCAAGGGGCCATGCTGGAGACCGGCCTTCCTTGCCCGGGGCCTTCCAGCTATGTCCGAATGCAATGGGCGGGGCGGGGGGGAGTGTTTACAGAAGGGAAGACAGCAAAAGTTCTGAGGTGCCTGACAAAAAGATGTTCATTATGCCCAGTGTGTTTCAGAAAGCGTTTTTTAACCTCCTCGAAAGGCTTTTTCCTTCAGTGCCTCCTTTTTGTTTGGGGGTGATGGGAGTTGCAGCCCGACATCTGGAGGGCCTTAGGTTGAGGAAAATTGTGCTAGACCCCTTTCAAACCTCAGCAGGCCATGTTGGCATGCTGGATGAGGATGAGGATGCGATCAGGTGACGGTGATAGCAAATTCAAATGAAAATGTCCATGCCAGATCCATTACGTACCAATAACATGAGGTTAAAACGTGAGGAATTCAACCAGCCTCACCCACCCGGACTGCTGGAAATCTTTACCCTGGTACCCCTTCCGGTTCTGAGGCTCCAACTCGCATCACCTGTATGCTCTAATGGCTAAAACCCTTTCCCACACTCTCATTGCAGGGGGTTTGGTATCCCCTCTGCATTCCTTGGGCGACGGATCAACGGGAGACGGAAGGGAGTCCCAGCATCCACCTCTCCTTATGAAATACACATCCCGGTTTCTAAACTTCCGTTCCAGGCGACCCGCATGGCAGAGGAGCTGCGCCAGGAGCAGGACCATTCCATGCACCTGGAGAGGATAAAGAAGAACTACGAGGTCACCATAAAGGATCTGCAAGTCAAGATGGAAGAGGCCGAGCAGCTGGCCCTGAAAGGAGGGAAACGGACCATCATGAAGCTTGAGACCCGGGTAAGCAGACCTTCCCCCATTTTGCCCAAGTGTGAAGTCACGTCACCCCCGTAGGACTCTTGGCGGATTCAGACAGCGCTGGCTCTAGGTTTTGCAAGCCCGGGGGATCGGGGCAGTGAGGTGCGAGCTTTGGCAGGTGCAGAAATGTGCATTAAGAGGTCTCACGTCTTCGCGGAAGGCTTGCAGGCCCGGAATAGATTCAGCTGCTAAGAACTGTGCAGCGGGCAGTTATTTTCATTCTGCATTGGTAAAACAAACGCTCAGATTAGGAGAGGAAAGGTCGTGGTCAGAGGAGAGCTATCTCTGTGTAGTGCTTCAGAGTGTGGGACTGGGACTCAGGAGATCTGGCTCCTACATGAACCCCACTCAGCCCGGGGCTCCCTGGGTGGCTTCGGGCCAGCCAGACACTCACCCCAACCCGCCTCACAGGGTGGTTGTTGCGAGGATAAGATGGCAAGGAGGAGAAATATGTAAGTTGCCTTGAGTTGCTTGGAAGGGGAAAAAGGCAGGAAATAATAGTGAAATCCACAAATCATTCTCCTGACTTATCCTCATTTTAGCAGGTGTCCTCTATTTGCTGTTAGCTGCGAAGTCGTATCCGAACCATCGCGACCCATGGGCAACACTCCTCCAGGCCTTCCTGTCCTCCGCCATCCCCCGGAGTCCACTTAAGCTCACACCAACTGATTCAGTGGCTCCATCCACTGAATCCTCTTCCGTCCCCTCCTTCTTTTGCCATCTATTGTTCCCAGTATCAGGGTCTTCTCCAGGGAGTCCTTCCTTCTCATTAGGTGGCCAAAGTATCTGAGTTGCATCTTCAGTACCTGGCCTTCTACAGAGCAGTCAGGGTTGAGAGATTGACTGGTTTGATCTCTTTGTGGCCTCTATAGGCTTCTTTAAAAAACTCAGCACCAGGCACTCCAGGGTCTCTGTAATTTGAGCACTGAGCAAAACCTTACAGCACTGGCCACAATCCTGAAGTTGACGGAAATGTCAAACAAGCAGTTCTGGCTAGGACACTTGCGCAGCAGTCCCAGAGCTTCCTGGTATGGGGGAGTCAAGGCCAACCAGACTCCTGGCTGTTCTAAAGCTCCCCGAGGGTCCTTGGGCTTCTCAGTCTGGGCCACGCTTTGCCCTCTCCCTGGGCCACAGAACCTCCACCTGTCTCCTACCTTACCTGCCCTGCCTCTTGTATGTGCCTAAGTTACCTGTCCAGCTTTCGGCCTGAGCACGCGACCTTCTCAACCCTCCCTTACCTGTGCAGATCAAGGAACTGGAGACGGAGCTGGACTCGGAGCAGAAGCGCCACGTGGAGACAGTGAAGACCCTGCACAAGAACGAGCGGCGCCTGAAGGAGCTGGTCTTCCAGACGGAGGAAGATCACAAGACGAACCAGCGCATGCAAGAGCTGGTCGAGAAGCTGCAGAACAAGATGAAGACATACAAGAGGCAAATCGAGGAGGCGGTACGTGCTATCGTGCTCGGCAACATTTCTGTTCTGCCTCCCCACGAGCGTTGCCCCAGCCTGGGGTGCGGAACAGAATCCGCTTCCAGAGAGGTTCTTGGGGGCCGTGTGCCAGTGCCAGGTGAGGCCAAAGGCAGGAAAGCCAGTTTGCATCCGTATGTCCAGGAATCAAGTCTTCGGAGAGGCATTTCAGTCTTTCTGAACGGGAGCTGCACAAAAGCCAGGAAACGGCCAACAATTGGCCATAGGTGAAGGGGGTGGCCAGTTGGGGAACCCCCGGGGAGCAGAGATTCAGCACTCGGTTTAAGGGAGCCCCTTCAGCCGAGGGCAGGCAGCTTGTGGCCCTCCTGCTTGCGGGGGTCGCAGAGGCAGTCAGCGCGGGCTTGCACCGGGCCCCTGCCTCACTGGCCTACTTCGGCTTCTACCAGGGGCCAATAGAAGAGCCTCGTCTTGCACTGCGACCTCTGCTCTCTCTCTCAACTCCCTCCAGGAGGAACAGGCCAACCAGAACATGGCACGGTACCGGAAAACCGTGCACGAGCTGGATGACGCGGAGGAGAGGGCAGGGATGGCCGAGTCGGCCCTGAACAAGCTGCGCACCAGGCACCGGATCTCCGCCAGCAAAGGCTTCACCTCCGTGGAGATCGTCCAGGTCTCCAAATCGGGCGGGTCCAAGTCGGTCACCGAGGAATAGATCCCGCCTTGTTGATCCTGCAGCCGGTAGGTGTGACCTTCCTGCCCCCACTGGGAGGAGGGGCTCCTTATTTAATCAGTAGAATCCGCCTCGGCATCTCCGCTCGTTGAGGATCCGGCATGCTCACATTTGTGTCGAGGCAGTGTGCAATGACTGAAAGCCATAGTTTTCTAAAAGCGGGAACATAAAGCCAGTACAATGATGCATTTCCAAAGGCGTTTTTGTTCACCTAAAAGCCAAGTGCTCCGTGGGCCCAGCTGTAGAATTTGAAGAAGCACTAAAGCTTGGAAGCGATGCAGGAGAAAGATTTCTGTGCAGTCCAACACAGAGGTTTTTCTCCGGACCATCCTGTCTGTCCTAACAAGATGGTGATGGTCACGATGCCACACCAGCATATTACTGGTTATAAGGGGCAAAGGCAGAGGATGAACGAACATGACAAGAGCTCTTGGCTGCAAGATGTTCAAAGCAGAGCAAAGCCATCGTTTGCATTCCCTGCCTCCTTTTCCGTCTTATTTCATTTTCATGGCTTGTCCCAAGTGAATTGGTGTTTTCTTTCAGTCTGATGGACAAAACACCTCCAAACGGCTGCCTTTTGCAAAATCGCTACCGTAAAGAAGAGAGCAGCTTAGGCCAAGGGAAAAGGACATCTGCAAAGAGAGAGGAGGACGGAGGAAGTGAAGAGCATCTTAACCTCAGTGGGGAGAATGGGGAGTTACCCCCCATTTCTATACTATGAAGGTTCTGTGGACATGTTCTTTGAGTTTGAACGGATCTGTTTAAGTGCAGCCTGCTTACATTTTCATGTCAAGGACGGAAAATGTTACGAAAGTGTGGCTTGAGCTGCCTCTTGTAAATAATTCCTCCCTACAGAAATAGTCCTAAATGCATAGTCTTAATAAAGCTTTCTTCTGCAGAACAGGAACTTGGCCAAGTTTCTTTCTTTCTTTGCAGGACTGAAGACTGACTCAGTCACACCACTGGTGTCTGAAAGCAGTCATAAGAAGAGAAGCAGTTTATTTTTCTCTCTTCTATGAATTTATAGCCTACTATCTATAGGGCAGATAGAACAAGCATCAAAGCAGAACGGGAACCAAAGCATGAGGCGGAAAGGAGTTCCTCGTTATTACAGTGACAGCAAGCACAGGCAGGTTGCTTGAAAGAGGCGTACAAATGCAACATAATTAACCCTTCCTCCAGTGGGGGATTTTCCAGCACCCCAAGCCAAACAGCGGTATCAGAGGTTTTATGTGCTTTACTGAGCAGGGGAGGAAAGGGTTAACCCTGCTGCAGCTGGTGAGAAACGAAGGTGGACTAAATGACAATGGAACAAGAGTCAAAAAGATCACACTGCACCCTCCTGTGTTGCTTCACTGCTTTTAAACACACTGTGGTTTTGTATGTTGCACAGTGGGGACCCAGGTTCTTGATTGAAGAAACACCTCACCTTTTCAGCATCTAGATCAGTCTGAGATCCCCCTCTAGGACGTAACAATTATCAAGGATAATTGTTAATTTAGACAAGGCATTTTTGGCACTGATGATTCCTGCAACACTCTCCCTCCAAAGAAACAGCATAAGCTGAGGAAATGCCGTTAAATCTCTCTTGCAGTTTTCACTGTAGTGTATTAAATCTCAGATTTTCTGCTGTGCATGCATTCATGGCCTGGGAACACTTGCGCTGCAGCTTTCCCTTTCCCCAGCAGCAAAAGACCTTTTGAAAGATAAAACTATATTTATGAGCTATTGCATTCCAGTTGTGCAATTTCTGGCTGACCTAGTTGTAAAAACCAGAGAGAGACTGGCCCCAAATAACCGAAAAGCAGGATATGATGTGCCATTGCCAACCAGTGCCAAATTTTACAGAATTCTCAGGAGAACAAAAGACAATTTTTAGGAGCATATTCTACTGAAATCAGTGGAACTTAGGCCAAAGAATGAGATCAAAACTTGAGAGATTAAAATAAAAACTTTTTAATTGCATCTTTAAAGTACTGACAATTTCCTTGCTCTAAAACAGTGAAGAGTCTGGAGATAAGTTAAAGACTAATATTAATATTTCAAGATAACATGAAGTGATTTTTTTTCTGAAATGGAATACTATTCCTCTAGAAGCTGTTAGCCTGGTTTGCACACCGTGCTAAAACATTATTCATTTAACCCAGAGTCTGCATGGTAGACAAAGCAAACGCATTTTTTTAAATCCCTTTAAAAATTCCACTGTCCTTTCACCCACTCGCTCCTCTCTGCCTTTGCATAGCTTCAGTCCAGGCAGGTAGAGCAGCTGGATTTCCTCCTCCTCTTGCCCACCCACTCTGTAGTCCGGTGGAAAAAAAGCACAGTTCTGCATTCACACAACAACCCTGGTTTCAACAACCTAGAGTTCAGAATTCAACAACAAACAGAACCCAGTATGGACTCTTTCTGGGTTGTTCATGCCCACATTTTTTTATTTATTTATTTTTCGATTTATATCCTGTCTTTTTCCTACAAAGGGCTCAAGGCAGCTTGCATCATTCTCCTCCTCCGTCTTATCCCCACAACAACCACCCTGTGAGGTAGGCTGGGCTGAGAGTCTGTGACTGGCCCAAAGTCCCCCAGTTGGCTCCATGGCTGAACGGAGACTCGAACCCAGATTGTCTGAGTCCCAGTCCCACGCTCTTAACCACCACACCACACTGGCTGTCTCACATCCACACATCCTGACAATCAAAAGTTAGCATTATGTGCAAATGAATTTTCTCAATCCAAAGCAGGTTGCTGAAATGTTGACTGAAGTATGGTAGCAAATCACAAGATAGGCCGTACGGTCCCTTGAAAATTTAAGTCACTATGTTGGATATCCATCACTGGAGCCAAGGAGCTTGTGGGCCATATCCAGCCCCAAGGTTAAGCTTCTTTGCGTACCTGCTAAGACTCAGAGCCACTGCTTCAAACATACCTTCTTCCTACCCCTCCTCAAAAAAAAAAAAAAAACATTCATCCAAAGAAAGAGACAGTTCAAAAAGTGAATCCCCACAGGAAGAAATCACACAGAAGTCGGGGGAAAGTGAAAGGTCTTAATTGCATTCTGTTGGTCTTACATCCAAGTCAGCATATGAAAGTTTGCAGCCTGACAAGAGTGTCTATTTACTCAAAGTAAGACCCATAAATTAATTTGGCCTTGCTAAGGAAGTGTGCAGGTGACCTAGAAAAGTAGTCCTACTAGATCATCGGTCTGTTTAGCTTGAAGAAGAGAAAACTCAGAGGGAAACATGATAGATTTCGAATATCTGAGAGGTTGTTATATAGAAGACGGAATCAATTGTTTTCTGCTGCTCCAGGGGACAACAGCTGGAAATTGCAGGAAAGGGAGATTTTGGTTAAGCACTGGGAGAAAAGTACTAACGCTAAGACCTGTCACACGCTGGGTCAGGCTGGTTTGGGAAGCGATGGGTGCTCCTTCACTGGAGCGATCCAAGCAGCGGCTGAGAGCCATTTGTTCAGGACACAGCAATGGCACTTAGCAGCCCAAGTCCTGAAGTAGCCTGGACTGGATTCTACGATTTTTCGCTTGCAGCCTTCCATACTCTTTTGCTGCTTTCTTCAGAGGCAAGGCCTACCGAATCTAAAGAATAGCCCGCTAGTTCTGTTTGCTGAGGCACTCCAGGGAACAGGACAGGAAGGGTGCTACTCGCACTCCCATCCCGCTTCAGGGTTTCCTGTGGACCCCTGGTTGGCTACTGGGTGGGCTGGACCCTCTGATCTGGCAGGGCTTCTACATTCTTCCGTTCTGGATTTCAACTCCCATCATCCTCAGCCAGCACAGCCAATGGGCTGGAGCGCAGGGAGCAGTAACCTAAAGCTAAAGCAGGGCTACTGCACATCTTTTATGATCAATGAGGACACAGCTGCAGCCCTAAATGGGGGCGGGCACGGCCTGGGGCCTTCCAGATGTTCCAGAGGCTGTGGAATGGGGCTGGTGGGCATTGCAATCTCTTGAAGGCCACGTTATACACGCCCCAGTTTAGCACTACAGCGTGCTGGCACAGGTCTACTCCGGAGTACATTGGACTGCAGTTCTGATGAGACAGAAATGCGTCGTATTTCGTCCAGACGCCTATCTTGAAAGCCAGAATCCAGTTCTGAAACACGGGAACTCGACCTGAATTTCATTTCCTTCTCTCGTTCCCTCTCCAATGATTGTGTTCGATCTAAGAGCTGAACATATTCGGGATGTTTTTATCCAACCAGCAGTCTTAGCCGACTACACATTTAGCTAAAACAGAAATAGAAAATCGCAAACTAGGAGCGTGCAAGATTTGACACGTTTCTTTCCCTGCATCCACCCAGTCACCTGCTCAAGTATCGCACGAACCCAGTCCCTAGCAATTACTCACACAGCCCATCCCCTTCACCAAACAGAACCCACGCTTCCCTGCGGTTTCATAGGGACTCGCGCCTTAACCACGTTATCTCACCCGCGCAAGCGCATTGCACACAATTCACCCTCACAAGCCTGCCCTTATCTGCGCAGGCGCACTGAGAGGAGAACGACCCCTTCAGCGGCTTCGCTTCCACCACACACCTTTCCCACGCTAGTCCTTCGCGCAAGCGCAGTACGTAAGAGAACTACGGGCGTGTTTGTTTCTCCTGCGGAGCGATGAATTCCGCGCAGGCGCAGTGAACGGATGCAGAGTCTCGACTCCGCCCCCTCTCCCTCCCAGGTGCGCGTGGAAAGCGCGGTCGACCGAGCAGAGCGTCAACGGCGCTCGCGAAGGAGCGGGGCCGTTGGTGACGCAACGGTGGCGCATGCGCAGCGCGCCCGCGGCGGACCTTTTGCGCAGGCGCAGTGCCTGTGTGAGTGTCATAAAGCCGGGCCCTGCTTGGCCTTCTTTACTTCCTTGGAAAGCCCCGCTTGAGGCGGAGTCGCGTTGACTGACCAGAGTCCGCGAGCCCCGCTTCCCTCGGGCCCGGCAGGTGAGTGGAGGGAAGGGCTGCGTCCTTACGCACCGTCAGAGGAGGAAGGGCAGGGCAGCGAAGCCCGCCTCTCCTGAGGGAGGTGTGGGCGGACCAGGGCCAGTCCTTCCCGGGGGAACGCTTGGGACGATCAGTTTTAAGGGGGCAGAAGAGGACCGGCTGCTCCTCTGCTGGGGGAATCGTTGGGGGAAATGATTTGAGGGCGCTGTCGTAGGACCAGCCCCTTCCTTCCCCCATTCCGCTGTTGAGGCAAGGGAAAGGTAAATCGACTTGATAATAGGCTCTTAAAAATGGAAAAGACCAAAAATCTTACCAATTGATTATTTGTTTTGTTTATTTACTGAATATTTATGGGATGGGTACTATTCTACTTTCCAGTTTGGCAATTTCAGAGGAGTAAATAAAGGATAAAACATAAATAAAATGACGAATTAAAGCAAAATCATTAAAACTGTGCCTGGTTAGTTCAGACAGTCTTCCTGAAAGTTTTTTGAAGGTGTCAAAGGCAACTCCTGGCAGCCTGATCTGCAGAGGCAGCGTGTTTCAAAGAAATGGAGTTGCAATGTGAAAGGCTCTTACCTGGGTGGACTCCAGTTGGGCTACAGGTCCAGGTGGAACCATGAAGAGCATGCCATCTGGTGACTTCAGTGACCAGGCAGATTGGTAAAGGAGAATGCTTGCTGATGCCATTTGTTTAGCCCTGTATACGCTAGTGGCAGCACCTTAAACCTGGTGCAGCAGCAGCCAATGTAATTCCCCCGGCAAATGATTTATGTACGTGAAAAGAGGTAGCCCTGGACCAGCTGAGCTGCAGTCTCCTGGCCATGCTTAAGGGCAGCCTGGCACGGAGTTCATTGCACCAGTCTAGCCCTGAGTGTTACTAGTGCCTGCCCCACTGTGTCTTCTGTCCTTCCCCCAAGAAGCTGAAGGTAATATGGACATGATTCTTCTAGTCCCAAAGTCACGAGCGATAGGTTAAATGGAGAGGCTGCAACTTCAGAAGCACTGTTACCTGTATTAGCTTAGAGGCATCCCGTTCTTTCCTTGTCTTATATTCCTCCCCCCCCCCCGCTCCCATTTTAAGGTCTTTGAGATGGGGGCTTGTCTACTTTTGTCTGTGTAACTCTTCCAGCTGCCACGTATGTGCATAGTGTTGTGTTGTTAATCATAAGAAAGGGAGCAAGAGTATTACACATCTGACAAAGGAGCCCTAAGTCTATCGAAGCTTAGCCCTGTAAATAAGATCCTAGGCAGTACTATTCTGCATTTACTCATAAGAGGGGCTGGCAGGGGAGGTGCAGAACTTCCTGCCTGCCAGCTCCTGTCCTGAATAAAGAGCAGGCTGACAAAATCATTTACCACTCATTTCTGTTCTGGGCATGGAAAGGGGGGTTTCTCCTCCTCTGAACTGAGCATGGACACACAGAAAGCTGTTGGAGGATGGACTGTATTAGTTTTTGTTACCTACGGCAACCAAGCAAGTGGTTAAATAGAGAGCTGAGAGAAGCATCTGCCATTATTGGTTTTCTGTTTCACTTTTGTCCTGCCTTTTGACCCAGAAGAATTCCTGGACTGACTTCTGTTAAAAATAAACCAATTAAACAGAACCTGTTTCTACCCTTCTGGATTGGTATTTCCTCCTCTCCCTCAATCTCTCATTGGGAGGCTCTTCCCATCACCTTTCATGACACCACACTCCTCCACATGCTAGCAGTTGGGTTGTGTGCTGCTTGGATGTGCCTTTATTCCCTTCTGATTGTTAAGATGCTCCAAGGTAACTATGTACATGCGGGCAATAGAAACTGGTTTGAATGAAGGTAGTATATCACATTTGTATATGTGTTTCCCCAGAAATAAGCCCTCCTGGGTTCAATGAGGCATGTACCCAGGAACACTTAGATAGAATTACAGATGGAGTGACAGGGTTCAGATAACATGATAACCCACACTCAGCAGTTGAATGTGGGCTGTCATTGAACTGTCAGTTATCACATTGTCTGAACCCAGATGTGCAACAAACCGTGGTTTGTTAACCATGAGCATCTCATGAAGAGAATCCACATCTTGTTGGGGGGTTGTGAACTCTGCACTGTGTGTGGAGTTTTTTTGGCTGGGTTCAGACAATATGATAACCCACAGCTAGGCACTCGACCAATATTCAGCCTTGAAATGCATATTATTGTGTTGTCTGAGCCCAAGCAGTGTGCTGTATTAGATGTCTTTCACTGCTACTCCATTGTCCACCTCGTGGTTCTCTTTTATGATTAATTTTTGGGAACAGCAAAGAAGCAGGAAATAATACAAGATGTTGCTTTTCTTATCCATCATCAGGATTGGTACAGTGTGGGTGAGGAAGGAGGGTTTGCGTAAGGCAGAGTCCCCAGGGCAGTGGAACACACCTCAATGCACAAGTGCATTGCACCTCTCTTTGCAGCATCCCCATAAGCAAGGGCTGGACTATAATAGGAGGAGGATTAATTTCACAACAGTGCTGTCTAAAGTACAATGCACTAGAAAGGGCAGCGCTCTGCTTGATCTTATAATGATTGAAAGAGTGAAATATTAGTAAAAAGCAGATGTCTTCTCTTGATGATATAACAGCATTTCCTTTTAGGCAAGAGATTCAGATGGTCTGACAGGTATAAACAATGGGTTCTAAACTTTATTAATACTGACTGACAGTGATGGTACCACCCTCATGCTTGGCACATTTGCTATGAACATATTTGATCTGGAATAAGATCTCAAAGTAAGGTTTGAACTGAAATACATTGCCTTGCATCTCTCACTGGAGCAGCTGTCGGTGGTCAGAAGAGTTTATGCAGACATTCCTACTCAATCTCCCAGCTCCACATGATATTTCTTCCCAACTGAACCCTTTGCAGAATGCAAGACTTGAACCTCTTTGGGAAGTCATATAAACATTCTGTTTTGGATGGCTGAGACTGTGGTGAGCTGAGCTGGGATTAAAGAAAACCTTGGAGGAGTAGCAGAAGAAAGCTTTGTTTAAATTATGTGCAAGTGGTTTTTCTCCCAACCTGGCTTGCTTCCAGTATTGGATGTGGGCTGCGATAAAGTACTTTGGGTGACTGTAGAGAGAGAAGGGGTGTGTGTGGTGGGGAGTCAGCTTTCTTCTCTTGAGTGACCCTTCTGAAGCTTTAAAATTGGACCTCATTGCCTCTCTATCATTGTGTGTCAGTGGGTCTGGTATACAATTAGATGAAACTGTGGCTGCCACTGCCCCATCAACTATGGATCCTTGGTGGCTGAGCACATAGTTTGCATGTAGAAGGATCCATGTTCAATTCCTGGAATCTCCAGTTAAGCTGCCAGGCAGCAGGACTGGGAAAGACGTGATGCCCTGGAGAATTGCTTGTCAGGGTAGACAGTACTGGGCTAGACCAAAAGCCTGGCTCTGTATAAGATAGTCTCATATATTCATATTTCAAACACTACAAACTTGGTTGTGTTTCACTGTTGCTTGTTAAGAGCGGAAGCTAAAAGACTTGAGATAATGACAGCTGCTATTTTTAAAAAATGGTTTGGAAAAGGATGCCTTCGATAATATAAATACATGACATGGAGTAATAGTTCTTAAAGTAATGTATTTGGACCTGTTGTTACTCCTTAAGTGATTGTAATGTGCTTGGTAAATTGTCAGTATCTGCATTTGTAGAAATAGAAGTAGTTTATTCATTAATGTCTTAGCTTTCCTTTGTTTTTTGGTATGTCTGAATTTTTACCTTACTCTGTCAATTCTGCCTTCATCTATTACAGCCATACTTGGGTGTGTTGTATGTATGTTGTTGGGTGTGGCTGCCTCAAGATGACAAGACTCATGCTTTCTTTCAGTGTGTGTAATGGAAAGGGATTCCCTTTAAGTGCCAATGGGGTATCCCACTGAGCAGAAATGTAAGCAGTCTGTTTAGGGAATGTGGGAGTGAGGGGAGAGAAAGGATAAGATATTGAGGAGGGGGGTATAATTACCAGAAACTGAACTGTTTTGTCAAATTTGGATCCATTGTGTTGTGGTTTCTGTGCACATTCCAGTTCACAAGAGTCATTGACCTGACACATGTCTTAAGTTTTTTCAGTTCTCTTAAATGTTCAGGTGTGATCACTCAATTGAATTTTTTGGTTATGACACTAAACTTGTTTCCTCTGCTCTTGAAATTTTAGATTGTGAGTTTTTTGGGTGGAGCTCTGTCTCTTGGCTTAAGCCAGAAATCACTGAATGTTAAAATAGCTTTCCCATGTAAAGCTTGGCATATTCTATATATGTGTGCAGTCCTGTGCACTTTAAGCATATTTGTGTAACAGAGTGCCTGTGAGCACAATTGAAGGTCCTGCAGTCACCACTTACGCTCCTTAGATAATTGCATCTGAACTGCCTATATGGATGTGTAATAAGTGGCTAAGATAAGAATTCTTTTAGTGGCTGAGTTTTTAAAGTGTGTATGCATGTCTGAGACCTGTTCTGAGCAATCAACATTTTAGAAATCCAGTAGGGTATCTCTTGCATGTTCTGTGATCTTATCAAATAAATTTGATATTTAATAGAACCAAAGATGGCAACATCTAATTTATAGCATTGCTATTATTCCTTTCAGCTTTATTCCTCTTGCGTCTTTAAGGCTACCCTTTGTTCAAAATGTCCCTACACCAGTTCTTACTAGAGCCAATAACCTGCCATGCTTGGAACCGAGACCGAACTCGTAAGTATTCTCTTGATTGTTACTTGTCTCTCTTGTGTGACATCAGATCCTACAGTAAACTCAGTGCAGAATGTACAGAAGTAGACAGCTCATTGCATGATGCTCTGTGGAAAAGCTAGTGCTGCCAGTTGTTGAAGTTATGTGTTAATAGTTGGGGAGGAAGGGAGATTGTGTACACACACACACACCCCCTCATTCAGGTCACTACTTAGGCGGGTTGTGCTAAACAGCTAAGGGATATGTTGCATGATACTGTAATTTTGGTTGCAGATTTTCTTGTATGGAGAGAGTGCAATTTGCAGAGAAATTAGCAACTTGGAGAAGGGTTTAAAAAAAACTCTATTAAACATTTGCTGCTTTTCCTCTGCAACTACAAGTGGATTTTTCTCTCCATGTTTCTAGTGGGGGGCATTAAGCTCCCACTTGCCTTTCTCTACTGCGAATAACACTTTCCTTATGATGTTTTATGATAGAAAAGCAGCCATTGGGTGGCTCATGTTATATGTAGCTTGGTTATAATATATAATGTAGTCCCAATAGGTGCAATCTTGTGCATGTTTAGGCAGAAAGAAGGCCTACAACTCCCCTTGTTGCCCAGGACATACTGGGGATTGTACGCTTTCTGTCCAAATACATATAAGCTTGTGTCCAAACAAGCTCTTTGTTTTCTCCCAGGCATTTGCTGGCATGTGAGAAGTCTCTCACTGGATTGATTTTCTATTATACCTTGTATTTCAAGTGTTCTGCTTTTGTGCTGTTTTGGGTTCTACTTTTATTCTGAGTTTGCTATTTTTAGGCTGGACATCCCATGAGGAGTCTTTCAGTTGGAAAGACTTCTCATCAGTCTTATGAATAACATATGAGCAATTAGATTTGGAGCATAGGATGCTTCTAAATCTGTCTGTTTCAATCTCAGTGGTCCTTATGCTTGTCAATTTGCCTTGCTAGAGATTGCTATTAGTCCTAATAACCATGAAGTCCATATCTATAAGAAGAGTGGGAACCAGTGGGTGAAAGCTCACGAGCTGAAAGAACACAATGGACACATTACAGGTAAGGGGGCAAATGCCATAGCAGTTCCTTTCTTGTGCACAGTAAGAGCAGAGTTCTGTTTCAAGATTCAAGAGCTGTTTTGAATATTCCGTTCTGAATCATCTCAAGTTCTTCCACTGAGGTTGACACCACTGTGCTGCTGCTTCTCATTGTAACTAAAACAATAGAATTTCCACGTAGCCTTTTGAGCTGTTCCCGTCCAGGTGTTTCTGTTGAGGACACCTGTCAGTTCCTGCAGTGGTATGCATGTAACTAATCTAAGAAGTTTTCTTTTCCAAGAGATGTGACCCATTCCATGCAGAAGCTTATTTTCTTATGAAATAGGTTTAAATTCTGTATATACACTGTTCTGTGACTGCAAGTTGAAAGGTGGTATATATGTTTCATGAACATGTAAGGTGCCTTGACAGTTCTACTCTAATGTTTAGCTATATCTAAATTCAAATATCTTTGCTTAATAACTTACAAATGAAAGCCACACTGTTTTAAACGAAACTAGTGTTACGTGTGCTTTGGGAACAGCTTTGTTGTGCCATAGTTTTTACATACTGCAACATATCCTAAGTTTCCTGTGAGGAGTGTTATGACCAAAAAAAAAAAAAAAAAAAAGTGGATAAGCCCATCTAAGCCACCCTGAGCTTCTTGAAGGAAGAGTTTGGCTTATAGACAAAGGTCATAGTAGCATTGCTGAGGCAACTCTGCATGTCCTCAAGGACACCCTGGGGCTTTTATGTTGTGTACAGAGAAAGAGGGTTTGCATTGCATTATTTTAGACCCTAGGGGGATGTGGAAGAGGCTTACAATTTAAATTGCCATATTTAGTTTAGAAATAGCGTCTTACTGAGGCAGATGGATTTGTTCCATCACCCAAGTCACCTTTGCAGTAGGTATACTTGGCTTCTATTTTGGGCCTCTCTCTAATCAAGACCTAGGAAATCTGTCTGTCTGTCTTGCAGAAAGCTCAGGTTCTAAAACACAGTGGTTGGGAGAAAAATCACACATGAGAGCTTAACAAAATCCTTGTCATCTTGCTTGTCGCTCAAGCTTAAGTGAACATAATCTGCAGGGCTCCAATTAAAATCTGAGAAGGGAAGCTGTGCGTCACTTAGACATAATGAGACTTCTTTGGGCTAACTTCTTGCCTTAAGGCTTTGATCCTCAGGTCATTAAAGAGTATTGCTTGCAATTAAGACTAAGACAAGTCTTTTTTTCCTTTCCTTTTTCTGGCTTAAATGTTGAGAGAATTGCATTGTTAGCCCTCTCAATGAGAAATTTGGGCTGCGTTCAAAAGGAAAGGTAGAATTAGCTGCATTCCAAGATTAAGGAAGCATTTACCAAGCAACCTGAGCACAATGTAAATAAAGGAAAGGTTGTCAAGGAGCTTTGGAGGCAGTTATTCTGCATTTAGAAAGTGTCTTGTTCATTTATCACATCTGCATCAAAGAACCACAGTTAAAGGTTCTGTTGGCAGGTTCTTGACCACATCTGTGGCTAAGGCACAACTAAGAACTTAAACATTTTGAGTGCTATAGCCTTTACTTAAGATTCTTTGTGGCTTTAGTTACATTATTGATCAAAATGCCCTCTGCTTTTTTTCATCTTTTGAAATAATCTACAGTTTTTATGGTGAAATGAAGATGCTAAGTGTGAAACTGAAATTGCTTTACAGGCATTTTAAAATACCAAGATGTTTATGGAATAAGCAAAATATGGACCCTAACATGAGACTTTGGGTGGATGTTACATTTTTAAAAAGCTTCTTGAAATCTTTTGTGCATTTCATGCTCCGGTTTTAAGGGTAGTTTAAAATTGCTTTTAAAATTTCACATGGAATAATATTAGGCAAATGGTTGCAATGTGGGTTTTGCACTTCAGAATTCCACCAACTACCTGCATTTCGAGGATATTCAATTCCATTCTCAGGCCCTCCCATTTTTTCCTTTCCTAGGACAGTCAGCAATCCATGATCACTGAACATGCTTATTTCCCACAGGGCACTGCTTTTAGGTTCTTCCGCCCGCCATCTCTTTTTAGAAAGATATTTTGTACATGTGTAGAACTTGGGTTATCCCCGAGCCTGCTGATACCTCCCTCTTCCTCATGGATGCTGCTGTTTTGTCTACGGAAGGATCCATGTTTGGAGAATGAACTCCCGCTAATAGATAAGGGACTGTATAAATATAATTTTATAGGCGTTACTAAATGCTGGCAGAAGCCGAAAGAATCTTTCTTTTGAAATAACTTGCACCAGAAAATAGAAGGTCCAGCCGACGATAGCTAGCAGGTACTTACTAGGCAGTATTAGGTGACTGCCTAGTTCTAAATGCAGGTAAGATCTGGTAGGGTGAGTTTTTACTGTATGCCTGTTCAAGTAGGGAGGCAGAAACATAGCCTTAGATGGGGTTCAGCTGGCTTAATTTTGTCTCTGCTGATGGACAGCAGCTCTCCAGGATTTCAGGCAAGGGTGCCTGCTGCATTTTGACCATGAACCACCACCTGCGCCCCCACAACACTGCCCAGGTGAAGCAGGCCATTGCGGATCCATGGAAGTGTGCCAGTGGACACTTGCATGACTGCAGGAAAAGAAAAGGGAAAAAAAATCTGCGTGTTTGGGAAAGCTGCAGTAAAATAGCAAAGAGGGAGCGCCTGTCGCCACCATCATCTCTTGGGCTCTCCAGGGGTTATCCATGCAACATCCAGCCCACTGTGGCATGTTGCTGAGGTGGGTTGTCATGATGGGCAGATGTGCCCTCCGTGTCCCTTAAAAATATCATGAATTCTGTTTCTTATGCTCGGGGGTGGGACCATGTGAATAGAAAATAGGCATTGCTAGAAGCAGTGGATTCTTCCGAGACCTGCAGGTATAGAAACTTACCCTTGAATGAATGTGGACACAGAGGCTCTGCACGTCCTAAAACAGTGACTAATGATTAAAGACGTGTATTGCTGGCATCTGTGCTAGGGGTGCGCTTGCCTGCAAGTACCTGGCAAGAGGACACCACCTGGGAACTCAACCGCATTTGCTGCCCGTGGCGTTTACCACAATATAAAGGCCAGGAATTAAAATGTATAGGAGATTTGGCTTTCGATTGTGTTGCGTTATAGACATCAAGGAAAGAAAAGTGTGATTTAAACTGCAGGTATTGACTGGGCCCCCAAGAGCGACCGCATTGTCACCTGTGGTGCTGACCGTAATGCTTATGTCTGGAGTCAGAAGGATGGCGTGTGGAAGCCGACCCTGGTAATTCTGAGGATCAATCGCGCTGCCACCTTTGTGAAGTGGTCTCCCCTGGAGAACAAATTTGCTGTTGGAAGTGGCGCACGACTCATATCTGTGTGCTACTTCGAGTCCGAAAATGATTGGTGAGCTGCTGCTGTTAATGTACTTCTTTTATGTTATCCCTCAATGCTGTTTATTTTAAAGCATTTATATACCAGTTGTTTTTGTAGCAAGTAATTTTCAAGGCTTCTGCTTCTAGTTTTCTTTCTTCTCTAAATTATTTTGAAGGGAGTCAAACCACTTTTGAGTCAATAGCTCATTATTATTTTGTGGTCCCAATCCAGAAAATCACAGAGTAGCACCATCTGCCCAATGGGTCTTTTCAGGGTCAGTCCTATGCCTGTTTAGACAGAGAAAAGGCCTACAGCTTCCAGCATGTCCCAGCCAGCCATGTCGCTGTATAAACAGGTGTAGGATGGTGCCCTCTTTCAGTGTGTATTTGAGAATGGGATGCTTCTGAAGATTTCAGTATGTTGGAGGTCTCAGATACTGCACTGATGTTACATTTACAGACGTCGACAAGTTAACAGGAAACAGACTAGTCTCAAATAATGTTAAAGGGCTCAACTGGTGCAGTTGCTCTTAGGCAGTTCTGTGGCAAACGTGGAATATTTGTTGTGACTTTTGTGGTGTCATGTCAGCCCTATAAGCGAAGGCCAAAGATGAACAAGTTCTTCCTGCTTTTTCTCCTCTCCTCTAGGTGGGTAAGCAAGCATATCAAGAAGCCTATTCGCTCCACTGTCCTAAGCCTAGATTGGCATCCCAACAATGTCTTGCTGGCAGCTGGGTCCTGTGACTTCAAATGCAGGTGAGAAGCCAAAGAACTCGGGGGCAGATTTGGGTCACTGGCTCGGACTGATTAACAGCAGCATCGGACAAATGAATTTCCGTGTAATGCCATCCACCAGCAGATGGTGACATCTCAGGGAGGCCCAGCTTCGGAAAAGGGGAGAGGGGCTTGGTTCATTATGTTCAACGAGTGGCAAACTTATGCTAATGCTGCCACTGTTGAAACAGTTTGTCGGTTTTGTCTTGTTATATGCAATCACCTTTTGCACATCATATCTGTGTGCTGTTTGGAGCAGCTTGCATGCTAAGATGCCGGCGTCGCCTTTGAGCTGTTCGGCCCTCTTGCGTTACCCTTGCAGTCAAATAGACAGTTCTGCCTTTCTCTCGCCTCATTCGCCCCGCACTCATTCGTTTTCCACAATGTGCTGTTGAAGAGCACAGTCTAAGCGGTATGGTGCTTGAGGCAGATACCTGGTCGCTTGTGTTACTCTAAAGTGCCACATATTTATGGCGGTATGTAAATAAAGCTTTTGAGGGCAAATAGATACTGGATGGCGGTTCAGGCTGCATTCTCTGCCGCTGTTTTACCTCGTCTTTTGCTTTTGAAAGAGAGAAAGGTTGATTTTTCTCCCTGATAAGTAGTCTGCTTATGGAATTAGAGGTTTGGTCACTTTTTTGCAGAGTATTACTGACTCAGTACCCCAAATGTCATTGCCTGTTTTACATATGAAAATTAATTGCTTTGAGTGCCATGGTAGTTTGAGTTTTGGAGAAACAGCTATGCTCTAATATTTTGTTATGCTCCCCATCTGAAGGCAAGGTGGTATTTAGTATTCTGGACAAATTCCAGCTTGTTTAAATCCCCACTGGGTCCTGTCATCTTTAATTGGATGTGGTACATGGCTTGTCCAGAAGCTTATTTCATGCCATCTTGGTAATGCTGTGATTGTCAGTTATCTGCAGGCTTCCCGTACGGGTAGCTTTGCTGCCTCTGCCTCTCCCTTCAGCCACATTTGTGTTGTCTCTGCCCTTCCTCATACCCCTGAGATTTCTGGACTGGGTTCCTTGTTCTGTGTAATTAGGCCCCAGTGAGACAGTGCAAGCGGCTGCCTGTCATTGTTCTTGCCTACTTGAGCTTACATGCTTCTGCATAGCGCCCAAGATACGCTCTGGTCTTTCTGTCAGAGGAGCCCTGGGCTACAGCCGCGCCTTCTCTGGCTTTGCCCTTTCCATCAGGAGCTCCTTACTCTAAGATACTCGCAGCAGCGCAGTAGGAAACTCTCTGCTTGTGCAGCAGCCCGTTGAGCTATGCAAGCAGTACGGTTAGATGGCGAAGTGTCCAGGAGCAGAAAAAGAGTTCAGGCCTTGGTGTGCCCTTCTCAACCCGGCAGCCTTCAGGTGTGTTGCACTGCAGCTCTCAGCGTTCGCAGTCAGCAGGGCCATTGGAAGGTGCCGGACTGGGGAAGGGCTGAGCCAGCTGGAACACACACAGCCCCAAAACGCCAACCACGTGGGGCTGGGGGGCTGCAGTTTGTCCAGGAAGGAGTGGAAAGAGTTTGCAGCAGCCACCGTTCAGCGATGATGGTGTGCTTGCCCGTGGGGCAGCTGGTGAATTCGGCCCGAAGTCGTCGGCTCTGACCCTTACCCCTAAGGAAACGCCTGCCTACTCGGAAGCTAAAGAAAAAATTGCTAGCCTCTGTTCAGCTTAGTATTGCCTTCATCTCTGACTGCCAGCGGCATTCTGGGTATGGCATCTTTTCCATGACAATCCTATCTGGCCCCCTTTTTTCCAAATTGGAGATGCCAGGCACTGAGCTGTGGTCTGCCCCTCAGACAGCAACAAAGCAGCGACTTCAGAAAGAGCAGCAGAAAGAGGAAAAAGGCAACAGACCCGTGGGGCAGCTAATGCTAGTATGTTCTAATTGCTTTCTGAAGAAATGATCCCTCAGCCTGGCTAATGGTTGCAGAGACAGGCTGCTTTTTTTCCCAGGGAGTTGCCGAAGCTCTTGATTTAGGAATGCCACCTGATATTTCTAAGGATTTTCAAATGACTGCCCTTAATGTGGCCTTCTATCATCTCCTTAATCCTCTCGCTACTGGCATGCACGAGGAATGTTCCGTGTCATTTGAAGATGGCCATCATGGTGGGCATTAAGCAAGTTCGCTGGCCCTGTCTGATCTAGAGGCTCTATGCTGAGAAAAGGGGGCCAGTTGAGAGAGGTGGGGGACCCAAATCTTACAAAATGTAATATTACTAATGAAAGGGTCCTCTTTCTAAACCACCCTTACCTGCAGCTTCTCTTCTGGTTCAAAATGTTATATCTATGCCTTGTATTAAAACTTTCTGCCTTTCATTTCCCATGCCCTATTTCCATACATGAATAGCATTCGACTCCCTGGGCTTTTGAGAATACTTCTTTTTAAGTATTGCTCATTCCCGCAGTTGAGTCCTTCAGCTCTTCATTTTTTAAATAGCAAGCTTAATTTTTGTGGTGGTTTAAGGTTTTGTATTTTTTGACTGCCTCAACATATCTGGTGCCTAGTTTTAGTGTTTGCAGGGTTAACTGTCACAAAAATATGCAATATTTTGCATCTGCAATATACAAAAATATGCAATATGATAGAGGTCATTACAGACCTCTGTGAAGCAGGATGGAGAATTACCACAGCCGTGCTATACAGGAACGAGATCTAAACAGATGTAATTGTGTCAGATGGTAGCCAGATACATTTTTTTTCCTGCTTTTCCCAGCACACTAGACATACGAACTAGCAGCAGGCTCTAGATTATTGGAATTTCCTTCTCTTCATCCTTTTAAAATTAAACAACTGTGCTGCTCTGTTCCCTCCTGACTGTGAGTAAAAAGAAGTAATCCTTTTTTTGGTGAAGGTAAAAATCTTTTTACCAGGCCATGCAGATGGGAGAACAGCTGGCCTCCACTGGCCAGTTCCTCTGGCTGCTGTATTAACCAGCTGCTTTGCTGGAGCATTTCTGACGTCAGGGAGCGTGGGAGCAGTCACGTACACCGTCGTCGAATGCCCATTTTCAGGCTGGTCCAGGGTTCACTGGGAGCTGACTGGCCATTCCTCAGAGCGGGGAACAGGAACAACCGGCAGGATTGCTCGAAATGCATTTTGCCCAGCTCTGCAGTGTGTGACTGCAGGAACATATGGGGGGGGGGGGGCATTCAAGGTCTCACACTAGGTTCCTCTGAGGTGTCAGTGATGCCCAGCAGTCCTGGGGCAGTTCACATGATGTGCATTCTTTTATACGCCTCAGGATCCTCTGCAGTGCCCTGGCTTCCCAGGGGTTCCTAGGCAGACAAGGTTTCCTGAAGGCCAAAAACAAACAAACCTGAAAACGATTGCTGTTTTGTGAAGGAGACTTAGAGTGTATCCTTTCCACATTTGGGAGGGAGACCTATTGAACTCCGTGCATCTTACTTCTGCGTAGTCAGGTTCAGGTACGAAGAAAAGTGTGTATGATAAGGTGAGATCTAGCCACTTCAAAACAGACTGAGGAATGTCGTAGTGGGTTCCTTTTCCACCTCTAACTCGTCTGCCAGTGCGCGTAGGTAGGCCAGGAGCGCTGCTTTCATTCTGCGCAATCTTTCCACGGGTAGAGCTTTCCTGCCATGGAGATTTGTTCAAAGCAAATCTCACTCTGCATTCTGAAGGAACGTGCGCAGACCAAGCGATAAGCATACCGTGCGCCCTTTCAGATTATTTTAAATGTCTTGTAATGCACGACTGGGTGATGGCATGCCCTTTTGATTCACCTGTTCGTTGATGTGCAGTACATGCCATGTTTTACTTAATTGGTAATGTTTTAATGACTACTGATTATGTTTTAGTATGTTTTTGGTACTCTACATCCATATGTTATGGTTTTATTGTTGTGTGCCACCTAAATATGGTTTATATGAAGGTGCAGAAACATTTTAAGTAGACTAAAAGTAAATCAATATGCTCATCCTCCTCACTTTCTTTAGTCATATTTCATTTGTACTTAGTAAGAAAATGTATTAGGTTAGGTTCTGTGAAGATCATCAGTCTCAAATCCTGAAACTTTCTCTGAGTCTCTTGCTAACTTGGCTATTTATGGAATGAAATGGAACTTTTTGGGGGGGAGGGAAAACGCTGCTTTTCTCCCTAACTCCCCCTTGTGCTTCTTGCTTGCAGAGTGTTTTCAGCCTACATTAAGGAAGTGGACGAGAAGCCAGCCAGCACCTCTTGGGGCTCCAAAATGCCATTTGGGCAGCTGATGGCTGAATTTGGTGGTGCAGGCAGCGGCGGTTGGGTCCACAGTGTCAGTTTCTCTGCCAGTGGCAACCGCCTTGCCTGGGTCAGCCACGATAGTACTGTGTCCGTTGCAGATGCCTCCAAAAACATGATGTAAGTGTCCGAGCCAGACCTGACAGCAAGAGCCCTTGAGAATAATCACAAGCATGACGTGGCCCTCCTGTCTGCAAGCAGGATCCTTAGAGGTGCCCTGAAGCCCGTGTGCCCTGCATATTTAACATCTATAGGCAGCCAGTGTCTGGGATGTAAAGTGAGATGAGCAGGGGTCTGGATGAAGGAGCTGCTGGACATCTGAGCAACTACCCGTGTTACAGCTGAACAAGCAGTTCCTGATTACCTGGCCATATGAGCCAAGGCTTTCATGAAACAGGCTAATGCCAGTTTCTCCCCGAAGTAAATTAGGTGATAACATTTATCCCTGCACTGTTGGAATAAACAAGACATCGGTGTGTTGTGTCATTAACAGGGTGTCTTGGTTTCAGGGTCTCACAGCTGAAAACGGAGTTTCTCCCACTGCTGAGTGTGTCGTTTGTCTCTGAAAGCAGTGTGGTGGCTGCCGTAAGTGTATCCTCTCTCTCCCCCATTTAAAAGGCAACCAGGACTATCCAGAATGAACGTTCCATATTTGGCTGTTGCATTCAAAAGCCTCAGTTGCCCAGGGATGCTTGTATTGATGCACTTGGCTGACCTGGAGTCACTTCAGTTGTTTCCTTGCACTGCCATTAGGGGAAAATACAGAAACTGTATATATAAATATCATTCTTATTGGAACTGCACATAGAAGCCGCTGGTCAAGACGTCTTGCCTAGTTCCCTCTTCCCAACATGTTTAATAAAACACACATCCCTGTGTTCACTTGCTTTTTTTTTGCTTGCTTCATTGTTAGGTTTACATCCTGCCTTTACTTCAAAGAGCTCAGGGTGGTGTACATTGTCCTGCCCCACCTATTTTATCCTCTCGGCAGCCTTGTAGGTTGAGAGACGGGCCCAAGGCCAATCCGGGAGCTTCCTGGCTGAATTGGCTCTTGAAACGGGGCCTCTCCCACAGTCCAGCATTAGCCACTCCATCACTATGATGAGCCCCGGGAAGGCTTTGAGGCTATTTTCCATGGAAGTGCTTTCCATGTACAAGAACTGCAACCCTCAGAGCTGCTGTCGGCTTCCAGACATAACCTTTGAAAGAGACAAAGGCAGCGCTCACGGCTCAGGCGGGGAGCTGGGTGTTCCGTAGCGTTTGCGTGATGCACTCTGCTCATTGCTTTCCAGGGCCACGACTGCTGCCCGATGCTCTTCAACTGTGACGACCGCGGCACCCTCAGCTTTGTATCTAAGCTAGACATTCCCAAGCAGAGCATCCAGCGCAATATTTCAGCCATGGAGCGTTTCCGCAACATGGACAAGAGAGCCACTACGGAGGATCGCAACACTACTCTGGAGACGCTGCATCAGAACAGCATCACGTAAGCATGTGCATCCCTGTGGGCCTTTTCTGGCTGCAGCTTTTCCGTAAGAGCTAACCCAAGCAGTTTCCCTTTAGGCTTACTGGAAGGCAAGACTCATTCAGTTTAATGCCACTACTTTTTCCTCTCCTTTTAAGGCAGGTTTTTTTTTAATTATGCATTCTTTGTGTGGGGGCTTTTTACCAGTTAATTTTCTGATTTGTTAGCTGCTTGTTATACCCACATAGAAAGGACCGGTATGAACACTTGAAGTAAACAGTCCCAGCATAATTGTGGCTACAAATTGTTTTGCAGTTAGAGCTGCAGCTGGACGAACTTTCTCAGTTCACACACATTCTGCCTTCTCTCTTGTGGCAAAAGCTGGAAAAGGCCCTGCGACGTGTGTTCTGTTCCTTACGCAGCCAAAACATGTCTAGTGCACCCACGTTGTCCTTCAACTATGAAAGCCTCTTCTTTGCTCTTCACAGACAAGTCTCTATTTACGAGGTAGACAAACGAGATTGTCGCAAGTTCTGCACCACTGGCATTGACGGAGCAATGACCATCTGGGATTTCAAGGTATGCTTTGACGACGCTGCTTTAGTCTGAAGGAGCCGCCCCAGTTCATACTGGTTGACGCCAGGACTGATCTGGTTAGCGTTAGGGACCTCAGGACAGTGTTGTACAACTTTGTCCCCAAACTGCTAACTTGGCAGATGGTAGTACTCAACTTTAATTTTGTTAATGGGGTTGCTTCTGTCCTTTTTAGGAATATCAGTAAAATCCCATATTGGTCCTCCAGTCTTGATCTGCCTGGATTTTACAGTAATCCAACTGAGGCTAGGACCCAAGAGCAGGCCTTGGATCCTAATTTAAAGATGATTGTGGAACAGAATTTTTCTGCAAAGCCCCTCTGAAGAGGAGGGGGGCCTTCTTGGACAATGCTTTTGGGGTGCTGGAGAACCCCAGCCTGTCAGAATAGACATTTTGGGCAGGCAGACAAATGTTATAAGGAAGCATCCTGTATTCTTACATAGCCTGTACTTGCATGTTTGCGCATTACATTTATATCCCACTTTTCTTCCATTGTGGAATTCAATGTGGCTTCATGTGGTATCCCAGTGTCCCCCCCTCCAAGCACTGGCCAGATCCAGACCTGCTAGGTTTCACCCTTGTGTGCCTTCAGGCCATAGTTTGCGTCTGTGCAGCTGTACACAGCGAGATGCGGGATCATGAGAATGAGGAACATTTTCTGCTTCCATCGCATTTCTTAACCACCCAGTAGCCAAAGCCTTCTACATGGTTCACAGCAATAAGTAAAAAGCAAACCAGCATAGGCTACAACATAAGAACAACACTGAAAACGATTTCAGCAATTAACACATTTTTACTACAGCGAGACTAATATAAAAACCTCTCCCTGTTCCTTGGATTTTCTTTTTCCGGCTTGCAGCCGAGAGTCAGTTCACCAGCAGATGTCTCTGTCCACAGGCTGCTTCTTTCCTCCTCAGAGCAGCTCTCTGAGCAGAGAAACTGAATGCTGAAATTCTCTGCCACTGTTTTGCCTGAAGGTCCTAGTTATATTGTGCTATATTCTGAAGCTGTGTTGAATGGTAGCATTTTGCCCTTTTGGGGCTGCACATAAGCTGTACAAACCCTCCAAAACTTGGACCAGGAAGGGTTGAATTCTGCAACATGTATAACTTAAGCAGGTGTGCCTAATTTCTTATTTGTCAATTTTGATTTTTTTTTTGGTGTGTGTTTTGTCCAAAACAGGCAAACTCAGGCAAGCAATTTACATTCCATTGCTGTTGTCAGCCACAGGAAATATTCAGTGTATATCTTTGCCTAGCTTCTTACATTTTGGAAGATATTGTTCTTACTTTCAGACCTATTCTCTTGTCCATTAGTACTAGAAACATTCCTTTACTTTTCATGGAAGCTTAATTTGGGATTCAGTATCACGTTTTGTGCTCTCGCGGGACTGCAGTTGACATTTGTCTTTCATGGATAACATCCGTTTGCTCTTTCCCAAGACATTGGAGTCCTCCATCCAGGGTCTGCGGATCATGTAAAGCTGGCCCCGCATCCTCTAGCAAGACAACGAGCCCTGGCACCTGCACAGACTTGAAAAGGGATGGTGAAGATGGCCACTTCTTGAAAGCACTGAGAAAATACTGACCTGATGGATCTTTTTTTTCCCTCTTTTCCTCCCCCAATTTTGGTGAAATGCATTGGTTTGCAAATCAGCTGTGATTGTGGTATATATTTGGGTATTTTTTAATTATTATTGGTTGTTTCATTCCATTCTTTACCAAAGCTGCTCCTTGAAATAGTTTCTTGCAGGAAGTATGACTCACTAACTTAAAAGGGGAATTTTATGTGAACTTGTCTGCTAGAAAATAAAAGTTAAAAAAACCTGCATGTTGTAGTGTGTTGCCTCAGTACAAATAGGCTCACTACCCAAAAACCCTAACCCTTTTTATTCTCCCGGTATTTTAACAATTAATTGGTTTTATCCTGTTTTTATTATTATTTTAGATGCAGTGTGTTGTGTATTGTTATGCTTTGTCCTTGGTTTCCTTCCTTGTAAGCCGTCCAGAGACTTTTTTTTTTTTTTTGTAATGGATGGCATAGAAAAACCTTGAATGAATGTAATGAATGGATGTCTTTCCTTCCCCAGCCTCACTCTTAAAATAGTGGCTGCTGACCAGGCAGAACCATGAAAGGATCACACCTCACCTGAGTGAGGCTGGTCTCTACTTCAAGACTCCCTCCAAGTCTTGGCTCCTGCTTTTTCATTTGTCCTTATTCTCAGAAGGAGGTGGATGGTCTGGAGTGGGCTTCAGCTTGCATGATAACTGTAGTTATTTGAGGATAGAAGTCGACTTTGTTTGAGGAGAATAAAAGGATCAAGCTGAGGTTTGGGTACTGTATCTCCCGGAACGGCCAGCCTGAAGCTAAATGTGTAGTAACTTTACTATTGCGGGACAAGAACTTTGGTTCAGCTGGAACTAACCAAAGATCTGTTTGGCTCATCTGGTTGGCATTTTAGAGTGGTTAATCTGTTCTCTTCCAGGAAGCAGGGTATGAAAACAATCGTTGCTCCAGGGCGGATTTTTCACAAGGGAATGTCAGGGACCCCCTATAGGCTTCTGTATGCCTGCATGTGCTCTCACTGCCAAGAGAGAGCTTCAGCTATGGGGCGGTTTAGAAATGCAATAGATAAAACATATTTAACCGTAAGTGGCTTTGGGAGCCTGTCTTTGCTGAAAAGCAGCATAGTGTAATAAATAAAATGGGTTGGTTTATGGGTTGAAACAAAACTAGAGGCAGCCGTTTAGCTCGTGATTTAGGCTGTGGTGCAATCGTAAGGCCTTCCATTATTGCTCCACAAAGTCTCTACTGATCTCCGTTTGCAATTGTGTCGTGTTGATTCTGTGTTTTGCTTTTTTCAGCTTGAGCGATGCTGTGTTTCATACGGCTCCAAAGATGGTTCAGGTATAAGTGGCAGGACAGGGTGTGATTGGGGGAAGTTCATAGTGCCAGTCGTAAAGCAACATGCTTTGGGATGTGGAGAGCGGCTCGGTCCTCTGCGTTTTCACACAGAGCCAGAAGATCTGCCTGAAATCCTGGAGTGTCACCACAGATAGAGAACGTCAGAATAGATGCGCCAGGGACCCGGCCTGGCATGAGACAGCTTCCTCTGCTCCTAATTGCACGAAGTATAGCAGCATTTGTTAAAGGGAGCAAAGCGGTGGGGCGGAAGCAGCCACTGAGGTGATTCAGCGAATGTCTCCCAGTCGCTCCGATGCGGCTCCCGTCACATTCCTCCTGACTTTTCATGAAGGTCACTCCAGACCGGAAGTTCTCCTTCAGCAACTTGGATCAGCTTGCTTTGTCAGATTAATCCAGGCTTGGGGAAGCTCCTCAGGCCGCATCACGGTTGGCAGAATGACCTTAAGGAAGGGCACAATTAAAAGCCAGACAGCTTTCTGTTACGTCCCTTAAGCCTTTGATGCTCTAAAGAACACAGGTTAGCGGCAGTGGTGCTTCAAGGCTCTCATGGTTCTGCCTAGGCATTTGTGCCTTCTGTCCAGAGTGAGTCTGGAAAACATTCAACCCTGTAATGTGAAATATTTGCCTGACGTGCAACTCCATTTTCACTGTAAGGTTTGCTGTTTATCGTGGCCGGGAAAGTCTCCTTGTGCTTCCGAGTCTGCCAGGAAGTCTACCTTTCACCTCAGGACAGGTGGTGAAGACGAGGGGATAGAAAGAGGTAGAAGTAACCCCCAGACCCCTCTGATTCTGTGGCAATTCTAAAAGTAGAAGAGCCCTCTCCATGGGAGGATCTCTTAATCATTCATACTTTATATGCAGACTCGGACGTTATGCTGGAATGGCTGTGTAGCCAAGCCCAAAATGGGACAACAGAGGATCAAGAGAGGTAGCTCAAGGAAACTTTGCAGAAGTCTAGAAACATCTTCAGGAAGGGGAAAAAAACCCTCAAGGGGGTGAAAACGGCCTCTGCAAACAGCCTAACAAGCATTTGTTGCTGGCTAGAAGAACGAGCGCCTGTAAGTCTCCAGTGGGACGAAGAGGAGTGGAGTGGACTGTCCCGCACAAATCCTACTTGGCAGAGGCCCCTTCTGCACGGCAGTATTTTGTGACTGGTCCTGCCTGTGCCTGATTCGGTCAGTACATGCCGCTAGCCCTCACTTTCTGGTCACTCCATATGGTGATGGTGATGGGAGCAAGCAGGCAGAAATCTCCGGGCTGCGTGGGGCAATTTTATCACCGCTCCGTGGTGCTGTGGTCCACGCTCCTTCCCAGGGTGTGGGGCTTTGGCACAGGCCCGACGGGTCGTTTCCTTTCTGAGCGGCACCTGGCCCGATTCCCTGCCGCCCCCTCCCTCTGCAGCGCTCGTTGGCCCCTTTCTCCAGATGTGCTTTCTTGCTGCAGTGGCACTTCCTTCTCTGCAGTTGTTCAAGAATCGGTGACTCCGTTGCCTGGTTCCAGTGTCTGCCGCAACTGGGCTGGCTCGCGCTGGAGGTGTGGAGCAGGCTTGGTGCTGGGTTCCCAAAAGACCTGGGGCTCAGGCTCACAGGTCAAAAAGATGTGCCAAATTTGCACATGCTGTGAAGTGCCTACGAATGTATCTTGAAAGGAGCCTGTCTCCCAAGGACACCCCTCTTTGAACATAGGGTGAGAAGGGCATTAGGTTTCAGAAAAAGCTGGGGTAGAAAATCCGTGGGAGGGGCAGCGGGAGGTATAGCCCCCGGGTGCCAAAATCCAGCTTGTCCAGGAGATCCGATGCGACAGGGATCCCCAGGGCCCATGCATCTTTCTTTCTGCAGGTACCCATAGCCATTGGGGCAGTGGGGCAGAAGGCCTAGAAATCTGGGGCACCACATAGGAGATTTGGAGCACCAGATCTGGTGGGCCGCCCCCTAAGCTCACCTCTGCTCCATGGCCAGGTGGAGGGCCGATGGGGTCTCGGAGGTGATGCTGGAAGGCCCAGCTCGGGGGCTGCTGCTCCATGCGTACCGTGGCATCCATAGCACCACTGGCCCCAGCTGAGCTGCTGTCCCTCCAAGCATCCTTGGTGTGGTGGGTGGAGGAGTAACTTTCTGCTGCTCCTGGCACAGAAAATATGGACCACTGTTGCGTGCTTGGCCCCAAGTGAAGTCTCAGTCCAGCTGATTGCAGAGGATGCCACCCCGCCCTCTGCCCCGCTCCCCTCCTTTGGATCCCTCTGCCTCTAGTTTTGCCTCCCTCTGTGAGGCTTCACTGGGACCCAGAGGCAACGGGGGCAAGAGGACTGATTGCCCTGGCTACTTGGCCTGATGCTTTTCTGTCAGTGCTGGACGTTTCTATTTTTTTTTTTTTAACAAGTGGCGGGTGCATCTGTGCCACATGGTGCGCTCCAGGGGGCTCTTGCAATTAGCTAGCCGGGGGGACACAAATGGCACAACCTGGCACAACCCACTCTTTCAAGAGCCCGAAGCTCAAGGAAACGGCAGCTCGAACAGTTCTGATGAGGCCCCCTGGCTGCTTGTCCTGCCACTGCCTGCCCGGCAAGCTTCCTGCCCAAGTCACCAGGGTGGCGCTGTGGAGGACAGTCCTGCTCCGGACGCTTCCGAATTCCATATGCTGGGTGACCAAGGAGTAGGCAACCTGGTGCTTTGCAAATGTTTTGGACCACTAGTCCCATGAGCCCCTGTCCACATGGCCCATAGTCACCGGACTGCTTGCCTGTGCAGCCCACCCATTTCTGGCCAGTTCTAAGCTGCTTATCTCGAGAGTTCCAGGAACCCCCCTCCCATAACCTGTGGCCTGTTCTAGGGTGGGGCAGCCCACTCCCGCTGTGCTTTAGTATCAAAAGCTGCCTGGTACACACAGTAACCCGTTGTGGGCACAGGTGATGGTGTGACTCAGTGCATTGTCGTCGTTGATGCTGTCTACTTGGAAATGAATTCAGAAATGGGATGTTAATATTCGTGAAATTAATTGTGGGGGTGGGGCTGCTTGTTGACCCTATTGTGACGGATGCCTTGTGTTTGTACTGGGGGAAGGCAGCATGGAAATGGAGGTGGGATCCTATACCGCCTGGGGACCTGCATGGAAACCTGCTTTCTGTCCATACATGCATAGGATTTTGCCCCAAGCAGAGCTTCCCTTTCCCCCCCAGCCATGTGAAGGTCTGGGCTGAGTCTAGCTAGATTGATTTTATATGTTCAGCATGTATTTTAACTGTTTTGCTCTTGTGCTGCTTTTTCCAGTGCTGTGACGCTCCATGTGCATTATATTGCATGCACGAATATATATATTTGTCTAAGCAAGCATGCATGCAAGTGCACCTTAAAGCAGCGATCCTGGCCGTGCTGCCAGCACCAGGGTGTCCCGCCAGGAAAGGAGACAGCAGCCTGAGGATCTGGGCACTGGTCCTTGGCTAGGGTCCCCAGCTGCTCTTTTTTCACCTTGCATTCCCAGTCTGAGCGTATCGGCTCCTCCTGGCGAGGAGGTGGCTGGTCACATAGCCTAGAGCCACACTGAATTCAGAAAGGGGAGCTTCCCGCTGTACAGTTGCTCAACTCTGGCGAGGGAGAAGGGAAGTCTGCAGCACGCCCTTCCCATCAGGCCCGCCCAGAGGAGGAAATGAGCAGCTGCTTGGAAAAAGTGCCTCGCAGTGGAAGAAAGGCGCTGGTTGTTCTTGGTGCGTCTTGGCAGGGAGGTGAGTTTCCTTGAAATAGGCTAGGAGATGTTGCCGAGAGCTGAGATCTTTGTGCCCTAAAACAGCTGCACGGACATTTACCTTCGGAGTCAGGCTGCCCTGCAGCTCGAGCCTTTCAGATTTATTGGACTACAACTCCCATGCAAACACATCTGTAGGCCACCAGTAGGGAAAAGTTACTTGATGGGACTGTGCAAGATTTCCAGCCTTTTCCTCGTCATATTTACACAGGGTGTAACTTTTTCCTTGCAAGCAAATTCCACTGAGTTCCATGGGATTTCCAGCCTAGGGAAGACTGTGGCAGAGAAAGACAGCGAGGGAGGGGTGTTTTACTTGTGCTTATGTATTAAGAGAAAGTGCTGTGGTGAAGGGAAGTGTACTGTGAAGGGGGCACTCCCCTTATGTTTAGGCTGGAGATAAAATGGTCAATAATCTGTAACTGGGATACAAATCACCATCGGGTAAGAATGCAGCTGTTGAATGGACGCAGCTGCTTCTCGTTTCTGTATCTCACCTATGCTGCCAAATCCTGCTTCCGGTATACCAAGCCAATCTGATCTGTGAGTTGTCCTTTAATTTATTTTTAAGACTAGGCAGACCACTTTTGAAGCTTGTGTCTCCTCCTCTGGGTGAGGAAAACCTTGGACCAAGAATCAGAGGCTTCCTCTTTCTAAAAGTTTTGTAGGGTTGCTAAGTTTTCCACTAGCCCCTGTTCCTACAAATTTGCCACCATCTTCCTCTGCAGCCATCAGCCAGGGATGAGGCTCACCTCCCTGTTCTGAAAACCTCCATCTGAAGAGTTTTCTATAGATCCAAATCTGGTGTTGAGTGCATAAGAACAGGCCATATTCTTTTCGGGTCAGTTGGCAACCCCTCCCCATGCTCCTTTCTTCCCTATTTTATCCCGGATCAATTAGTCAGAGACAAGATATCACACTAATAGCATGAAAGGAGGGTTGGTGGATGAATAGCCCTGGAGGGTGAGGGTTAGGTTTTTCCTATTTCAAAAGCTGAAGGACTTCTGCTTGGGGGAAGACCTGGTTAAGATGGAGTGCATTGCAACATGTCTAAACACACACAAAAATGCATACATCCCATGCAGTGCTGTGGCTAGAATGCCAGGGACTCAGAGGATCTGGCTCTAGTCCCCTCTTGCCTATGCACAGCACTGGGCAACTTTGAGCCGGTCGTGGATTCTTAGCCTAGCCTACCTCACAGGGTTGTTGGGAGGATACATGCTTGGAAGGGAAGAGGTGCCATCCTGTTCCTTGCTTCAGGCAATGAAAGTCTGGGACCATATCCGGGAGTTGTGTGTGGATATAGGTGGCTCTTATTCATGGGAAACATTATGCAGATTTAAATGGGTCAAGCGATCTACTATTTCCTGCAATGAATCTGTGAAGACCGCTTTAATCTGGTGAACAGCGCACTGGGAAGAAAAGCCTGTTTTTCACCTGACTGGAAGGGGGGGGGGGAATGGGGTATTTTCAATGGGCAGGCTGTTTGCCCCACCAAAAGTAGGGATGTGAGGCCAGCGATTTAAACTGGTTGGCCATCTGCATGTGTTAAGCCAGGCTTTGGAGCCCCCACAATGGAGAAGTTCACATCTGCAAAATCCTCCTTCCCCCTGCCCCCATCACCAAATCTTATGTCATCAGCCAGTTTCGTGCTTCTCCATATGAATTTCTGGACAGCTCTGCACCCCGCTCTTGGAAGGGAGAGGCCCACAGCGAGCCTGGGGCCAGATCTGAGTTCTCCTTGCGCCACAGGCCTGTGAGGTTGTTCTTGGCTAAGGAAAAGGCATCTCTGTGCCTCTCTTTCTGCCAACACCCACGCAAGGAAGTGGTTGCGTTTTTTTTCTTTTTTTCTCCGAGGCGAAAAGGGAAGTCCAAGCTGAGAGCGTTTCTGACTTCGGCGCTTCCTTTCAGGCCGGCTCGGCTGCACTGCTGTTCATGTGGACTGCTCAGAGTCCGTGAACTAAGCGGGCCCCTGTCCTGACCAGAGCGTGGACACGGAGCCTCTCCTCCCGCCGCGCTCTAGCTGCCTCCAAGGTAAGTTCGTGCAGCTTGCCTGCCCGAACCGGAGTAGGCTGGGTCACAGCTGGCCCTGCGTTCAGGCAGCCCTCACCCACTTCCCGGCATTCTTGCTCCAAAGTGTCACTGTGACCAGAACGGCGTCTGAATGTGCCGAGTGGGGGGAAAAAAGACATTTTTTTCCTTTCAATCTCCCAAATTTCCCCCCATCTGACATTCTTTTTAGTTGTGTAAGTTTTTTTAGGGGGGACAAAACAGCCTGCAATAAGCATCTCTTTGTCAGAGTGAAGTCTCCCATCTGTGCCTTTTAAGCTCCTCTCTCTCTCTCTCTCTCTCTCTCTCTCTCTCCCTCTCCCCCTCTCCCCCTCTCCCTCTCCCTCTCTGAGTGTGAGTGTGTGTATGCGCGTGTATGTGTGCGCACACGGGAGGCATCCCTGGTCACGGCAGTGTTAAGTTTCTCATGGCTTTCCTCCGAGGCCACTTCCGTAAGGAGCAATGACTCCTCCTGTTTTCTTTTTCCAGAGGGTGGTTTTGTTCCCTTGCTCTGCTGATGTTGGGCTGTCCAGGGAAGGCGCCTTGTTCCCAACCCGGATCAGTGTGGCGCCCTAAAGTTAGTGCAGTGATGGTGGCCGAAGCTTTTGTAGACTAAAGTCCGCGTCATCAGAGGCATAAAATAATTATCATCTGATGCTGTAATCCATAGCTGCTTCTGTTTTATGTTTGCTGTAACAGATTAACCCAGTTCAGCTGTCCTGGAATTTGTCCTTTATCTCGTACACATTCGAGTTTTGCATAGAAAAATCAGAGGGCTGTGCTGAAAATTGAATTGCAAGGCAAACTACCTGGACAATTGCTGTCCCGAGGCTGTGCCGCAATGGGGTTGGCATATAAAAACTTTAAATAATAAATAATAGGGTGGTTGTGAGCCTTTGAAAACAAACAAACAAACAAACAAAAGCAGAGGACAGCCCTGTGTTTGAAAGGCCACCATAACCAATGCTAGTTTTTAAAAAAGCAGAGTCAGCCAAGCTGTTGCTTATTGCTCTTTTAGGACTACCAAGAGAGGAAGGCACTTAGGCATCCCAAAGCATAAGAGAGGATATAATCAGGTGCTTCCAACAGTTTTATGATGCTTGATACATTTCAGAAAGGGCTTTCCTTTCTCAGCAATGCACCCAAATGTGTCAAAAAGAATCTTTCCAATGCTTTTGTGCCTTCAGAAGTTCCACTGCATGTAAGGCAGTACTCTGTCCCTTGGAGAAATTCTCTTTCTGTGTGTCGGCAGCGAAACCCTCCCCAAAACCATGAGGACTAGTCATGGACTGCAGGGGCGTGACAACTGGGAGTGGGGCAGAGCACTACTGAGGAGAGGTAGAATTAGAGAAACGGGGGATAGTCCTACTTTGGGAGACTGGCTGGCTGGAACCACGAGCTGGAGCACTCCATTTCAGAGCAATGACATGCTGTAACATTTTGTTGTAACTTGTGTGTGGGTGAAAGTTACAAAGAAATTGTCATTCCCACACTCCAGCGCTTCGATGCAACTGTAACTCAGTGTTCACACAAGCAGGGGGAACCTGCAACTGTATTCTGCACATGTATCCAACTGGCAGCAAAATCCTCATTTTCTTCTCTTGGAGGCAGGGGGCGGGGAATTCAACAAGGGCGCTGCTTGGCTGGTCCACCTCTTCCCGGAGCGTCAGCCGAGCTTAGCAGATTGCAAAGCGAACCTATGAAACGTGCTGCTTGTCCGGCAGAGGTAGGGCTTGGGTCGCTGATATTCTTGCTGGCAGCTTTCCAGAATCAAGAATTCTTGATTCTCTCTAGCCAGTAGTCCGTTGGAGCTGGCTGCCCCATCCCGCTTCCTCAAGACTCTTCTGCAAGCCACGTTAAGAGGTATCTAGCAGGGTGTTCCTGTGCTATGAACATACTTGGTTTGTCTGACTAACACTCATGATTTCACTGCCAGGAAGAATGTATTTGTCATAATTCCCACGGGAGGCAGACAAACCGAATCTGTGTAAGGATGTGCACGATTCAGCCTTCTTCAACCAGGTGCCCCCTGCATCTGTTTGCTTACAGCTCCCAGGACCCCCAGCCAGCAGGTCCAATGTCAGAGATTATGGCAGTTATAATCCAAAACACCCAAAGGGCACCAGGTTGGCTATCTCCACATCTCCAGGGCAGCTCCGGCTCTCAGGTGGCCCTTGGCAAAGGCCCTCCCATTTACCTAGCCATGCTCCTGCCCATGATGGCCTCACCTGGTGGCCGCAGGTAAGCAAGAAGGCTGCAGTAGCGGGCCTTTGAGTAGCACCAGGTCTTGGGAGCTGCCATTTCATGATTCTATGACTTGTGAATTCTTGCAAGGCAAGATGGGGGCGGGGGGAGGCTTCTGTGAGTGGGAGGGAAGCAGGATGCAATCCTATGCAGGTTCAGACAAAGACTTGAGTCGCTGGCGGGAGCATGCGAGAAACCATAGGCCTTTTTCTGTCTGTAGTTTAAGTGGATTCTGCAAAACTGCAATCGCTTTCTTTCAAAGCTGCTTGGGGTACCTTTGGAAAGCAAGCTGAGAAGAGGGGATTTAGCTCATGGGCTCGCCCGGCATGCACCACAAGCAGCAGTGTCTCTGTCACACCACCTTCGAAGGCCTTGAGAAGCCAGTCTCGAGCCTTATATGGTATCCTCAAACCACTCTTAGCGCAGAAGCTGCATTTCCTCTTCCTTTCCCTCTCCCGTTCAGCCGTGCCCAACCCGGCGCCCTCACAGGCATTCAACTGCAACGCCATCATTGGCTGTGGTGGCCAGGAAGGGTGAGAACGGCAGGACACTGGAGTGGGAGGTGTTACATGTACAGGACCAACGGGACGGATCTGTGTGGACCGACCGTGTCCTTTAGAACATGTCTCAGAATCCTTCACAACATGGAGGGCTTGCTTGCCATGAAGAGCTGTGCGGGAGAGGGAACCTGGGGGTGGGTGTGTAACCTCCCGATGTATAACCTGCTAAGCAAACACCATCTTTGGCATGACTATTAAAGGGCAGCAACACCCACCCACCTCATTCCCAGTACAACCAGTCAAAAGGCATCGCCAGTCTTTCCCTCCTTAATGGATTTTCTATGGGAAGGAGAAAAGACAGAAAAAGCAGTGGGAAATCACAGGAAGGTTGGGAGCAGAAGACATTGTCCAGATCCCCTGAAAAATTCCGTGCGTGAGACGAGGCCATTGTGGGATAGCGGCCTAGTGTGGAAGACACTTCCATTCTGCTGGGCAGGAGTGGCTACAGAAAGGAATGCTGCACATGAATGAGAGGTGCTGTATGCCTTTTCTTCTGTTTTTCTTTTCTTTTTCTGAGTCAGCTTCCTGTTTTTCAGTGTTATCACACCAGCTTAAGTTCCCTTTCAGCAGCGGTGCTGGTGCTCCTTTCAGGAGACAGCCGTTTTTGAAGGCTCGGTGAATTCTCTGCTGAAAATCTTGTGCAGCCACTGAGAGAGACTGGGGCATGATTTTAGGGCATGATTCAGTGGACAAAATAAGCCAAGGCAGAGCGTGTTTCTCTCTTTTTCTTGCCAATTGAATTGGTATGCAGAACGTGTTTTCAGCCAGATATCAATTCTGGGATCTTAATTAATTAATTACAATTCTATGTCACCCAAGAGCCGAAGCTCGCTGAGCAGTTAACAAAAGGAAAACCCTGAATATGACTAGATAAAGCATAATGTAAAACCCTTTACAGATGATGTGTAATTTTTTCATTGCTTTTTTCCCTCTTGTAAGGAACCCAAAGCAGCTTACATTCCATTTTTATCTTCAGAGCAACAACGCTGTGAGGTAAGTTAGGCAGAGAGTCTGCAAAAACCTTTAAAGCAGAATAAATGCAAATAAACTTACTTGAACAAAACTTCAAGGCCTAGAAAGCCTAGGAAAATTAAAAGGTCTTTACCTGTTACCAAAAATCTGGTTTCTTTGTTAATTAACTGGTAATAGCAGCTGATTACCTCTGGAAGGCTTTGGGGGTGGGGGGAACCAGGGTGTTATCATCCTTGAAATGTTTCATGTATTCCAATGGGGGGAATGAGCCAGGTTGAAATCCTCATTCAGCCATGAATCTTCCCCTGAATGGCCTTGAGTCCACCACACACACACCTCACAAGGATTGTTGTGAAGATAAAGAGCAGGTGAACACCTGAAATGTATGACCTGGATTATGTGACCTTTGATTTCCATATAGGTGGGGAACCATGGCTTACCAAAGCTTCCTGCTGGAGCCGATCAGCTGCCATGCCTGGAACAAGGACAGAACTCGTAAGCATGCTTGGAATTAGGCTTCCCAGCTGTAGGAATGCCACCTCCGGGCCTCGGGGGAGTCTGGTGGTTTGAGGCCGGTCTGGGACCAAGCCCTGCCAAAAGTTGTCCGGTGCCTTCTTCAACCTGGTGCCCGCCAGGTGCTTTGAACAACAACTCCCATCAGTGCCAGGCAGCACGGCCAATGGCGAGAGGCAATCATTGCGGTCTGAAACATCTGGAAGATACATGCTTGGAGGAGGTGGACCTTAAGCCAGGCAGCTTTATTGTAGTCTTCCGCCTTTTCAGGCTTGGGACTCGCTCCCTGCTCAAAAGCGCATTCAGTAATCCAGTCTTTAATTGTTGTTTTTTTTAACCTCCTCCCCTGTGCTGCCATCCTTGGATGCCAGCTTGGTCGGGGCGGGAGACAGGGCCTTCCCGGGGTCTGCTCCCTGTAATCTTTAGTGGGACCTTCTCCTGCCATCTCCTTTCCCAACCAGCAGCAGCTCATCATGCGGTGCAAATGAGGGGAAGGGGTGCAGGCCGGCTGAATGCCACGGGGACGGCGAGCTGGTCACGCAGCAGCGTTCTCAGCACGGGCCTTGCACTGGCTCCATAGGCTTCCTTTCACTACGTTTGCTATCTGGACACCCAGTTCTTAGACTCACGTCAGCCATAGGAGGGGAGGGTTTATTATTTATTTTATATATTTGAAGTTTTTGTATGCCGTCCCCATTGCTACGCAGCCTCGGGACGGCTCACACCATAAATAAATAAACAAATAGTTTTGGGTAGATGTGGGAGAACAGAATGTCATTGTCCAGGGCATTAAGAGACCCACGAGTGAGAGAATATGGGCATTGTTTTGCAGGTTAATAGGAGGCCCCAGTGAAGCATTTCCTCCTCTCTGGTTGCCAGGAGCCGAAAGAATGGCCGCAATTGCATGATTATAAAAAGCACATTCTCTGGCTCGGGGACTGGCATTGTGGGAAGGGGATGTGGGAGGAGAGTTGAGCATGGGGGAAACTGGAGCTTCTCCAAGGCCAGCTGTGCTGTTCTGCTTCTCCAGGGCTGGTCCTTGAGTGGAAACGAATCCCGGAATTTCTCAGCCCTGCTCTGTAGGGACAGCGGGGGCTAGGAAATGTCGCGCTTTGCTGCTGAATTGGCGCTTGCTGCGTTCACATACCCGGTGGGAAGCTGGGGAGGTGCTGGGGGGAGAAAAGCAGCAAAAAACACACATTAGCACATGCTAATTTGCATATGAGATGCTCCCAGGATGCCTGCACACTAAGTGTCCGTGGACAGAGGGGTGACAGGGCAAATAGTCTCCCAGAGATTCGGGGTTCTGGGTGAAAGACTCAGGGTGTTGCTGTGGCTTGATGAGAGCTGCACTCTTTTAAAAATGTGCCATTCAAAACGGGCCGCCTGCAGAACGTCATGAGGGCCTCGTCCACCCACCCACTGGGCCCCCTTTGCATGTTGGGGAACGGCTGGGATCAGCTCCTTTCCATCACAAGGTCTGCACATCTCACCCCCTGGAAAGGGGTACGGTTCTGCTCATCCGGCTTATACCCTTTCAGGCCTCTGGAGGGAGCATCTCGCCTTTATGTGATGTGGCTTGGCCAAAACGTCCCCCACAGGCCGCCCCCCACAGGATTTCCCTCCGGCGCCACTGAAAGACAGGCATTTAAATGCCAAGAAAGGTTCTGAGGCGCAGCCCTCCCTGCAACAGGACTGTTCTACGTGTGGGGCAGAACTGGACCATTTCTCTCACAGGATAACCGTACCCTCTTTTCACTGTCTGTCTTGCAGAACTGGCCATCTGTCCCAATAACCACGAAGTGCACATTTACAAGAAAGATGGAGCGAAGTGGACCAAAATTCATGAGCTGAAGGAGCACAACGGACAGGTGACAGGTGAGATGGGTTCCTGAGGACAAGACCTCTTGCCGGAAGTCTCTGGAGAATGACTTCTGTTATTTAGTTCCTGGAAAGAGCCTGAATTAAGGCTGAAACACCCAGCCCTTCTGCCCCACGGCCTTTGCTCTGCCTCCACTTGGTATGCAGCTCCTCTGAAAAGGAATTCAGCTTCAGGTTGAAAGAGGTTCCTCCCCCTAGATTGATTTCCCCTTAGATGCATTTCCTTCCTTGAAACTGAATTATGGGCAAGCTCTGTGGTATGCAGTGGAGGAGCTCGTCACAGTGCAGGTCACTGGTTCGTCATCCCTGGAAAAGTTACACTGCCTAGTTTGGATGTGGCATTTCGGATGCAACTGGGCTAGTACAGAAAATAGAACAGAAGGCATGTCCTTAGTCATCTTTTCCCTGAGGGCCCAGTCTTTCCCGCTGTCCAGAGGCAGAAGACCTGGGAAGTGAAGGCTACCATGCCGCGAGTTTGCTGCAGCCCCGGATCTCATCCTGAGAAGATGGGGGTGGATTTACCAGATAGCAGTAGACCCCCCAGGGGCCAGAGTCTTGGAATGGCCCAGCACCTGTCCTCCCCCGTTATGCTTTTGAATGCAATACAGAAACGATTAAAGCATAAAGCTGATAGCCCAAGTGCTGGCAAAAGAAAGAAGGGGGCAGTGTTGAAGAACAAGAAACAAACAGGGAGGTTTCAGAACAGGGCTTCAACATGGATATTTACTGTCCTCCTCGTCCTCAGAGGTGGTGCTAGTGGTGGACCAAAACAAGGGCTCAGGCCCACAGGGCAGAAGAAAAACACACATTTGCATATGCTAATTGACATGCTCCACAGACTGTGTGTGTGTGTGTGTGTGTGTGTGTGTGTGTGTGTCTGTCTGTCTGTCTGTCTGTCTGTCTGTCTGTCTGTCTTTAAAGGATCCTGTCCCCTGAGGACATCCGTAGTTGTCAAGATATATGGACTGGGGAGAGGAAGGGGCTTGATTTCAGAAAAAATCTCAGGCAGGCAGATTCAGGGGAGTGGGAGCAGGAGGTGAAGCCCGTGTGGGCCAAAAGCTGGCTCAGCCAGTGGATTCACAGGGCCTCTGGACACCAGTTTCAGCAAGTGCCCCCAGACCGCAAGGGAGAGGGGCAGTCAACCTCCCAGATGCCAGCAGCTCAGCCCAAATCCGCATCCCCCCAACAGCACCTCTGCCTCCCTAGGGACCCTCCTCCCACCTTCCCCTTGGCTTGGCCCTCGTCCGTGAAGATGCCAATTAAACAGAGCAGCTGCAGCCCCCAGGCTGGCTGTGCCGCGTTTGGCTCCCGCCCTGTCTCTGCGTCCCACAGGCATCGACTGGGCCCCGGACAGCAACCGCATCGTGACCTGCGGCACGGACCGCAACGCCTACGTCTGGACGCTCAAGAGCAACGCCTGGAAGCCGACGCTCGTCATCCTGCGGATCAATCGCGCCGCCCGCTGCGTGAGGTGGTCTCCCAAGGAGAACAAGTTTGCCGTCGGCAGCGGCTCAAGGCTCATATCCATCTGCTACTTTGAGCAAGAGAATGACTGGTGAGTCTCACCCAGAGCAGAACAGGGGGGGCGGCCCTGTTAGCCAGCATGGAACGGGACCGGGGCTCACAGGGATCGAGCCCGAGGCGTCTGGAAGGAGGGCAGAGGTGCGGACACCCCCGCCGCTCCTCACAGACCCCCCTGCCCCGCCTGAGCTTGGCCGCAGTCCTCAGAAGCCGGTGGGGAGATGAAGACCCCCGTCACAACACAAGGTGTGTGTTTCGCTTCATCCGGCTTCACAGGCCTTTCCGAAGACCTGCTCCTGGTCGAGATGAAAAGTGCTGGGAGCAGTCTGGCGAAGTGTGTCCGCACAGCTGCTTTCCACTTCTGGTCTCTCTGTGGGATGTGGCTAAAAGGGTTAACGTAAGAGGCGCCTACATTTGAAAAGCCACAATTATTATTTTTTATTTTATTATTTTATTAAAACATTTCTATGCCGCCCCATTCGCCGAAGCCTCGGGGCGGCTCACAACAGAAAATTAAAATACAAGAAATAACAATATAAAATAAGTCGCCCTGGCCAGATAATTATGCTACCATTTTCAGAACAGGGGTGAGGATTCCAACCCAGCCCAAGGCCCTGAGCATGGAAGCAGTGTGAGAGCTTTCCTGTTTCTCTTTCAGCACAAGCTTTGCCCACTCCCAAATGCATGCAGGGACTCCAGGTGGCGCAGTGGTTTAAACTGCTGGGCTGGTTGATCGAAAGGTCGCCGGTTCAGATTTGCACAACGGGGCGAGTTCCCATTGCTCCATCCCAGCTCCTGCCAACCTTGCAGTTCGAAAGCATGCAAATGCAGGTAGATAGAAAGGTACCACTTCAGTGGGCAGGTAACAGCGTTCCGTGCACCTCGGTGTTTAGTCATGCTGGCCCCATGACCACGGAGACTGTCTGCGGACAAGCGCTGGCTCCCTCGGCCGGGAAACGGAGATGAGCACCGCCCCCAAGAGTCAGGCACGACTGGACATAACGTCAAGGGGAAACCTTTACCTTTACCTTTTAAATGCATACAACACATAACTAAAATCATCTCCCTGCAGTTATAAAACTAAAACAGTCCTCAGAAAAATATTCTAAAGCCAGCCTAGCAAAGGGGAAGCAGCAGCCTGAAAGGATGAGCTGAAAGAGCAACAGTTTAAGGCAACATTTAACTCCGAGTGGGGGTGGATTCTCAAGGGGTGTTGCCAAGGTGGCGGGGACGCTTGGATTCGGGGTCTGTGCTGTCTCTCGGGCTCTAGCCCATGTCGCCCTGCCAATATCTAATTTCAACTTGTATCTGGACTCTGCCGTTGCCTCTGGCCCTCCTGCATCCTCCGAAGACTTCCATCTCTCTTCAGCACCACTGGTCCCAGTGCTGCCTAAATCCAGTGCCGGTGTTGTCAGCCTTGACTGGTAGTTGCTCTCCGGGATTTTGGGCAGAGGTTCCCATCCCTGCTTGGTGAAGCTGGGATCGAACTTGTGGCCTTCCGCATGCAAAACTCATGCTCTGCCCCGGTGCAGCTGCCCTTGCGCCAGGAGGGAGCGCTTGGTAATGGTGTCCAGGGGCACGGCTTCTTTTCTGTACTGGCCCCTTGGCGCTGCCTCTGCTGACCCGCTTGCCACCTGGCTGGCCAGGGTGGCCACTAGCCGCACCGTGTAGCCGCACTTTAACTGAAGAGGCCGGTGGCGACAGATGCTGTTTTGAGATTTTAAGGTGCATTTGGGGATGTAAGGGAGCAAAGAATCCTTCCTATGGCATGCAGGGGTTTTCTGGGGGATCGGAGAGGGTTACTTGCACGCAATGGTGTGAATCAGACCGGGAACCTCTTCTCTGTTCTCTTCTCCCAGGTGGGTTTGCAAACATATCAAGAAGCCCATTCGATCGACAATCCTTAGCTTGGACTGGCACCCCAACAACGTCCTCCTGGCAGCCGGATCCTGCGATTTCAAATGCAGGTGAGTGTGTAGAGCGTGTGTACGTGTGTGCTGTTATTTGTGTTATGTGTTTTCATACTTCAGCCAGAAAAGGTCCTGGAGTGACTTACATAGAATGAATGAAGTGAGAAGGGCCCTGCTTGCTGGCTCGGAAGCCAGCAGGGCATCATGGCTGGAGTGACGGAGTGGCAACCTGGGAGATCTGGGTTCTCTGCTTGGCCACGGAGCTCCCTGGGTGACGTTGGGCCAGTCATTCACTCTCAGCCTAGCCTACCTCACAGGGTTGTTGTGAGGACAAAATGGAGTGAAGGGGCATGATATAGGCCATTCTGGGCTCCTTGCAGGCAGAAAAAGGGCAGGATATAAATGGAATGCAGTCGTAATAATGATAATAATAAGAGAGCACACAAGGGGAAAGGAATGGGGAGGAAAGAAGGAAGATAATTCTTTCAGCAGGGATAGTCAAACTGTGCAGCCGCTTCTCTCATCTCCCTCATGCAGCTTGCTGGTGGGCACTTCTGTTCTTAGGCTGCAGTCCTATGGCCTCACAAGGTTGCTTGGGGGCCATAGGATTATTTGGCCTCGCAAGGTTGTCTTGGGGGCCACAGGGTTATTTGGCCTCGCAAGGTTGCTTGGGGGCCATAGGATTATTTGGCCTTGCAAGGTTGTCTTGGGGACCATAGGGTTATTTGGCCTCGCAAGGTTGCTTGGGGGCCATAGGATTATTTGGCCTCTCAAGGTTGCTTGGGGGCCACAGGATTATTTGGCTTCACAAGGTTGTCTTGGGGGCCACAGGATATAGTTCTGAGGTCCAGCATGACTGGCTGGGGGATGCTGGGAGCTGTAGGACTTTCTGTCTGAACATTCATAGGATTGCTCCCTAAATGAATTTAGCAGGTTGCAGGCAGAGATGAACCTGCTGCAGCTGTGAAGTTGGAAAGGAAGGGGGAGTTTCTCCTTGATGTGAGAGAATGTAGAGGGGGGTTATCTAGGTAGGACTGATTTCTGTTCTTCTCCTGTGAAATGTTGGATAGGTTAATTTTGGCCACAGCCATAAGATCTTCTCTCCTCTGTTGGAGGCACCCAGACTTCTCAGAGGCGCTGACTTTTCTCTCTCTTCCACCCTGTAGGATTTTCTCAGCCTACATCAAGGAGGTTGAGGAGCGGCCATCACCCACCCCCTGGGGATCAAAGATGCCGTTCGGGGAGCTCATGTTCGAATCCAGCAGCAGCTGCGGCTGGGTCCACAGCATCTGTTTTTCGGAGAGCGGCAGCCGCGTGGCCTGGGTGGGTCACGACAGCACCATCTGCCTCGCGGACGCCAACAAGAAAATGGCGTAAGTCGCATGATGGGCTCTTTGGCCGGGGCGCATGGGAGGTGTTAGAGTTTCAACTAGCCCAATCCAGGGGGAGGGAGAGATCTTGCTGATTTTCAGACAAAATGGCACACCTTAGATCCAGGATGGTGGGGTTGAACCTCAGCCGACTTCAGATTTGGAGAAGCTCACAGTGGTGGGCAGGACCAAAGGCTCGAAGGGGCAGGGCAGAAATGTCCAAAGTCGCAGCTTATTATACTGGAAAACGATTCCTGTTATCAGTGAACCCTGAAAGTGTTTTTAGGCTTTTGGGATGGAGGGCACCACTGCACCCAAGCTGGGGAACTACCAAGATGCCATGGTGGAAGGAAAAGGGGCGGGGCAAGGGAAGGGGTGTGGCTTCCTGGGGACCCCCAGCAGGCCAGGTTAGGACTTCAGCTGGGCTGAATTCGACCTGAAGATCTGCACCCCCTGGTTTGGACTGTAAGATCTTGCGGCTGAGATCACACACTTTGGATTTCTGGGGCGGCGTTTATTTTAATGGAAGTGGTTGTTTCATAACTTTTAAGTTTTTGTAGTTCTTACAACATAGCCCCTCACCCCAGGATATAATTTAAGCGAATTCTGCAGGCAGTTCAGCCACTCCAGGCCTGTGCTAAGCTACTCCTGCCTTTTCCCCCCCATCAGCGTGGCCTGCCTGTCCACAGAGACTCTGCCTCTCCTGGCCGTGACCTTCATCACCGAGAACAGCCTCGTGGCTGCGGTAAGTCTGGCAGTCACTCGGAGAGGATTCAGGCCTGAGTTAAAGGTGCAGTGGGAGTGTGTGGTATAGTCCTGCTCAGATTGTACCATGGCAGTCGCTGAATCACGAGGCTGGGTGACTTTGCTTTGTGGTGATAGAAAGCCTCATGACCTCATTGAATGGAGAAAAGGTAGGGTGGTCAAGGTATTAGCTGTTGTGTGAATGGACTTGGAAAGGCAGCCAGTGGGGTGCAGTGGTGAGAATGCTGGCTTGGAATTTGGGAGATGGGAAATCTAGTTGCCACTCAGCCGTGGAGCTTGCTAGGGGACTTTGGGACAGTCACTAACTTCAAGCCCAACCTACCTCACAGGGTTGTTGTGATAACAAACTGAAGAAGGGGGTTCTGCAAGCTGCTCCTGGCTCCCTCGCACATGCAACAAAGGATGAAAATAGAATTAAATTCCAGGTGTGGGAGAGCCCCATCTGGACTGGCCTCACAGGGGATTACATCCCCCTTAGATGGGTTTCAACCCAGACCGGTCCCTTCATGGTTGCAGCTCGTATTTTTAAAAAGCTGTTTGGGCAACCACTACATGTGTGAGTTGGCATCCTGTGCAGCTTGGTTCTTGAATAATCCCCGATTCTTCCTCTGTGCGCTCTGTTGTCACCATCTTATTGGTGGGCCTGCCTTATTTATTGATTGATCGTTTGATTGTTTTCATATGTTGTCCGATGCTAAAGTCTCTGGACAGCTTATAAAAAACAAAACAACCACATATAACACACAACACACTGTATCCAACACGTAAGGATAAAATCGAAGATAAAACCAATTAAATGTGAAAATATTGAGTTTTTGAGTGACACCGAAAAGCATAAAGTGACGGTGCCTGGCAAACCTCCATGGGGAGCGTATTCCAAAGTCAGGGCACCACCACCAAAAGGGCTCTTCTCCGGGTACCTACCCTTCTAATTTCCTTCAAAGAGGGCTCCTGGAGAAGGACCTCTGCCTCAGATCTCGGGGGGCAGCCAGGCACATAGGGGCGGCGGCGCTCCTTCAGGCACCCAGGTGCTGCTTCAGCCTTGCGGGCTGTGTGTGAGCTGCATTATGCCCGCAACCCGCTCTGTAAAGGCCGTGTCCTGCCGCTCTCCCCCAGGGCCACGACTGTTGCCCGATGCTGTTTACATACGACGAGCAGCAGGGCATGCTGGCTTTTGGGGCAAAGCTGGACGTCCCCAAGCAGAGCTCCCAGCGCGGCCTCACTGCTCGTGAGCGCTTCCAGAACCTGGACAAGAAGGCCAGCTCGGATACCAGCAACGCCTCCCTGGACACACTCCACAAGAACAGCATCAGGCAAGTGTACCTAAAGCCGACCCTCCCTCGACATGCCTCCGGGCCACGGCGGACACGTGGGCGGTACAAGACCGGGGTGAAATCAGCCACCCTTAGGATCCGCTTTGCGAACCTTGCAGAACCTGAGTTGCAGAATAAGGTTGAGCTCTCCCCAGGCTAAGATTTTGCTAGGCCTTGGCTCGTTTGCTGGTGACGCGAGTTGGAGATCGGAGGCTGGGAAGCAAGCCCAAAGAGCTAGCAGAGCCGCCTTGCCCAGTTACATAATTATGTATATTAATTTATGCACATTTTGTGCCAATCTGTGCCCTCTTTTTGGCGATGCCTAATTGGCTACCATATTACAACTCCCAGCGTTCCTGCCCATTACTTCCATGTGATGGCTACTGAAACCCCAAGTATTTGGAGGGTGTGGGACTGGATTAGATTGCCCAAAGGTCCACCCTTAGGGTGGTTTCTGAGAGACAGGTGCCACTGTAGAAAAGGCCCTGCTGTCAGCAGCTCCCTCCTCTTGATGACCAGTCTTCCAAATCAGCTGGCAACGGCCCTCCTCTGCTTCGGGCGCTTCTGTGGCAAAAGGGTTATGTTCACCTGCGTCTTCTCTTTCAGCCAAATCTCTGTAATCGCCGGCGGGAAGGGCAATTGCTCCAAGTTCTGCACCACAGGAATGGATGGAGGGATGAGCATCTGGGATGTTAAGGTAAGCAGCTCGGCCAGGCACAGGGCAGGGCTCTTGCCCTTGCCGTGGGGCCACCTGGCTGGTCCTTTGGGCTTGGGGGTGCACTTAGGCATTTTCAGAACGGAGCCCCAGGGGCTGCTTTCAAATTTGGAGAAGCGCTGCTGGGCTGCCCTTCGTTTTGGCATCAAGCTTCTAACTCTCTGTAACTAAACTTTAGGGAAGGCAATTCAAACTTTTAGAAGAAGGGGCAAAACTGGGCCAAGAGTGGAGAACTGCTAAGCGGTTGCCAGAGGGGGAAACAGGTGAGGCCAAAGGAAGAAAGCGTTGCCTTCCTGGGAATCTTCGATGGGCTAGTTCTTGCCCCAGGCCTGAGTTTCTGCACCCATCTTAGTGCGTTGTTTTACTGACTTCCAAGAGGGTTCAGGCAACAGTACTGCAGCCTGGAGGTCCTTTTCGCTTGTTCTCCTGCTTTGGATCTCCCAAGGAGCTGCTGCGGGAGAACGAGGAACTGTTTAAGGCACAGCATCCATAGCAAAACAGATGACTGGAATGTCCATTTCTGCCCGAGACCTCTCAAAGCCACCGTCAGGCAGATAATGTTGGCTTAGATCAGGCTTTTTCTCAACTTGGCACCCTCCAGATGCATTGGACCACACCCTCCATCTTCCACAACTGGGGATGCTGGTAGTTGTAGCCCAACGCATCTGGGGGTGGCTGATTGGACAAGCAGGGGTTCCATAAACCTGGCATAAAGCAGCTCATTTTATATATATTATAAATTTGGTGCTTGGACTGCACCCTGCCTTCCAAGTGGCTCAGCAACAACACAATGCGCTTGTTAGCAAGGACTGACACCTGTTGACAGAAGATGGTGTTGCAGGCTTCAGCCATGGACATATTTTAATTAAAAATAATTAGTTTTTTAAACCGAACCACTCTTAAGGCACACACCTGTAGGGAGTCAGTAGTTCATGTGCCCTATTTCAAGTGCCTGGGTTTCATGGAATGGGAGCACTGCAAACCAAAGCCACACTTTCTTCCTCAGTGTTTCCTTCCCAGTGGAAGCCTGGGAACTGTAGTTCTGTAATACCCACCACCCTGACAAAATGGCACTTCTGTGGGTTCACTGAAAGGAGCCATGAAAAACCATTCATAAAGTTTGAGCGCTCCCCCTCCCCCACCCTGCTGCATATGCATTCAAAACTGCAAGCCTACATACACTGTGGGGTGAGTCCCATTGAGCTTAATGGAATTACTTCTGAGTAGATGCGTAGGATCACATCACAGTGGCATCCTTTAGTTCCCCCACTTCAGTGGGAGTGTAGGCAAGGCACTTTCATGGGATCTTAGCCTCCACCCTTCCAAACAAACCGTATCCCTGAGATGGGAAGAGACGTTCCCATCTTTCAAACAGAGAGAGAGGAGCCAGGGGAATTGGTGCCTTGCCCCCGCCTCCCGTCTGTTCTAGCTTTGACCATACACAGCAGTTACACAGGTTCTCAACGAGAGATGCCCTGGATCATTAATGGATCGATTCCTGCGCCTGGCTCCATTGTGGACGCTTGCCGAGTTTGGACAGCTCTTGATTTTCCACAGAAGACCCGTCTGCTTCCCTCCTCCTCTGACATCTTGCATTTTCATTTCAGAGCTTGGAGTCAGCTATGAAGAATCTCCACATCAAGTGAAAGGGCAGCTCCTTAGTGCAGTGTTTTTCCTTGCCTCCAGTTGAGGAAGAACTTAAGCCCAGCAGCTCAGCCTCCTTAGCTCCTGTCTTCTTTCCTGCAGCTTGACATACCCATGAAGATCATCTCAGCAGCTTTGCAATTTCTTGGTGCTTTGTGAGCAGACACGGCTTTAAAGATATACTGTGCTTAAGAAATGACACAGAGCCACTGGTCATGATTAGCAAGTAAAACTTGTTTTTCTTCCCCACAGTAGTTTGTCGGTTCGTATTTGCACCCAGGCTCCTCCTGCATCCTCCTAAATGGCCTTGCAAGTGAGAGATCAGGTTTAATTTCTACCTTACGTTCCAGTCTCAGCACCTGGAGCCAAGGGCTGTTTTAATGGCCACAGTGGAGCGAGGCAATATAGTGCACTCGCTCTGCTTCCAAAGAGCAGGAAAAGCGTCACGCTGAAGTACTCCTGTACTTTTACTCCCTGCACGCAGATAGCCGGCACTGTAGAAGACTAGGAAGGAGCCACGCCTATGGTTGCACATCTTTCTCTTAGGAGGGGCTTTCAAAATACTGATGTATGTGCAGAACCGAATCTCTCCTTACTCTGCAGACTGAGCCCAGGCAAGCCATTCCGACACAGTGGGTGTTGCATCCAACGTATCTGAAAGATGTTGGTGAAGACCAAAGCGGGGCTGGAGAAGAAGAAAGGAGTTGCCCAGAATCTGCTCAGACCATTCGGCCTCCAATTACGCTAGCTGAAGGCCGTAGGAACCACCCTGCTGGACGGGGCCAAGAGGCCGTCTGCTCGAGAACTCGGCTCACACAGTGGCCAACCGGTAGGAAACCCGCAAGCAGAATGCGGGCACAACCGCCTGCTGCCGCCCGTGTTCCCCATCACCCTGCCTCTGCACTGGGGGTGGCACTTCGCCAGCAAGGCTAGCAGCCGTCGGGCCTTCTGCTCCATCCATCTGTCCAATGCCCCTTTAAGGCGCCCAAACGGGTGGCCATGGCTACATCTTGTCACAGTGAGTTCCACAGTTCATGTGCTACATGAAGCACTGTCCTAAAATCGCAGACGCTTCCCGTGGTGGTGAGACCAGTAGCGTATGCATTTGAAGGAGGCCAGCCAGCCAGCCAAATCCCTATTTCAGTCTAGGGCAGCGGGCGCTTCGACCCACAGCTGCCACCCAGCTTCAAACCACACAGTTGCCTCTTTGCAGCTGTCTCACGTGGGTGAAGCTACCGTGTGCGTGTGGTGGCTTGCAGGCCTGAGAGAGCTGCCACAGGCATCTGCCAAGAGCCGTCCACCAGGCACGGAGTGCCCCACCTCCGTATTCCTTTTATGCTGGTGAGCCAATTGCACTTGTCGACAGGTGAGCGGTGCTTGGCCGGCTGACACATTCTCCTTTGGAACACCTGTGCAGGTACACTGTGATCATGCACAGCAGATGAGGAACAGGTTCTGTGTCATCACTCGTGGGCTTGGCCTTCCCTGCCGGCAGGAAGACTGTGGCCCACATTTCACTGAGTGGAACCTTTTACGGCAGAGATGTAAACCTAGGGAGAGGCCAGCCCAGGAACTGTGGTTGGTGTAGCGGATTGTTAGGTGTTGGCTAAGTTTGGATGTGACCTCCTGCTTCCATTGCTGGTCACACCACCAGCAGCTCAATGGGCAGGAAGGAATCGGGGGCCATCAATGGGTTGTCCACACTAGAAGTGATGACTCCCTGATCCTGCACTCTGAGGCAGCCTGCTTGTTTAAGCAGCACAGCAGTGGCCGACCTGCTGGCCTTGGAGGAACAGACTCCAGAGTCGCAGGGGAGAACTGCTTCTCCAGAACACAAGCTGAAGTATTTACGATAATTTAAACTTTTATTCAGCCAAATATACACGTTTTCCCCCCAGTTAGTACTGGTTCCAACATGTCGCACAATCAAGGAAGATTCTCTGGTTTGGTTCTTGTTTGCAGTTAAAAAGCCACTATCCCTTTTCAAAGGAGAAGGAAAGAAATTACGGATGGCTTTAAAAAGGGGGTGGGGGAGGGCTGGGAGGGGGAATGAAGACCAAAATCGCCACACTGTTCTGTTCCAATTATTATTTTTGCCGCTCTGCAGCCAAGTGCCTGTTACACGCCTCACACGCTCGCACCCCAGCACTTTGAAATCCGCAGCCGAATGGTGAGACTGACAGGTGGGTGCCCCCACCCTGACTACATCCCTGCAGGCTAGCAGAAGCATCCAGCCCCCGATCAGTCCACCGCCCCTCACCCTGCCCCGGATCAGTGATCTGAAGTCTAAGCACCGCAAAACCGTTCAGGTTGCAACCCCCCCTCCCCACGCCTACCTGGAGACTTGCTGCTGCACGATTCTGCACCGGTATTAACAGGCCCCCCACCCTCCCCAGCCCTTTTCTCCCTCCTGCCTCCCCCCACCCCCAGTGGAATTCTGTGCCCAGATGAAGACAAACGCATTGCTGTCCGTGTCTCTTAGAGGTGAAGATGCCGCCGCCACCGCTCTCTCCACGCGGCCTCTCTGGGAAGGGATGCGGAAGAGTGTGCGGCGGGCGCCAGCCAGGCACAGTTCCCGGGAATTTCCTCCTCTCGGTGGCCTCCGCTTACTTGTTGAGGGACAGCGACTGCAGTCTTTTGCCTGCTGAACTTGCTTCGTCTTTAGCTTGTGGGTGAAGAGAGCAAGCAGGGGGAGAGAGCGGAGAGAGAGGGATGAAACGAGCTGCCTCAGAGGAGGTCACATTGGCAAAAGGTTTGCTTTGCTCAATGGCAAAATAAAGGTCGAAAAACACGATTGCCCAAGGGGAGGAATAGGGAGAAGATGGCAGAACATCCCTCCCAGGGAAGGAGGGCAGAACATCCCCTCCCAGGGAAGTCAGCCCTTTAGATGTCTGGTGAAGACAATACTGCTCCTCTGCGCTTTACTGACAGATGCTGCTCTCTGCTTTATTTATCCCTGGTTTTATTGTACCAAACAGCATTTTGCAGTTTATGCATTTTCTTCTTTCTGGTCTTATTTGTGCACCCCCTCAAACATTCGCTCAGGAGCAATCCAAAAATATTCCAAATAAAAAACAGCATTAATGCCCTGTGGCGATTAGCTAGCCAGCCAAATCCTGCTACTATCACTGGCTCCTGTCTATTAAGGGGGAGGCAACCAGGCAACCTAAAAGGTTGCTCGCTATTGCTGGGAAAAGGAACACCTTTCAAGGAGCAGCAGTGCAGGAGCTTCTGCCTCACTGCAAACGTGGCTGCGGACGCCTCTGCTGAACGACCCGAACACGGTGTCCCATGTGGGAGCTGATGTGGAACCGCCCTGGGCTGGCTGTCTTTAAAGAACCGTGTGTCTGTGAGCGAGCAACACGGGCTGGAAGAGCTGCAGCTCAGCAGCTGGGCGAGGGGTGCCAGCATCTGCACGAGGCTGGGCCAGAAGCCTGCCTGAAGCCCTGAATCTCAGCCAGGGTCAGCAGAGGAAAGCGAGAGGCAGCCGTGCTCCGCCTGGGTATAGACCAAGCTTCTAGCGGCCTTACAAGGCAGGCTAGTATTTTTGAGAGGCCGGGAGGTCACACAGGAGGAGGAGGCGGCTACCTGTGCAGCTTCCTTACCTCGTCTTTCTTCCTCCTTTTTTCTGGCCGCCTCTTCCCGCTGTTTTCGGATGATGGCTAGTCGGGCAAGATCTGCCTTTGCTTGTTCCGTTTTACCAGCGAGGTGCATCTTCATGTACCTCTCTTTCGCTTTCTGTTTTTCAATTTCTTCCCTGTTTAAGGCAATGAAATCAGTGTGTGTGGGGTGGCGGCGAGGAGGCGGACACAGGGCTTTCTATACAGCGTATATGCTATGAGGCGCTAAGGACATTATATTTTTCCTTTCTACATGGACATAAGAGGGGATTTGTTTCAAAGCATCCAAGGTACCAGAGGAGCAAAAAACCATTGATGATCAAAATCATCATTAGAATTGTGGAAATGGCATTACTGGACTCTGTTGCAGTCACTGCCAACGGTCATTCACCGCAAGAGTTGCATGTGAACGCCAGACTGAAGGCCTGGTTCATACGCTATGCCAACTTAATCATGGGTAACTGGTTGGTTTCTAAAGGGTGGCTTATTTTTCACAAACGAGCCATCCTGGGAACCCATGGCTACTCCAAGGGTTGCTGGCACCTGTGGCAGCGGGTCGTGCCATCTGAACCTGGCCAGGCAATTCCATCCTGGCTGGCTGGGAATGGCCAGAGGGGATCCTGGACGTGGCAAAGACCTGCGATGCGCCTTGTGCTCCTGCTCAGGCTTCTGCTAACCTCCCTGGTGCCCTTCCAGCTGTCTTTGCATTCCTGCCATTCTCCCTCCAGTGTTGCCACTCAGCCATGGCTCTCGTGCATGTTTTCTGATCCCATTCACTGCTTGGCAACTAAATCGAATGTCACAGCTGGGAAGGGAAGGAAGCAACGAGCAGGAAGTGCGGGGGGGGGGGGAAGGGGTGCAAGACTGGCTGAAGGGAAGGCCCTTTACCAGCAGGTGTTCTTACTTTGGGAATGGGTGTGCTCCCATTAAGAGTCACCGTAAAAAACAGCTAGCTAGCAATTTACGCGTTGACGTAGAAGAGGGGGATGCAGAGATGCTTCCCTAAACATTAGAGAGACACGCCAAGTCCTCTCCCACTGTAAAGCAGTTGGCAAACCGCTTGCCAATTTCATAAGGGCTTACAGAATTAATTCTGTGTGATGAGCTGGGGGCAGAGCACAGGGGTTCCCCTTGGCAGTCAAGAATCCCAGTGGGCCAGCTGCAGAAGGGGGGGCTGGCACAGGGACGGAGGCAACAAGAAGCCCTGCTGCCCGGCACATGGATACGGGCCAGAACCAGCCGGGGGGAATGAGAGGAACAGGCCACGATAAGCCTGCCTGCCTGCCTGCAGGGAGAAGTCTGGGCTGTTCAGTGACCATCAGCGCAGTGGCTGCTGCTTAGCACTCGGTGTCTCTGGTTTGCTTACAGTGTGTGGATCTCCCCATTCAGAATGCCTTTCCTCCTGCACTGCCCTGCAGCCTGTGCTAAATGCCCGCAGAAGGAATGGAGAGACGCTGGTGGGCGCACCTGGGTCTGTGGGGTTTGTGTATTCCCACAAGGATGATTCCTTCAGTGCAGTGGTGCTCCAGGACGGAAAGCGCTCATGCTCCACTCATCTGCCTTTGCCATGGAACAAGCCTTGACCATTTGCCGGAACCTGGTGGGCTGCAGAGCCCCAGATGCATTTTGAGGACTGGTGTACTAGAGGGCAGGAAAAGGGTCTTACCGTTCTCTCCGCGACAACTCTCTGGGGCTCTCCAGATCTATCTGAGTTACTTTTTTGGCTGTCTGTGCAACACGGTTGGGATTCTCTATATCTATCATGCCTTCCACTCCTTTGTGCTTTGGCTGGAATCGAAGAATGCAAGAAGGCATTATTATGGCGTGCAAAAGTCATGGCAGTGGCACAAAACCGCTTTCATCTGAGGGCCACCTTCGTTTTGGAGCAGCTCTCCGTGAAGGGTGGGGCCATCTGGGAAAACCCAGCAGACTGGATTTGGACCACTGGTCTAAGGCCCTGCCCCCTGCCCCGTCGCAAAAGGTCCCTCTGCTTGACTTTAGGAAGCCAGAAAACACTTGGACAACATTGCAGTAGTTTCCTAATCAAATGAACCAAGTATTGGCATGACAACGCGGCTGTCCCAAGCTTTCTTCCACGTAACAGGACAGACCTCTTATTCGTACCTGGTAGTCTTCGTCCTCCTCCTCACTCTCATCTGAATCTAGTGATTTCTCCTTTTTCTTGGGTTCACCTGTAGCACCATCTCCTCCTTCCTCCTGCTCTTCCTCCTCTTCCTATGGGAGTGAAAAATATTACTAGCCGATGTAGTAGAAGAGGAGCTGGAATCAGAACAGGGGAGCCCTGGATTCAAGTCCTGGCTCAGGCCTGCAACTCGCTGCAGGACTTTGGGCCAGCCACGTCTCCCCTTAACCCAGCTTAAGGGGTGCCGAGAAGGTGAAACGGAGAATGGGCAATCCACCCACATAAACCCAAGCTCTTGCAAGGACCAGTGGAGCAGAAAGGGACATTCGGGACACGCTGTCCTTTCAAAGGGGGCCGGTGAACTGGAGAGCCCCCACCTCGCGGCTTGCCCCCCCCTTCTGCCAGTCCTCGAAAAGAAACACACAACAGAGCCAGAAGATGCATTACCCTAGCCTTCTGTTTCTCTGCTTGCAGCTGGGCATCGATCTCCTCGGGACTCGTGTACTGCCGCGCTCGGCCTTTGTGGCCTCCTTTCCTGCCTGTAAGCAAAGAGCTGGTTTAGGTGAGTGAGCTCAGGCAACTGTGACCACCTTTCCCCCTCCTCATGCTGGACTGAGTCATCTGAGCAGGAAGCGCCTGGCTGGATCAAGCTGGAAGTCTGTCCATCCCAGCATCCCACTTTGCAAACAGACACTGTTTTCAGGAAGCTCACGGAGACACTGTGACGATTTCCTCAATCGTTCTGTCCTGGCAACGGGTATTCTGTGGCATCCTCCTCTGAAGACAGAAGCTCTGTTTCGATCTCGGAGCTTAAAAGGCCATTGGTAAGGTTGTCCTCTCTTGGTCTTCCCCAGCCTTCTTTTAAAGCCCTAACCCAGTGGCCATCACTACATCACAGAGCAGCCAGTTCCCCAGAGAGTTATGTGCTTTGGCAAAAGCCCTTCTTTCCGTTTGCCCCATATCCTCCGCCATTCAGCTTCCCTGGATCATCCTACGGAGTTCTAGTATTACAGAAGAGGGAGAAACTTCTCCCTGCAAACTTCCTCCACACCATGCTAGATTCTGCAACCCTCTCCAGCTTGCTCTAGTTCACTGCCCTTTTCCTAAACCAAGAAGCTGTAAGCATTGCACTTTCCCTCCAGGGTCAGCATGTGAGCCTAGCTTGCATGGAACTCCTGGTTACCACGTGTGCTCAGGTGAGTGGTTCAAAACAGGAGAGGCAGAAGTTCAATTAGCCCAATGGTGTGTGCTCTGACTGGCAGCTACTCATCAGGGCTGGGCATTTATGCCACAGGGAAGATCTGAAAGGAAGGGCTGATGGGGAAGATTCTGTCTTTTCCACTTTAGAAAAGCGTTCCTTTCAGGCACCTTGATGCAATTATAATTAACTAGAGGTGAACAAGTGAGCAACTCTTTACATGCTGCTGTGGGGATAAGGAAAGGTGTATATAGGTGGGGGACTCGCCAACAGACAATCCTTCCAGGCAAATCAAAGTCTCATGAAACAGATTTTTAGTATCTACAGGACCATTCAGAAGCAACAGTTAAGTCTAAACTAAATGGAACTACTTGGGGCAGAAAGGGTTAGGGTTTATTTGATTTCTATACTCCCCATTAACCAAGATGGTTCCCTGGGCAGTTATGCATGGTAAAGGTAATGCATTTATATTCAAGAGCAAATCTGGGTTGAACAGAGTCAGGCAAGCGTTTTCATGAACACAGGATGTGGACATATTGCAAATCCAGCTTGCCTCAAGAGAACGTCTTTAGGTAACAGCTGTCACTCTGAGCAGCTGTCACCCTCTGTCAATCATGCAGGACACCCTCAAACACAGAAGCTGTGTTTGTTATACACATAGTTAACATTCAGGCTTCCACCCACACACAGGAAAAACAGCAAAAGGACAGCTCTGTGAAGCTTCGCCAAAACACCTCTTTTAGATCATCCCGCCATTTACACCAGGCTAAGTCTTGGCATGAGACCTCAGAATACCAGAGGTTTGGGACAAACCAAGTGGAGAGCCTTGCCTTTGTGCCCTGCTGGATGCCGGAGGAATTTGGCAGGCTGCTGCAAAACACAGAACACTGGATTAGTGTGCCTTCTGGGCTGGCCCAACGAAAGTTCCTTCAAAGTCCTCTGTCATTTAAAACAAGCCAATGGAAAAAGGAAATCCAGCATCCCAACCAGCAGTGCACCAGGTCTGTACACAACTATCTCCTGTTTTGATGTTTTAAGAGGGGTGGGAAGCCTGTGGCCCTCCAGATGTCATGGAATTCCAAACCCCATTAGCACAGCCGATTGTCACGAATGACGGGGCTCAGTCAAGTGGCCTCTGGAAGGCTACAGGCTCTTTATCCCTGTTTTAACTCTGCCTTATGCGTGTGCTTCTGGGCAGACGTGGGGTGCTGACAAAGAGCCGCACTGCTTAAATTTCTTTCGGGATACCATCATGATTCATGGGCAAACTTTCACTGCCTCTCTGCCTCTCGCATATCCAGTGAAACAGTTGAGCTGAGCACCCTGGAGGGGGAAAAGCAGGTTATCAGACAGCCAGCACTTGGGAAAGACATGCTGGCAACATCCCTTGGAAGTTATCCAAACTGGGTGTGGTGCAGCCGCAGCCTGGCTTGCAAGCGTTCCATCTCCTTGCAAGCAGGCAACCATTTTTCCTCCCATGCAGCAGCGAAGGCAGTCCCTCAATGCAGGTGGGACGAGTCCAGTCATGCTCCCATCTTAGCTAAGAGACCTGCCACAAGTCAAGCTGCCTGTATTTTTTTCTCTGTCCACAGCTTTCCCTTCCTCTTGGCTTTGCAGCAGCAGTTCAAACTGGCAGGAATTTTTCTCTCACCCACCCTTTGCTCCTGAGGGAACAGAAGCTTCCCCAAATTGGTCCCCTCCAGATGTGTCAGACCGCAGCTCCCATCATCCCCAGCCAGCATGGTCAATGGTCAGGTCTGCAGGGGATGAGGGGACGGATAGCCTGGAGGGTACCACCTTGAGGAAGCGTGAATTGGACTGAAGGGGGAAAACCCACATGGCTGCTTCTTACATAATACACAACAGGTAGCCAACAATAAAAAGCTGCTAATGACATGCTACGAATTCATCTGAAATCCACACCAGTATCCCTGAGCTGACCTGTCCTGTTCAAAATCATCCCTGAACAAGCAAGATCCACACTGATCTCTCCACCCACAGGGCACCTTACCCGCAGTAGCAAACGCAGCACTTTTGCACATGAAGAAATGAGCTGGTCACTCAGTGCTCAGTCAAATCCCCTAATGCAGTCAAACAATTATCTCTGCCCCCCCACCCCCACCTGCTCATCTTCACTACAGGGAAACAACACTGGATTGCCTAGAAGATGACTGGAAGGGGTGAGCCATTCTATGCACCATGCATTGAGTCCTTCAGAAAAAGGCTGTACGAATACAAAACTTTGGACCAACTGGATGCCTGCAAACGATGGGAGCTGCCCTCCAGTACATTAGGAAGGCTGCATCCAACGCTTTACCCAGCCCCCTCTGCACGGTCTTTAATCTTGCTCGACTGCGGAGTATTTGCTTCGTTTGCCTAAAGCCCCCCCGTTAGCTTTTTCTACGCATGTTCATAAACATGCTTTTGGGCAGCACGCCCATCTTTTATGTTGACCAAAATGACAACTAGGTTCTTATTGCTTCTTTCTTCACTAGTAAAAGCTGGATCGTTTCAGCTGCACTTCTGGAAAGAGGCTACGCCTTCTGCTAGGCCAGCCCGCCCATGCTCAGTCCCGCCAGGTGTTTTGGTGCGTGGTCCCCAGCATCCTTGACCCTTGCCTGTGCCAAGTGCAGCCTTGGGCTGCAATGGCACGAGGGAAGCCAACTGGGAAAGGCTGTTTTAAGCACTCCACTCTTCTTCCATGTGGCCCTCCCTGCAATATTTCCTGTGGTTTGAGCACCGGCTCTCTGAAATGCACAGTTTCTAGTTTGGTGTACGGTCTTCTCACATTAGCTTGTCGCCGATACATGCATGTGGAAAACCCCCTTTCAGAAGTAGGTGAGTAACAAAATCAGGTGGATGAGCTTGCCATACAGACCGTTTCAAACATACATTGCAGCAACTGTCCCATGGCAAAGTCATTCCAGCGCTGGAGAGCCTATTGCATCACAAAAACAGTCCCGTTGGCTTAGATCAAAGGCCTATTGAGTTCAGCATTCTGATTCCCAGTGACCAACCTGATGCCTCTGGGAAGGACACAAGCATGAAGACGATACTGTGCTCTCGTTGTTGGGCTACAGAGCTTCCATTCAGAGTCATATTACTTCTGGAGCACACATATGCATATAGCCATTATGACTGGTTCCCATGACTGGACTCATCCTCACTCATTTATCCTATCGCCTTTAAAACCATCTTTAAAAGTCACCACAAAGGTGCCATAATCAGCAGATGACATGGTAAAGGTATTCCTTGATCACTTAAAACAGAAGTGGGCAGAAGATAAGATGGCCAGATGGTTTACTGAACCAAAGGTAAATCTGCAGACATTTCAGATTTCATTCCTGACATAAGGCTTAAGAGCAGTCCTGCTGGATCAGACCATTTAATGGAGCATCATGTTTCCAACAGTTGTTGGTTGAATGCCTCCAGAAGGCTCTATACCATTCAGGATGTAAAAGACTGCATGATTTGATGCTCCCACATTCGAATAAAGGCTTGCTGCATGTAGAGTATGAACCACAGAAAAAACGTTCTTATCTAGCTCCCCCTGACAATTTCATTTTGAATGCTCATGTGTTTATTCAAAGTATCTTGTAACCCCTAGGTGGCTCACAACGTAATTAAGCTTATTAATAACATCCCCCTGAAAACAAAAACTAAAAACCAATCCAGTTCACTCTCAAGTCTAAGAAAGAACCCCAGCAATAGAATAATCAAGGGAAAATTGCTTAAGAAACTGAATGCTTAAACTGAATGCTTAAGAAAACTAGACAGTTGTGACCTGACATCAAAAAGGCAATACAGAAAAATATCCTGAGCCTAAACCATTTAAAGCTTTCCAAATTAGAAACTCAGCACTTCGAACCATGTCAAAAAACAAACGGGAAATATTCAGACTAGCTCTGACCCTAAGTAGCAGTAGGAAGGACCGACTCTGGGGAAGGAGGAAAGTAGTTTGGGAGAGTGAAAAGGTGGCAAACGCTACTAAAGAGAGAAGATTTAATCCATGCAATTCAAGATTCCGTGTTTAAAGGGTGAAGAAATGAAATAATGGGAAGTATTTTGGGGGAATTCCTTCTCCCATTTTGGAGTCATATCTGGATACAATCCAGGGATAGTTTTCATGCATCCTCTGCTGCTTGAGTAAACAAGCCCTTGAATCAGTTCCCTGGCTTGCTTCCCACGTGGATAGAAGGCACAGCTTCTAATCTCAATCTCTTTTTCTGGAAACGAAAGTCACTCTCTCTCATTCCCTTCTGGATCGGGTGCCACCGCCTCGTCTGATGCAATTGACCGAACAAGCTGTTCAAAGCTCCAATTACACGGGAAGCCATGGGAGCCGAGCCCATACTTCACTTCTTGAAACGTTACAGGACAGCACCCCTAGCTACAATTGAGGAGGGGGGAAAAGAGGAGCACCCAGAGGTTGCAAGATCTATGACGCTACTCTCCCACGCTCCGCACCTCAGAATCCCCCCTCCCCAACTGCCCTTCTCATCCTCTATTCTCCCGCCACCCCGGGCACTTGTCGAAGCTCTTAACACATCCCGCCTCGTTATTCCCCCGCCCGGAAACCACTCGTCGTCTTCTAATGCCCCTCACAAGATTTGAAGGGCTCTCGTAGCTCCTAGCACAGCCCCCCTGGTGATCCTCCCCCACCCCGAACCCCGTCCTAAGCCCTGCATTATAACCCTGGAACCTGGCCTGAAAAATATCCCCCAAAAATAAGGAACAGCGAGCCACGCGCATCGCCGCCTTTGCCCCCGCCCGCCCCAAGTCCACTTAGGAGGAGGCCAAAATGGTGCCCCCCTCCCGCAGGCTAGGCCCCAGCACCTCGACCGGCTCCTCCTCCCACCCCCGCGCAGGCCGTTTCCTCCTTCCCTCGCTCACCGCCTTTGGGCATGGCGCGGACGGAGAACGATGGCGGCTCGGGCTGCGAGCGACTCTTCCCAACGCACCGCCTCCACTCAGCCCACCTCACTTCGCCCCAAGCTTGGACGCGACCCGGAAACGGAAACGGGAGCCGGGCCGGCCTGGGATAATTCTATGGTTTCCCCCGCTGCGGTGCGTGCACGCGCCGGCCCAGGCCTCGCGGCGCGGGCGGGCCTCGCCAGTGCCTGACGAAAGGGAACGGGGGGGGGGGGGTCAGGGAGAGCGGGCGCTGGGCGCTCCTCACACCGCGGAAGCGCGAGAGGGGTTCGTGTGGTTGTGTGACTCGACGGTGATGCCATCTAATTGCCCATGGGTGCGACTCCCGACAGGCCCTGGGAAAGCGTGGTGGCCCGGCGTGAAGCCCCTTAGAGCGACACGCCAGGAAGGAAGGGCCCCTCCCTCTATCGCGGGCGGGTGACGTCATCCAGAGGCGACGGAGAGCGCCGAAGAGACGGAAGAGCCCAAAGAGGCGTCCCGAGAAGCGCAGCCGCGTTTGTTTCGGGGTTTCCTGGGACGGCGCAGTTTGGGCTGGAAGCAGAAGCCGTCCTCTCTTGAGCCCGGGGACCTCAAAAGTTTCATCAGCGAGCCTTGTCTCCTGGTGGGTCTTTTTGTTAGATTTATACCACTCCTTTCTTTTCTTAAAAGAATGCAAAATGGCTTATGCAGTTCTTCTCCTGCTTTCAATTTTATCCCCCTAACAACAACCCTGTGAGGTAGATTGTGCTGAGAGTCTCTGACTGGCCGAGGCACCTAGGTGACACCATGGCTGAGCAGGGGCTACAACCCAGATTGCCCGAGTCCCAGCCCTTCGTTCTTAACCACTGTACCACACCAGCTCTCCTGGTGGCCCATTTGTAGGGCCGGCGGAAATTAATGGTGGACATCCTGGGAAGTGAGTTCGTTTTTTTACCTGATGTCTACTTGCTGAAGAACCGGAGTAGCTGTTTACATAAAAGGAACCATTCTTTAAAAAAAATAAAATACTTTTTTTGTGTTAAAGTTGCAGTGGTGTGGAAATTTGCGGGGGGTGGGGTTGAAGGTCTCGATAGAGGATATTTCCTGTGGGAAGAACTGGGGTTTCAGTCCTTCCTTGGGTTAAGCTGGGAACCTTAAAAGTTTCGTCAGGGATTGTGTTGGACAAACGGATGTGTTCCCCTCCTTGCCTGCCACTGTTTGGGTATACAGTTTATTTAGTTGAAGGAGTTTTCTTTTTTGCCACTCTTTGGCCAAAAAGCTTCTAAAACAGCTTACTGGATGTAGTCCTGTGTTTGCTTAACCAAAACTAGTATTGTATGGACAGCATGGCTGTTGGGGATGCTGTGAACTGTGGGAACTATTTTTGTCTAAGCATGTATCAGGGTTGCACCTTGAACAAGACGTTCCATACCCATGGACTTACCTTCTAAAAAGACATGACACAGAAGGAAAAAATGGGGAGAGAGCAAAGGGAAAATAATTCTTTTAGCAAGCTTAGTGAAATGGGCATGCTCTCCCTTTCCTTTTCCTCAGTACAGTCATCTGGAATGCCTGCTGGTAGCAACATTTGCAGAATGGGGAGGGGATGCCTTTCTACATGGCGGATGGAATACTGACTATTGGGGTAGTGGATCCACAGTCCTTCACACATTACTGGACTCTTGTACCTTTAACAATGGGGGAAGAGAGTACTTTGGTCAGTGCTGCTTTTCTTGCCCATGTACTATAAGCTGGCCCTGTCCAGTTTGTTTGTTTGTTTGTTTGTTTGTTTTTTCGATTTATATCCTGCCTTTTTCCTGCAAAGGGCACAAGGCAGCTTACATCTCCTCCTCCATCTTATCCCCACAACAACCACCCTGTGAGGCAGGTTGGGCTGAGAGTCTGTGACTGGCCCAAAGTCACCCAGTTGGCTCCATGGTTAAGCGGGGACTTGAACCCGGATCGTCTGAGTCTCAGTCCCGTGCTCTTAACCACTAGGTTGCACTGGCTCACACAGTTTCATCATTCTTGGCAACATCTTATTGTCATGAAGTCTGTTATCCCATCTCTTTACTACTGGAAGATTCTATTTTGAGTCTTGTATTTTAGTGAAGGAATCCTGGCTCATAATTACTTCTGCTCAACCTAGTGCCTTATAGACATTTATGCTGTTCAAAAACTCAGCTCAGAAATGTGGGTCAAGCCAATTAGTGTAATTGGATCTTCCCCTGACTCGGGTGGAGCACAAGTTATGCACTGTCTTCTAGGTGCAGCAGCAGTATATTTAATTACTGCCATAATCTTGTTGCAGGTTGTGTTTTGTTGCTTCCTGGGGAGATGCCCAAGGTGAAGAGGAGCAGAAAACCACCTCCAGACGGTTGGGAATTGATTGAACCAACCTTAGATGAGCTGGACCAAAAAATGAGAGAAGGTTGGTAGCAAAGCAGAGGATTGGCTTGGCTGTGAGCATGAAATCCATCTTAAAAATTCTTGGGTATGAAATTTAAAAGCTCTGGCTGCACTGGTAACTTAAGTACAAACACAGCCCATAATCTGGTTTAGAGTGCAATTCTATGCATAGTTAGTTAGGAAAAATCCTTGCAACTCCCGGCCATTCCCTAGATGAGGAATGCTGGGCATCATAGGATTTTTTCCCATATAAAAATGCACTGGATTGTGCCTTTAGTCATGCAGTTATTTGAAACGTTTTTGTGCTGCTTCCAGAGTGGCTTATATTGTAAAGGCATGACACTACATGGAAAAAGGCACTGCAGTTAGTTAAAAAGGAGCTTTTGTGAATTAACTTTGTTATTAATTGGGTGTCAGATCAGTCCCACTCGCCCCTCTCGTTTCTCTCAGTACAGGCTGCTCCTGGTGACAGCTGAGGGAACAAGAGCCTTCATGAGGGAGGGCTTTGAGAAGGACCCGTGGACTGGCCCTGCTTTCCCTCAGTGGAGGCTGCTGCATGTGGAGCAGGTTGCCTGGGGACAGCATTTCTGTGGTGTTTCAAATTAGAATTGCCTTTGGGTTGGGAAAGGCTTCTGGCTGAAAAGTTGCCTTTAGTTCCTGTACTGGACGAATGGTCTGAATGTAAATCAGGGAGGAAAGGTTATCAGTGCTCACAACCGGTCGTGATGGTTGGGATTATGCCTGAGTACCTGTTGCTGCTGCACTCCAGTCTACCTGGGCATCTGCTTGGCTACCCTGTGAACAGAACGCTGGATTAGATGATAAAGTTTTTTTCTGATCTAGCATGGCTTTTATGTATTCATCTTCCTAGGTTACAAGGTAAATATGATGATGGAAAGCACTCTTAGATCAGCTTATACAAATATGGATGTGAGAATGAAAGCTATGTATTTCCTCTCCTAATTTTCAGGATGTCATGGGGTTTTTTTCTTTCATGCAGCAAGATACTTGACTTGGAAAAAGTAACATCTTGTCTGACCCTCATCTCTCTCCCCAGCTGAGACTGAACCCCACGAAGGGAAGAGGAAAGTAGAGTCTCTCTGGCCCATCTTCAGAATTCATCACCAGAAAACACGTTACATTTTTGATCTCTTCTATAAGAGGAAAGCCATTAGTCGAGGTAACACAGCCGTCATCTTCGTCTTTTATGTGTTAGGAATGGCTGGGAAATTGGTTAATACATGTTACATGAGACCAAATTATTGTCTCAACTTTGTCCTCTGCAGAATTGTACGAGTATTGCATTAAGGAAGGCTATGCAGACAAAAACTTGATTGCAAAGTGGAAGAAACAAGGTTATGAAAACCTCTGCTGCTTGCGCTGCATCCAGACCCGGGATACCAACTTTGGAACTAACTGCATCTGCAGAGTGCCCAAAAGCAAGCTCGAAGTGGTAAGAATATTTTTAAAAACCACTTTCACTTACAGCGATGCATCTAGCATAACATTTCCTTTCCCTTTTCATGCATTTTCACCGAGGCATGAAATCAGGATCACTATAGATTCTGTGTAGCTGCTTGGTGGTGAAACCTGGTTTGTCACTGTTCTAACTAGCGACTAAACGCCTTTCCACTGAATTTGACAGGGGGGTGGCTTCAGAGTGTAGTTGACCCTTGGCAATCTTGTAACACTTTGCCTTGTGAAATTTGAAAAACGACTCTGCTGGGAAATTAATGTGTGTGCTTGACACTCTTGATCACAGTCTTTAATAAGGCAAGCTGAGATTAAATGTACTATTTTGGGTGGGCCTTATGTTGATGTTCTGACTGTTAATTGATTTGTTAATCTGTGCTTCCCCCTGAGAAATTTGAACGTACCTATTTGGCATACTTGTCTCATGAGCAAGACTCCCCCCTCGTTTACTGTTCTGCCGTGTAGCTCTGCAGTTTTGTGACTGACAAGCTACTTTTGTTCCACAGGGAAGAATAATTGAGTGCACCCACTGTGGCTGCAGAGGCTGCTCTGGATGAAGTGTTGTTCACATAACCCTGATTTCCTGAGAAGTTCTTAAGTGGTTGACCTCACATCAGTGACTGTAAGAGTTGAAATTAATATTTCATAAAATCCCTGGAGGAAGTAGCTTTCCTTTGCACCCCAGAATGCGGCAGCCGGAATTGTGAATGCAGTAGTGTGTCTTAATGTTTGGTGTAACCATTTATTTTAAAATAAAAGCCTTGTCTACTTCCTTGGCAGGTCTAAGCCTGTGCTATTATTTTTAAGGAATTGTTAACCATACACACTTCTGCCCTTGAGCAACAGGGTGACAGGAAGAGGTATGAAAGTGGCAGCAGCAGTAAAGGGCACACTTATTCCGATTTCACACCAGATCGCCTGTGAGCTGGAAAAAATGGGGAATGGAAAAGCTTAAGCCTCAAAGAAAAGGCCTATCTAAACAGATAAATTTGCTTCCATCCCATTGTCTTAGGTAAGAGCATAAGGCTTGCTTCAAATGTTATGTAGTTCACTTCAAGGAAAGTATATTCAGAAGCAAAACTCGATTCTAAAAATAATTCTGGACCAAGAGAATATGCATTTTGGGGCTAATAAAAATTCTGCAAATGTACATGCTCAACAGGGGCAGAAGTAGAAGTAGACTTCTAAAAATTATGTTTATCTGTTTTCTGAGACTTATTGCCTATATCCTTCATAGGCACCCTTCTCTGCAGCCTGATTGCAGGGAACTAAGAACAATTACTGAGCTATAGGAAAGACAGCCGGTCACCCAGCCACCTTCTACTCCAAAGCTATGAAACAAAAACAGTGCTATCTTTTAGAGTAGAGTCTATGAGGTTAGATTAGTTTATTCATTTTAAGAAATCTGATTATAATGGTTCATATTGCTATATGTACAGTTCCAGTTCTAAGCAGCAATCCTATATACGCTTACCTGGGAGTCAGCCTCATTAATCTTCATCTATCTTCTTGGCTATTTTTACAGGATTTACACTCTTTAAGAATTCTAGTGCCGATTTGAACAATAACGTTTACGTAAAAAGACAATGCTTTCTTGGGGTAGTACAGGCATCACTATGGAGTGTCAGTGTTTAGTTTCTGTCCCATGTTAATGCGATTTCGTGCATCTTCTGTGTTATCCTCATTCTGTGGCTGCTTCGGAGTTCTATATTTTGCCCAAGGGTGTGGGGTTTCTTCTGCCGCCATCCACTTCAGCCAGCGGAAGTAGTAGGCTCGGAAACCGTCTATTTTCTCCAGGTAGCGGTCCTTTGTTTTGTACTGTCAGAAGAATAGGAACTGAGTTAATGCAGGACTTGCACAATAAAGTCAAGAGGAGACTAGCATCAAAAGTTAAGAGACCTTCCTAGACTTGTCAGGAGCAACAATCGTTTGGATCTTCTATGTGGAATGGATGGATGACTTTGTTGGCATTAGAACTACAAGAGGAAGGTATGATTTAGTGTTTTAACCATCTTCTAGTAGACCCAATGAGACTGACAAGCTATTTCGGATCTAGTTGCTACCGTCTGTGACCTCATGAGTGAATGCTGGAATGAGTTGTACTGCTGGCGTAACCATCTGATTAAGGGACTTGTCTATACAGGTAGAATGTCTATCTCTCTTTCTTGATATTTAGCATATTTATAAGCTCAGATTCTTCACTCCCTTTGCCTCCCCATTTCAGTCAGCATTGAAATATTAATGCAGAGTAGCTTACCCTATCAAAGTTAGGTGGATACTGGGCTGCAAATTCCAGCTGGCGTAGGACCACCTCATTTGGCGGAACCTGAGTGTTTCTCATCTCCTTTAGGATCTCTATAAGGTAGGCATAATTGAGTTTCTTCACGCCTGCATTGATGAGGGCGCTGTAGATGTGTACATTGGGAGTCAGGCCAGATTGCTGAAACAGTCCCAAACAGCAAGTCAAACACCACTCAACACGCACATTTTCATCTGACCCCAAAAGGAGACAAAGGTCATCTAATGCCACTATGACTAGCCTTAAATTACCATGTGTGGATTGTCTCCAGGAACTGGGAGTCAACAGGATGCAGGGGTGAGCAACCTGTGGCCCTCCAGGTATTGGACTACAATTTCCATCAGCAAAAGCTGTTGGACTGCCACTCTCACCATCTTTCAACATTTGTCCAACAGTATCTGGGGGCAGGATAGCGCGCAGAGTTGTCGTGTGCACAGATCTCTGATTCACAAAGAACTCTGGGAGTGTTTGAATCCAGAGGGGAGAGTTCCTTACTACCCTTCTGGAGATTCATGGGACATCGTGATTTATTAGATTTATATCTTGTCTTTTTTCCTTTCAAGGAACTCAAGGCAGGTTACATCATCCTGCTCTTCATTCTCTCAAGCTCATCCTCACAATGACCCTGTGAGGTAGGCTGGGCTGAGAGTCTGTGCTGGGCCCAAATATGTTAGCTCCATGGCTGAGCCAGGGCCTAGAACCCAAATCCCCAGTCCTGCGATCTTAATCACTGAACCACACTGGCTGTCTTGATTTATGTTACAATCAATACAAAAACTTGTATGTAAGGCTTCACGAAAATTAAAGGAGAATACCTTGACTGCTCCTTTTCTTGCGTTTTCTGAATGCTAGTATTTCTGATATTTATTTCCCTTGTCTCTAGAAAGGCCAGGCATTTGTTCTTTCTCCTTCAGTCCTGTTTTTATTACAAGCTGAGTTTCAGTTACTCAGTTTGGATGTCACAGCTGAGAGATTTTGAACCTTGAGCGGCCGTGAGAGGAGCAGGCTGGTTCTCGCTGCAGCTGGGCAGAGCCAAACATCCCAGGGATGTCTGTCCAAACTGGACCTATGAATCTGACTGCTGTGATCAAACCAGGGTTTACACTGCTGGTGCAAGGTGTCAGTCAAACAGAACGGGGCGGGACAAGGAGTCCCAACTGATTGATAGGAGTGATTGCAACAGCCTCTGGTGGAGGCTGGTGCTAAAGTGAGGTTAAGAAGACAGGGTTGGCCTGTCAAAACTTTTCAGAATTCCTGGACATCACCCTCACAGGGCTTCTCGAGCCAAGCTGCTCCGGAACTTTATGTACCTTCATGTCTGAGAGTAACTGCAATCCATCGTCACTTTTATGGCAGGCTATTGCCAAGTTACAGAAGGTCTGTAGATTGGGCGAGAGTCCTTTCTTCAGCAGGATGGGCAGCAAGCTCTGTAATACACAAAGATGCAAGGGCCCGACATATTGTGAAAGTTCTGGGCTGAGAAGGCAGACTCTGCAGCGTGCAGAAAGGAAAAGGCTTAATCTCTGGAGCGTTTCATTTTGTGCCATTTATGTAGGTTTTGCTAGTCAGAGAAGCAGCAAAGGGTGGCATGAAGCCCCTCTCCCAATCATACTTTTAGGAGTTTAATTGTGGCCCTAAGAGAGAGGATCATGGCAATAATCAATACTACCACCAATAGAAGGGAAGGACATGAGTCCCGGCAAATTTTACTCTGCTAGCCAGAATGGCGTTGGGGGCAGTGCTCCCCTCCCCGCCCCGCCCCGCCCCGCAACCACCAACAGAGATCCTCAAAATGCTGAATTCTGCATTCCCACAGCATCACGACTTAGACACTCTGATATGCTCCTGATGTTACCTTTGCTCCCTCCAGATCGGCTTGCTTGCTCTTCTTCCTCAGCAAGGTATTAAAAAAAGTGATATCCGGCTTCACACTATTCTCCTCCATTGCAGTCAATATGGAAGATTCTGATGGACTGTTGGATTCCACCAACTCGGCTAGTAGCGTGAATGTTTTGATATTAGCCGTCACGTCGTCGTCTTTCATTTTCTTTAGGAAACCTTCCATGTTCCCCATCAAAGCTAATCGATCGGAGGGTGTTGCCACACTTCCTAAGGAAATCACGTTTTTGTTTGCGGGGCCCAAGTCCAGCAAGTTGGGGAAGTGGCAGCTGGTCTCAGACAGATGTGCCAGTTGTGTAGAATCCGGAGCCAACTGGCTTCCATCAGAGATCACCAGTTCCTTGGTCGTAACAGAATTGGATGAATTAGAGAGACCATCTGCGTTGTCCTTCATACAGTCCTTGCTCACACTCTTGCTTTGCTCCTCAGTTTCTTTGCTAATGTCTGGAAACATGCGTTTCTCCAGTATTTCCACATTTAACTGCACTGCAGCTCCACTGCCTGGTTTTTTCCCTTTCTGACCCTTCACTTTCTGGCGCTGTCCACCACCCGTCAGCCTCAGGGTTGCTGGGCTTTCCTCTGATGGACTTAGCAACAAATCGGAAGCCAGAAGAGGGTCTCCAATGCCGCAGTCTCTGGCAGCACTGAGCATCAAGTTGTAGGAGTAACTGTCAGGTTTTATGTTCAGTTTCATCATCTGCTGCCAAACCTATTTTAGGAAACAGGGCAGAGTTACGGTTAGGCAACATACAATGATTTCTAAATAATCAGGTGAGGGCTGGACAGTCGGAGCCCAGCTACATCCATTTCTTCCCTCGATGCCAGATCCACTTTGAGCAGCTGGGTAGTACAGGGGGACATCCAGGCTTGACACGCCTCCGGTATCGTATGTGTCATGGCTTGAGGAAAGCTGCCTGAACAGAGCCATCTCCGTAAAAGCGATGGACACAAGGATGACTGGCGTGGGAAGCAAATCTCCTTTTGTTTTAAAACAGCAAAAACCAGACAGGATACCTGGTGTTTCCAGTTATTTGGAAGACTTAATATTCATAATGATGTATTTACTCTACCATCCTGGGCTCCCTTGGCAGGAAGGGTAGTATTATAAACATTTAATAGAAAGTTGTAAAACACGTACACAGAATAGGAGGATCACAACCAGAGGAACTGACAGCTTTAGCTCGCTGCTGAACCTCACAATGGCAAGGAGAACCCAGGTTGCCGCAGGTCACCCCCTGGGGGGAACAGCGGGGATTCCTTTCTGTGCCGCACTTCAGGGGATGGGAGTGTGGCTGCAGGAGAGGGGCCTTGCCTTTGGCCTCAGGGGTCAGATGTTCTCTGTCCCTGGCTTAAGAGCAACAACTTCCAGCAATGCCAGGTGAAGCGCCTCGTCAGGCCATGCCACACCACTGTAAAGGAGGAGGACAGCAAACAGACCTGCAAGGCGTATCGGAACCCATTCTCTTTGTCTTTTATGCAGCCCATGAGAAGGAAGTTGAAAGTATCCGTAGTGACAATATGGCCTTTATGGACAATTTCCTTCAAAGGGGAGAAGACAGGAATTCCACAGTTACTATTCTACATAAATTAAGTGTTACCTATAAATTAACATGCTGTGCACAATCTACACTTTGTTAAGGCTGGGAAGGAGCAAATCCTACTTCTGGTACTTCACTTCCCAGCTCTTTGGTTTCTGCTCTCATTTACAAGGTCTTGATTCCAAACTTCTCCAAGGACTAAAGTTGGCAGAAAAGTTAGGCCCCAATTTACAGAGGAAATTGTAAATTTTCAGGTGGAAACAAGCAGAATCTGATGAAGGAGTTATGTCCACGATACATGAAAATTAGAATGGTCTATGATGACTAATAAATGAATACCTATTTGACAATCACTGCAACTTACTATAAAGCATTTTGAAAGTCTGGCAGACAAAGGTAACAACACAACCTGTACATCCCCTGCTTCCACAACGATTAATTCTGAGGGAAGCATTTCATAACAACTCACTCATTTTTTTCAGTGTCTTGTTTTCACCGGGCCTCTATGCAGAACTCATGAAATGCAATCCTATGATATTTAGTTATTGGGAAGATTTTTGCCACCCTTCTGAGTCAAAGGCAGCTTATAAAAAACAATTTTAAAAAGCAGGCTGACCTTTCCCAAAACATACGCCAGTCAAAATGCTTCTCTTTACCTTAAGTACATCAAAGCACATGCGGAGATCTGAACAGAGGGCACAGACTTTCAGAAGAGCATGGTATGTGAAGAGATTCAGCTCCACATTTTTGTTCTGCAGCTGCTCCCTTAGCTTTAGTGCACTCTGTAGGCCTGAGTCCTTCCAGGGGGATTCTGCACAGGCATTGAAGAGGGCTGTGTATGTTGCCTCCGTCGGAATCAAGCCTCGCTTTTTCATCTGTCTCCGGTAAACAAGAATTGATCAGCTTAGTAACAGCATTCCAAACAAGCATGGTTATCAGGAACGTCAAGGATACTCTGGAGGTATTTGATATAGGGTGGCAAGCAAGGTAAGGGACACTTTTCTTGGTACCAGAGAAGGCAATCTACCCCTCCCGCTTCAGAAAGCTAACACAGGCGTATGGGTGGTGATCCAAAGTGAGAAAGTGGGGGGGTATGAATTAACTTGCAAAGCAGGCATGGAGAGAGTGTAAACCAAAGTTTGCCTTCTGTGAAACATGTTTCTGTTGCTGCTGAAAAGTGACTTTGCAAGAGTTGTCCAGTGTGTTGGCAGTCAGGCCCCACCTCCGTCTTTCGATCGGTTACTTGTTCTTTGTGACTTGTCAGGCCTCGCATGGCAGCCTTTGGCGGCGTTGTCCAATGCAATTTTTCAAATTGCTAAATGTGTTCATGGCCCTAAGGGGTGACCCATCCCCTACATTACAACTTGCAAAAGACAGAGAGAGACTTGGGCAGTGTGTGAAAATATTTCTATACTTATAGAAATAAAATAAAATAAAATAAAATAAAAGGTAAAGCTTTCCCCTTGACATTAAGTCCAGTCATGCCTGACTCTCGGGGGCGGTGCTCATCTCCGTTTCCTAGCCGAGGGAGCCAGCGCTTGTCCGCAGACAGTCCCCGTGGTCATGTGGCCGGCATGGCTAAACACCGAAGTGCACGGAACGCTGTTACCTGCCCACCGAAGTGGTACCTTTTTCTCTACTTGCATTTTCATGCTTTTGAACTGCAAGGTTGGCAGGAGCTGGGACGGAGCAATGGGAACTCACCCCGTTGTGAAGATTCGAACTGGCGACCTTTCGATCAACCAGCCCAGCAGCACGGTGGTTTAAACCACTGCGCCAGTAGGGCCCCAAAACCATCACTGGGTGGAAAGCCTAAAGTCAGCACATCCTTGTCTGCAGCATGGATGCTCCCTTGACACTTAGCTGTAAAAAGGCCACTGCCGACGCCTTGCAAACAAAGCAAATCTAGCCACTGTACCCTAAGGAGCAGTTTGCTGCCGATTCTTGTGGCAAGCATGTAATTGGGGGGCAGCTTTACTTGGGGCAGGGTCTGCCCTGCAGATTGCTATATGGGATGCCATCTATAGGAGTCGTCCAGGGGATAAAACGGCTCCCAGAACTATGGAAACTGCCCACTTCTGAGTTAAATCAATCCACCATCTGACAGCCATTCTCTTCCTTATTTGGAAAAACTTTGGGCTCCAGTATTTACATCATTGTACAGCCTGAAGGCCTTCTTCACATAGCCAACTCTGCCACAGCCACCAATCAGTACTGTGTAGTTGCTCTCTTCTGGCTGTAGGCGCTCTTCTTTCAGCATCTGTATCTCAAAGAGGTTCAGGGCCTCTGCCAGCTAGAAAAGAGAGGGCAACTGTGAGGAAAAAGCAGGGAAAAAGCTACTAGAGTAACACTTTACTCCCATATCCACCCACGCTTTAAGAGTAGCATTTTAGAACTGAATGCAGACACACCTGGACAAATAATAGTTACTACAGATACCCAGAAAGGCAGTTGCCCCCATGGTAAAAGCACTGGATTTCTGATCTTCTCATACAAGACTCAGTCCTGGGCTCCGAAAGTGCACATCTAGGCTAAAGGGGAATCCCAAGGCTGAAGTTTACTGCACTACATTGCACAGGAAGCTGCTTGATGCAAGAGAAACTAGTTGTCCATCTAGACAAGTTCCATCTGTGCTGACCAGTGTAACTTAAGCAACTAAACCAAAGAAAATACAGCGTGAAACAAAATCTAAAATCTGTAAACATAACAAATTTGTGGCATGTTTTTAAAGTTTACGTTATTCTAAAAATCAGTCTTTAAACAAAAATATTCTAGCCCCTAATACAGCCAGAAAGACCATGAAATTAATGTATCCTCACAGCAGTCAACTGCATCTTTGTACAAATTCTCCGTGTGGCCAAAGCAGAACTTGGCAAGATAAAGAAAAATCTGTCTCATTCAAAAGACGATACCATCTTCTCTGGGATGGTGTTATCATACAGGGGGAACAAAGTAAATCCTAGGCATTCAGACCCAGGTTCAGAGTATAGAGGGAAAATGGCGAATAATGTGTCCAATCTGATCTTTTGAATGGCAGATACAAGGATGAATTTGCCTTTACATCTACGTGTATCACTAAGCCCTTCCTTCTATGGCCATGCCATCCCTCTCAGTATTTCTGAAATGAAGAGAGCAGAGAAAATGACCTTATCTTCCTTAATCAATGCCTTGCACTGCAAGAAGTACCAGTATGGAGTGTTCCTGCGACCATGCCAAGGTTTTCGTTCTGGCTCTTCCTCTTCCTTCTCCCCCAGGCTTTGGAGCTTTAAGTTGTAGAAATTTTCTCTCGTTTTACGAAAAAATTGCCTCGAAGAAAATTTCTGAGACAATGTCCCAAAGTCTTCATCCGTATCAGATTTCTCTTGCTCTTCACAGCCTGCTTCAGGGGAGACGGCAGACTGCATTTCTTTAACATCTCCTGCGTGTAACTTGTAAGATCCAGGGGATGAGCTAAAAGGCCTCAAGCTGAGAGATCTGAGCCGACGTGGTGGATTTCTGGACCATATCAGGTGTTTCTTTGGAAGTGTCCACAACCTGCAAGCAGGACACATGCTTGGACAGAAGGAACTTTTCAGGGTGAAAGCTCCTCCAGGTAAGTGTCGGAATATCAGCTGCATAACCGTCATGGTGTCACTTAAGTATGTCACCGGACCAGGCAAACATCTCCTGAAATCCAAATGGAAAAAATGGTTATGGTTCTTAAGTTGAATTGATGTTTAAAATATTGTCCATTAAAAAGGAAACCACCACCAACAAAATCCCAAACAGTTTACACGAAACTTTAGAACAATGGCATATCAACATTAACACAGAGTGCAGCAAATATATATTACAGCAAAAAGCAGCAGAATTATGTGTACAGAAAAGCATAAATACCAAGAAAAACTATTCCCTAACAATTGTACAGAAAAAAACGGGGATTTGAAAAGACTGTGGTGAAAGGTCTCAGTGTCCTCAGGGGTGCACTTGGTCATGAGAGCATCTTCTAGGTGGCTAATTTCATGCTTTGAAGCTCCCCGTCAGTGAAGGCTGGTGCCCTTCTGCTGACAAATTGAAAATCGTTAATTATTCAAGCAAGGCTTTGGTTTGTAAGCAGGACGCTTGGGACCAATGCTGTTTTTATTCTGCTGCTGTTGTGATTTTAAATCGTTTCAAGAGCTGACAGCGGCTGTCAAGGACAAGGCATTTCAAAGAGAAAAATCTGAGATTTGCTGGTGATACTCCAGCCTTCTATTCTCCCTCCCTCAAGTGCTTCAGCTAGCTCGCCATACAATTCTGGGAGGGCAAAGGTCACCTCTGCCAGTTCTGCTTTGCAATAATGCCCCCAAAGCATGAAGTTCTTGGGCTTAGGAGCACTGGGGGCACCATCAGCTGCACACAACTGAGGGCTCCCCTTTCGCACAAAGCCAGGATGCTCCTTGCACAAACAGTAACTAAGAGTTTGTTTTATTGTAAGCCGTCCTGAGACTTTCCGTAATAGGACGGGATAGAAAAACTTTAAGTAAATAAGCAAATGCAGCACAGTTGGGCAGCCGGCTAGACTGGGGCTCCCGGGTTGCTAGTCTCCCCGCCCCAGCCATCAAAGCACACAGAGCGACTTTGGGCCCATCTCTCAGCCTAGTCTACCTTACAGGGCTGTTGTGAGGCCTCGGAGAGAAGAGCCCTATCAGCCGCCTTGTGTCCCTCAGAGAAAGGCAGGATGTCGATATTGTAAAATAATACAAATCAAATCATACAAATTAGCGCCCCCCCCCCCGTGTCGCCTGCTGCCCCATCGGCCCCCGCGCGCCGCCTGCTTTACCGATCCGCATTCCCTGCACGCGCGACCCGTCTCCGTCCCTGGCCCCGCCTCTCCGGGGGGCGGGGCTTCTCCGCGCCGTTTTCCGAGGCGTCGACCCCGCCCCCACATTCGTGAGCACGGATTGGCCTGTTCTCCCCCCCCCTTTCCAACGCTTCATAACGAATCCTCGCCTCGATGGGGCGCCTCGCTTTCATTGGCTGAACCAGGAAGCGGCACGTGACCCTGGCGGCGCTGGCCGCCGTGGTCTTCCTCTTAGCGCCGTGACGCAGCACGTGCATGACGGAGGCGGGGCTTGGCCTCATTGGCTGGAAGTGCGGCGGGCGGGGCAGAGCGTGCGCCGCGAGGTCAGCGGTCGAGGCTCCCAGCGTGCTTCGCGAGGGCGGCTCGGCTCGGATTGGAGGCGCCGGCCGCGCGCGCGCCTCCCCCGCGGCGCCGAGTCCCGCCCCTCCGGGAGCTTCGCCTCGGGTCGCCTCAGGCGTTCCTCGCGGCGCGGGGAGAGCGGCCCCGCGGGAGGCGCGTCCCCTCCCGCTCTTTCCTCGGCGTTTCTGGAACCGCCGCCGGCGCCGCCGGTGCCTCCGCCGCCATCATGCAGGAGCTCATCGCCAGCGTGGATCACATCAAGTTCGACCTGGAGATCGCGGTGGAGCAGCAGCTCGGGGCCCAGCCGCTGCCCTTCCCGGGCATGGACAGTGCGTCGTGAGGGGGCGCGGGAGGCGGGGCGAGGCGGGGCGGGAGGGAGCGCGGACCCACGCGCCGACCCGCCGCCGACCGGGACCCAAGTTCCTTCCTCTTAATGGCTATTCCGTTTCCTTTCGCTCGTTCAGGCGTAGCGCTTTGTATGTTTTGGTAGAAAAAAAGTCCCACAATTCCCATCCTGCCCCAGCTATAGTTGTAGGCTCTTTTCTTAATTAATTTGATTTTTTTTCAAGGTTGGAGGAGCAGTAAAGAAATAAGAGAAGGAAACTCTCATGTTCCTGCTCGCGAATGAAACAGGTCAAACTAAAAAGGAAGGAGGGACAATCTTTCCAAGGATTGCCAAGGATGCTGCAATCCTAATAACACCATTTATTGATTGATTACTTCGAATACCTATTCTCTCTCTCCAACCTGTATTGGTTATTCTCACCGTAGTTTATAGCTGCACAAAAGCACAGCATACTGTAACGTGTAAAAACACCGAAGTTTTAATAAAGCACAAAATTACAGAGACTGGGATATGCGGGGAACTTGGTCTCACTGAAATTAGTAAGCCTTGCTTCAGAGGGAGCAGGTCGCCTTGCAGGCAGTCCTTGAATTGTTTATTCAGAAGTAAGCTCAGTAAAATCACTGAGACTTAATCTCAGGATAGGATGTATAGGATTACAGCCTTAGTGTATAAGGGAGGGTGCTGCATACTGGGAGTTGCAGGATAATTTTTTTTTCCTGTCTAAATAACCATATGGTATCCCCCTAAGCCTAACTGATTTGTCAAAAGAAGATTTTGAACCTAATTTCAGCTCTGCTGAATTTGACCGCCCTACAGTGCGGACCTGAGCATGTTATTTTAGAAGTAAGGCCAGCTTTTCAGTGGGGCTTCTTGCCAGATTTTTATAGGATTGCAGAAGTCCTGGCTTCCACAGTAGCAAGCCGTGTGCAGTAGCTCCATTCTGCTGTTGCTCCGTAGCAAGTGGTACTGAGAGCTAAAGTGATTCTGAACCTGAGAGTTCCTGTAGTCATTGTAATTAGCAGGTGTTAATTTAATTATTAGATTGATATTCTGTCATTTTTCTTAAAAGAACCCAACTCAGCTTACATAATATTCCTCCTGCGCTCTAAGTTTTCTACACAACAACCCTGTGAGGTAGGTTGGGCTGAGAGTCTGTGATTGGCCCAAAGCCTCCCAGTTTGCTGCATGACTTTTGAGTGGGAACTAAGACTCAGATCACTTGAGTCCCACTTCCATGCTCTGATTTCTTATCCATATGTTTTGTGTAATCCCTTTTAAAAATCCTTCTACACTGCTGGCCATCACACTAAACCCCCACCAGATATTTAGCTGCTATTTAAAGAACAGGTAAATATTAAGTTTTTGAAAACCAGCCTGTGTTTATAGTACATGTGGGCTTTCAAGCTATTCCAAACTCTTCCTCAGATTAGGTATAACTAATAAAGAGACTCTTAAAGAGCTGTAGAGATGCTAAGAGCTTCATTGTGTATCTTTTTCTCCACAGAATCGGGTGCTGCTGTCTGTGATTTTTTTTTAAAGGCGGCATGTGGGAAAGGTAAGCTGCAAGTGCAAGTAAGCTATGCTAGGAAAAAGGAGGGGAAAGCTAATTAACAATCCAAGATCCTTCAATCATCATTTTTATTCTGAATCCATTTTTGGCGTATATTTATGTAGTCAGTATATTGGTGCATGTTGCACAGAAAAACATAAGGAAATAGTCAGTTTCCACCCAGAAAAGCTCATAAGCTCAAATGGAAAGGTACAGGGTATAATAGACTGTATAATCAAAGGCCCTACAACTAGACTGGCTGTCCAGTGCTGGGATATCAGAGGAAGGGAGGAGAAATCATGTTCGTGGCAGGAAGAACCCCCCCACCCCCGATATTCTGATTTCCAAGTACTTCAACATTTACGAACATAAAAACCATCGTGGATCAGACTGCATCACAGTGGTCAACCAGCTGCACCACAAGCATCTGTCATCGGTTTTCAAGCTCAGTTTACCATTTCTGAGGTTTTCTTAGGTTTTTCTATTTAGTATAAAAAATTCATCATCCTTTTCATCTAGGAGAACATGCAAGAGGAAAATCTGCATATTACTTGTTCATAATTTATTAGACATTAGCTGAAGATGAGTTGTAGCCCTGCAAGTTAAACATGTTTTTCTTCTGTAAGTGTGACCTAAAACGATCCACCTCCCCACCAGCTTTATTTCTCCCCATAATCCTAAGGCGCTTACTCAGGTACTTCAGGGTTTCTCCCATCTCTCCTCCTCCTGTGCTGTAGGAGGGATGTGCCCCTTCCGGCACATTAGTGGCGAGAAGACGGTGGTTTGCAAGCACTGGCTACGAGGGCTGTGCAAGAAAGGCGATCAGTGTGAATTCTTACATGAATACGACATGACCAAAATGCCAGAGTGCTACTTTTATTCAAAATACGGTAAGAGTAACTATGCTATCTGGTGGAATTACATTGGGATCATGTGAGCTTGGCTTGTCTCTTGTTACTGAGCAAGCCCCTTCAGACCTTTAGGTAATAGCACTTTTAAGTATTCGAAGTGTTTCATAGCCATTGGCTCAGCGATTCGCATTGCAACTTTGTGAATTGAGTTCATTATTACTAATCTTGCCTAAGGCCAACGTGATACGGAATTGGGGACTTAAAAGTGTGCTGCTCAGTTTTTCAACTAATATGCTAGATTATCCTGCAAATGAATACATCTTCTAAAGGAATATTCAATGCTTTGAATTGTAGATCAGGTTATGTGCAATTCTATAATTTCTCTAGCTTTGGATCCCTATTTTTCTGGTTATATCACCAGATAGCTTGGGATTCTGAGTCATTGTGGGCAATAAAACAGAAGGGAACATGAAAGTTAAGGTGGGCAGTAATTTGGGAGAGCCTGAGTGGCATTTATTTATTCTCTTCCTATTTTGGTTTTTTAATTCTGTTAATTTACTTAAAGATTATTATTATTGCTCTTTGTAGTGAATGTTACATTGTATTAGCATTGTTTTATGTGGTTGGATTTTAACATGTTGCAAGCTGCTCAGACAGCCTCTATCTAGTGGGGTGGCATATAAAGTGAATAAATAGTGCTGTCCCTTATGAACTATGGGTGCTGTGATTTTAATAGGCCGAACTTCTGCCAGGCTGTTTTGGATTGAAGTAACTGATTGGTGTGTAATCAGCCTTGTGGTGGAGCCTGAAAGTGCAGGACAATTTAACAACTAACCTTGTTTTCATTGTGAACGAGACTCTTCATGTTTAGCTAGTCAGCCTTGTTCTGTACCTGGTCAGAGATCTTCTGACTTCCAGGATTTAGTAGATTACTTGCCTCTTCTCTGAGTGGGTGAGGCAAGGGGAGGAGGAGGAGGCTGTGGTGTGCGGGAAAGGTATCTGAGTAATTCCTAATGATCTGTAATTAATTCAGGGTTGGGTATCTGCTCCTGATGCTTATCTGTAATATTCTTTCTCTCTTGCTTGGTCCAGTAAAACGTGTGCTTGTCTACTGCAGGAGAATGCAGCAACAAAGAGTGCCCATTCTTGCACATTGACCCAGAATCTAAGATCAAAGATTGCCCTTGGTATGACCGAGGTTTTTGCAAACACGGTATGTATGCAGCATGTTGCTGCCAGTGGTTAAATTCTTGTGCCAGTACCTTTGCTGGCCGCTGACTTCTGTCTGCCTTGAAACAGTAATGCTAAGTGTAACATCTTGCAGTATGGTAAGATTCTGAGCCTGATTGCTGGCTGCTTTGAGAACTTGTCTTTGCTACTGAAAATTCTTTTACTTGTAGTTAGGGACAAGTGTCTGAAAATTGTAATCCCTGCTTTTTGGAAGCTTAGAATCTATAGGTGGTTCTGTGTTGTTCTGCTGAGTTCATGCATGGAGGGTAGTAAGTTTTTTGCGCCCTGCACGGTTCCGGTATTTGTATTTAAGTGATGTGATCAATGAGCTCTGTGTTGCTAGGTCCCCTCTGCAGACACAGGCACACACGTCGTGTGATTTGCGTGAATTACCTGGTGGGTTTCTGTCCAGAGGGGCCAGCTTGCAAATTCATGCAGTAAGTACGGTCTACGGTTATTTCTGTTACCCTAAGCATCCCCTCTAAACCTTACGTGTTAATGTCCTCTGATCCTATACTGGCATCTATACATTCCCATTCCACCCCTGGCAAGAACTTCGTAACTGCTCCTCCAAAACACTTTCTTATTAATGTCGTTTCTGTATGTGAACAGCAAATACAGACTGGAATTCTTTTCCATGTTGCAAGGCAACTTTTGATGCTCTAAGGGTTGGTGGTCCCGGGAGGAAATATTTTAATCAGTGGTTCAAGGGTGAGTTTGGCTTTCGTATGCTTTCTTATCCGTACCAATATTCTTTCAACTAGCCCTCGATTTGAACTCCCCATGGGAACCACGGAGCAACCACCACTGCCTCCACCAACACAGCCACAACAAAAGGTATGGAACTTCTCGAAATCCAACCCAGGTTCTAAGTGTCACAGGGTTGCAAAGCTCATCTGTGCATTATTTCTTGTGGCCAAACAGAAAAACACTAACTGCAGTGGGTCTGTTCCACTATTTAAACACAAGTCTCTTGTGATGCTCCAAATATTCTAGCCCCTCTCCCTTTGTCCTGTCATTCAGAGCTGTGGGTGGGACGGCTTTCTGGGTGGTGTGATGCTTGGATCTTCCTGTTTGCTCTTAAGTCAGTTTAGCAGGAAAATCCTGTTGCAGCCTTACTCCCTTAGAATGCTGCGGCACAAGAAGATCCTGGGGGAACAGAATGATGGACATATCCAATGGTGAAGCATATTCTTTTAGACTCATTCCACCCACGCCGACACACTGGTGTGTTTTGGTCTACAGTCTGGTAGCCCCATATTAATCCAAAGCCAGAGGGCGGATTCTTTCTGTTGCATTTGGAAAGCCTTGGCCCCGACAAATCTAATTGAGGGAGGTTGCATTTTGGGCACGATTTGCTAGATTTAAATCCTTCCTTGCGTAGCATTAGGATGGTGTGTTGTTCTAGCCTTTGATGCCAGAATAACTGCCGATGGAAATGCCTGGATTAAGGATGAGGTCTTTTGGATTCTCATGTCTTGATACTCAAACTAGCAGAGAACATTGCCTCTGGATTTATCGTTTGGTGTGTGGGCTGTTCTTTTCTCCCCCTCGCCTCAGCAAAACAACAATCCTCCATTACAAAGATCATCATCCCTCATCCAATTAACAAGTCAGAACTCTTCTCCTAACCAACAGAGGACCCCACAGGTCATTGGAGTTATGCAGTCTCAAAACAACAGCATAGCGAACAGAGGTCCTCGGCCCTTGGAGCAGGTCACCTGCTATAAGGTAAGCTGAAGGCTGCATGTTGGTAGGGGAAAGAGTTGCGCTGGGATCTTGCATCATAAATCCTGAGTTCTGGCAGTGGAATAATAAACTATATCTTGAACATCTTCGTAATTTAATTTTTATCCCTCCATCTAATTGCATTGTGTTAATATTTGGGGATTGTTCTTTTTCTAGCAGATATGTGGGGACCTATGGTACTTTTTCAGAATTGTTATAAAGCACCTCAAATTTCCAAACACTTGCCCAAGATTTTTTAAAAAAGCATAATTCTTGTCTTCAGGACTACAGTCTAACTAATAATGTGGAAGTGGATAAGTGAGGGCTAATGAGACGTGTTGGAAGCTATATTGAATAAAGAAATCTGTCTGCTTTGGGAACATAGTGAACTTTTGTAGAAATGGTTCATATAATGCAACCATCTCTCTGGGAGTTGCTATTATGCCACCAAATTTAGCCATTTTGAGGCAGAAATTAATTAATTATTCTGATTAAAGCAATATGCCCAGATGCAAATAGATACTATCTTTTTGTTCAGGTGAAAACAATAGAGTGTCATTCCTAAAGAACAGAAGGTTAAAAATCACTACCACCTATATGCTACATGGACAGCAAGGTTACCACTGCGAAATCAGCTCTTTTCACTTTCAGTTACGAGAAGCTGATTTTGATGGGAGTGGGGATTGTTTTAAATCTGAGAGAAATGTCGAGTTTGCCATCAGCTTGTTATTGCACACTCCCACTGTTTGCCATTTCGAGTGCAGGTGTTTTAACCTATAGACTTCCAAACTGGGACTAATTTATGGGGACAAAAGGATTTGTTCTCTATTTTGGATGCCCATGATAACTTTCCAGGTGACATTTATAACCACATGTATTTTAATAGTGTCATGCTTTTTCTCTCCCCCGCACAGTGTGGTGAAAAAGGACATTATGCCAACAGATGTACCAAAGGACATTTGGCCTTCCTTATTGGACAGTGAGCCAGAAGACCGTATGGCACTTTTATTATTATGGGAGCCGAGTTATGCTGAGCGCCATCTTGAACTGGTGATCCACCTTTTTAAATGCGTATAACCAAAAGGGCCTGGCCAACTGGGGACTACTGATCAACGTTTTTGGCATTTCATTATTTGTTTTACTCTTTTCGAGACAGTGGTGCCTGCCTTCATTCCAAGAATGCAGTGAGGAAGCAGGTCGAAGACAAATGTGAATATACAAGCCTTCTTTAATGCAATATTTGGAATAGGCACTTTTGTACTAATACACTTGGCCTTGAAGTCTTTATTTTTTGTTAATCTTTGGCTACAGCAGAAGATGAGAAATATTAGTATGTGGTACACTGCACAGCTGTGCTCTTCAGGGTCTGGTGCAAGGGTTTTTTTGGTACATCAGGTGAAAAACGGTTGCCTGACTTGTCTATTTTTGTGTTTTGGCGGGGCAGGATCTGGTCTTAGGATGGGCGTGTTGAATTTGCATCTGTACGTAGGTAGAGAACTAATCTCTCAGTGAATCAAGTGTGAACAGTGAAGGAGCTGCTTCCGTATTTTTTCGTACGCAGTCATGGTCACTGCTAAAGCAGATGTCTATGATGACATGCAGTGTTTCGTAAGGCATTTCCATGCTGCCAAGGAACTCGGGCCAGACTGAGCCCTTTGCAGTGTTACACAATTGAAATTGTGAAGGGGATGCGTGTTGTGCTGCCACCCCCATTGGCCAGGGAGTTCTGGTCTCACACGGCTTATTCAGGATGCTTAGTCCATTAAAATTCTTTAAGTGCTGAGTGTCATCTTGTGGAGCGAATTGCCATTCTCTAGCAAGAGGCATTTACCCTTGTGAAGGGCTGTCATCAGTTACAGTCTTTCCTATTTCATGCACTGGACTTCGCTTTGTTGGGCTGACAGCGGCAGATGGGTATTACCTGTAAACTAAATTTATGATGATGTAAATCAGTGGGATCTGATCACCTTTAGTTCCCTGTGTCATTTAACCACATTTCCAACACACCGACCTTTACTTTTGAGGAAGCATGCCTTGGGTTTGTGTTAGAAAGTCCTTCTAGCAGCATGGCAGGCTCCCGTTTGTTCCAGAAATCTTTTATCACCGTGTGCAGCTGCTGGGGGAAAATCCAGGGTGGGAACTGCCTATTTCTGGATTAAGCAAGAGTGGGGAATGATTGTAACAGAACTGCAGGCCCCAGCACCCCAGGAAAGCTAAGGTGTTTGGAAAGGATGGAGCACTTGTTTAAATAGGAGTCTGTACTTGCATTTCATCCTGTCCCATCAAGGGTGCTGGGGACCACCTGAGTGGCAGCTTCGGGAAATATTCACTGACTAGATGCAGCTAGCATTCTGTGAACTGGTAATGCTGGAATAATCTCTTCAGTCATTTGTGTTTACTCTGGAATAAGTACTGCTACAAATGCGCTCTCACCTTGCAGCATTCAAATTAGTTCCACAAGTTACTCTGACAGTAAATACTTTATTGATCTTGGAATACACTTAAAGTTCTAGAAACAATTCCACTTTTAAGAGCTGGGTGAAGAGATCTTCAGTTGAAGCATTTGTCCACCACCAGTCAAAGGGTTTCTGAATTGTATTCTTCTGGTCCATTGGGTCTCAGTGATACTTTCTCCAGCGGTCATGCTCTGAATAAACAAAACTAGTTAGTTGCTAGAGCTGAACAATCCTTTGGATATTCCTGTATATGGAATATAGCCTTTTCATTAGCCCAATTTTCTGTGCTTTATGCTTTCCCATTCAGAACAAGTCACAGCAGCTGCGAGAAAGAGTGCATGCCAGCAGTGAAGAAAACCGCTGTGGGTTCTTAAACGAATTCCTGGAATATGTTCATTTCACCTGGCATGTAAATAACCGTATGGACCTCAAACGGCCTATGCATGATACAAACCATGTAGCAGCAGCCATTAGGTAGCCACACTGGACTGGAGGCAGCTCATCTAGGCCACGGTCCCTGTTTTCAACCGCAGTCCGAATGTATCCTTGCAAGACAGCTTCCATATTGCGCCTACTGCAAAGGTGCTCGGGGACACGCTCTGTCCAGAAAAGTTCTACTGCTGGCACACTTCTGCACCTACAGAGTATGTTCTGCCCCTAGAAAACTGTTACTGGCACAGATGTAACCTGTCTCAAGACAGGGCAGGGCCTATTTGAGGGTCCCACCCCCCCACTTCAAGGCTCATGCTAAAGTGCACGCCTTACCAGTGCATTCAGGATTATCTTTCTTCTGAGCTTTATTTAGTCCTGGCTTTCAGGCATACAATATAAGTGTTTGTTTGTTTGTATTTATTTATTTATTAAAACATTTTTATGCTGCCCCATTCGCCGAAGCCTCGGGGCGGCTCACATCATTAAGTTAAAATAATTATAATATAAATTAAAAATATAAATATTAAATTAAAATACAACAATACAGTATAAAATAAGCCGCCCTGGCCAGATAAAACCAATAATGTTAACAGTTAAAATGCCGCTTGAATAAAAAGGTCTTCGCCTTGCGCCGAAAAGCAAATAACGACGGCGCCAGGCGGACCTCTCTGGGGAGCGCGTTCCATAACTTAGGCGCCACCGCAGAGAAAGCCCTCCTCCGGGTACCCACCCTCCTAATTTCTTTCTTTCAGTTTACTCACTAATGTGCTCGTAACTCCAGATGTAGCTGAGGACCACATAAGCGGTGAGTGGCATGGCGATGCCGCCAATGCCTCCTTTCCTCACGTTGATGTACTTCTTGTAGTATCTGTCATAACCTAGTGAAGTGCAGAAGTAACCTCAGCTTCAAACATTACTTTTCTTGAGTAAAGCTGCTGCAGACAATACTTGAGAGACATGCAGAACAACTATGGCAAACATTCACTACATTTTAATTTGTCCAATAACGTTCATTCTACAGTTTACAAAGCTAGAAGAGTAAAACAGCACAATGCATTGTGGCTGTTCCTATTTAGGGACTATGGACGATGCTGCCTATTGCTGACTGGAACTGTAAGCCGAAAACACTTTGATCATCCCTCCTGTACCACCCGCTTAGGGCTTTTAAGTCAACATCAGCTCTGCACTGAGCACAGAGACTGGCTAGAATCCAATACAGCTGCCACACGATCATTTTGGCTAAGAGCGTAGCGGCTTCCGTTCAAAGTAACTGACATTTCTCAACCATCTTCAAAGGTAGCCTAAGAGCTCAATGGAGGATGGGTAAGTTGTCAGCAGGTCATCTTCCTGTTCAGACAAGGTCACGGCTGCAGCACCCAGAAGCTGCAAACCTGGTTTTTTGAGCAGAATGCAAGTCCTTGCAGAACATCACTCCACTGGACACCAACACATCTCCCTCATGTCTGGCGAGAACAGCGGAAAACCTCATCCTATGGATGGATGATAGAGAGTAAGTTCCTCTGAACTTCTCAACACGTGTTCTCTGTGTATATTATGTTATGCATCAGGACGTTTTCACCATCCAGCTAACAGCTGATCAGCCTTCAGAATGAAAAAGGCCACATTTCAAAAACGGGGAAAGAGTTCCCATGCAATTCTAGTTCTGTGTGAGACTGAGAAGAGGACTTCTATTCAATCCCTTCTCATCTGCAGTTAGGATCCCAGATAACTAGGCTGGGAAAGCTCTGCAGAAATGTCTCAGAACTGCTGACCATGATTCCAATGCAAATTACTCCAGAATAATAATTCAAAGGATTTGGCTGCAAGGTTGGAAGCTCAGTCTTAAGCTTCTGCACTCAGGAGTTGTGCTGAATTCAGTGGCATTCTTTGACCTGGTAATACAAGGGCACCACAACTACGGAGAATTTCAAACCCTCCTTTTTATATCGCAAAGCCTTTTTTCATGGCAGACCAATGTATTTCTACAGAATTGGGAACCTGTTCTGATGTCTACAGTCTATAGATGCCATAGTGGCCTATAGATTCTAAAGCACTGGTTATTGACAAGGAAATATCTTTCAAGAGATAAAACAGAAAATTGCTATAGTTCTAGAGAAAAATCTAGAAATATGCACCCCAAGGATGGGGAGCACCCCAATACTCACCTGCACGAATACCTCCCAGAAACCCATTTGGTGTATAATCCCGTGTTGCTAACCAGGCTGGCATCTGCCCCAATTTTACATCCAGAAGCCTCTTATCTTTAATGGGAACTGAAAATAGACAACCAGATATGGGGGGATGACATCATTTTCTCGAGGAAGTTCAGTCGAATTGTTACCACATTTTAATCCTAGCCCTTTTCCAAGGAGTTCAGAGCAGCACGGAAAGGTCCCTAACCAACCACAGAGTGCAATGACCATCTGGAGGACCGCACATTAACCAGTCTTTTAAAAACTGCACATTATCCCACCGCGCGCAAAGCGGGCGGGCTGGCGTAGGCTGAATGAACCCCCCCCCCCCCGGCGCCACATTTGGAGGACACGGGAGGACGCGCCTTCCTCTCCTCCCGGAAACCAGGACAGGGCGCAGTCGGGGCGCTTGAGCCCCGCAGGAAGAGGCCGGGCTCCCCCTCGCGCGCCGGGTCACCTTGGCGCCTTCCCTCGCCAAGCAGCCGCCTACCTGGTCGGTCCGCCATCTTGCCGCTGCCAAGGAGGATCCGGCGCTGCGCTCGCGAGGCCTCCTGCGAGAAGACCGCGCGCGCGGAGGCTCACGGGAGGAAGGGCGTCCTCCCCGGCGGCCGGCATGGCGAGCGGGTCTGGCGGAGGGCGGGGCGGGCCCGTGCCTTCCTCCGCCCGGCCGGGCGTCGCCGTGGCTGCCGTTGCCTTCAGCGGGCGGGGCTCGCGAGCAGGCGCGGATCCGCGTGCGCCCGCATTTGCGCGGGACGGGCCGCCGAGGTGCGCGGGCCGCGTGGGCAGGCAGCAACCCCGCGGCGCGCCGGGGCCCCCCGTCCGTGGCGGCTTTCCTTCTCAGCGGCGCGGGAGCGATCCCCGCTGCTCCGCGGGGCGGCAGCCGGGGGGCCCCAGCACCGCGGACAGCGCCTGCCCGGCGCGGGCGCGATGCCGAAGCAGCCGCGCCCGAGCACGTGCGTTTCGTGCGCGTTTTGCATTTCCCTGAAGAATCGCCGGAGGGACTGACTATGGATAAAGGTTTTTTGCGGGCGGTGTTGCTCGTGGCAAACACCTCCGCGCAGCGCTCTTTCCCCGCATACGTACAAGTGTGTTCAATAAGCAAATAATTTTTTTGCCCGCGCAAGAAATGATTAAAGGTGTGTTACTAGGCAGGTTTAGCCAGAAAAAAGGCTCATAATTTCTAACATGGTGGGAGTTGTCAGCTCAGCCCTTCTTTTGCTTTTGTTAAAGCATGCTTAGAAGTGCACACGGATTTAAAGGTTTTATCATTCTTTTTAGGGCTGGTTACATGGTTTTAGGGTTTCTCCCCCAATTTGCTGTTTCTTCAGTGCCTCTTATTTTCATGATCGTTGATGGACTGTTATTGTATTTTAAAGCTACCTAAGTGGTTTTAAAGCTACCTAAGTGCTGAGAGCTCTGAAGCGGTAGGGTATTAATATTTATATGAACAGACATAATAACTCTTTCGTTTTACTTTTCCAAAGTGCTGCGTAGTATAAGACCATTGCCACATAAAGCCATTACAGCCTTGAAACAAAACATCATTACAACCATTAAAATAAATAAAACTCGTGGAAATGAATTAGTCCACCTTCAACAAAGAAAACAAAGGGAAGGATGTTTGTTTTATCGGCCATAATACATTCAAAAGTTCCTTTTCCATGTTTCCAACTCACATCAGAATATACAGGGAGGAAGTTTCATTTTTCCAAACTGGCAAGGTTTCCAACTAAAGACTGTTTAAAAAAAAAAAAGATATTGCTCAGTTGGAAAAATGCAGAAAATGGCAAGTAAAGGCAGAATCCTACATATAGACAAACACTTCCCATACATAGCATTGCACCTTAAAATGGCCAAGTGGCTGAAGCAATTCCCCAGAGAGGAAAGTTTCCAACTGGTAGGATTGTTTTGCTGGTATTTGCAGAATAACACAAGACACGACTGAGGTGTACCAAAAGAAATGCTTGATGTGGAAAGGGAGGCATTTTCTCCTTCTCCCATAATGCGAGAACCAAATGGGTCACTGGATGAAGCTGATGGGTGAAGAATCAGGAGTATCTCTCCTTCTCTACACAGGAAGAGAGAAGACAAGAAGGGAGGCTTTCTCTGCTCAGCATCTTGTTAAATTGTGGAATTTGCTTCCATAGGATGAAGCAACAGCCATGAAGTTGGATGGTTTTAAGAGAGGACTGGACATATCCCTGAAAGAGATATTCATGAGTATCTGTCATTTCCAGAATGCTGGTGTACACCAGTTGCTGGGGAAGATGGGGGGGGGGGAGTGCTGTTGTACTCCTGGATTCCTTGGATTGAACATAATCCTGGGCTAGAGATCCCGGGTCCGATTCCACATTGGGGCTCATCTTATCTTCATAAGGTCTTTGTGATGAAGTGTGTCATTTGATCCAATGGAAACTATTTTGTTTTGAGTTGCTGATGGCTGCTTGGGTAACTCATTAGAAGATGAAAAGTGGAATATTAAAAATCAAAATGCTTACATTATAAAGAAACCCCCTTTTACCTATGGAGAATCTCATGTGGTCTCTCTGGGCCCAGGCAGCTTCTGTAAAGTAGACCCGAACTTGCTCAGTTGCAAACAGAAGCAAATGCCGGCCATTCGTAAGTGACTGTAACGGGATGAAACTGTTATATCTCTTTGACAAGCAGAAACAAATCCAGCAGATGTCAGTCTTGTTGTTTAGCAAAGCTGCCTACTCAGAAATAATGGCTAAAATTACTCTTGCCTATAGAACAGGCTTGTAAAAAGGGGTTATTTATTTATCAAGACTGAAAGCAAAAGCAATGCAGCAATAAATATGTTCTTAGGCAGGTCCTGCTAAGTGGTTGAGGAAGGTTGGAGACTTGGAGGAGATGCTAAAATCTCTTTCCAGCATGGAATAAAGTTTTCCCCATCATTCAGGGGCTTCTGAGCAGTTTGGGCCCAAGAGTCCTTCGGAGAGCAAGGGACGGGAGCCACCCAAAACGTGACGCTCTCCTCTGGCATCACAATCCCACTTGTGCACTGATGTTACTTGGTGCTAAAGGAGACGCACTCTGTACATGTTCAGAAGCTTGCAACTGAGAATAAATAAAGACTGTATACAACTGGGTACTGGGAGAAGTCTTCCATATCAGAGCTTCCTAGGTTTGGCCCTAGAACCTAGACAGTTGGGGGGTTGTTCAAAAGTATATTTAAAACATACTTTTGAATGTTTTAATTATGTAGATTTTAATATTGTGTGTCATCTCGCATCCCAGTATCTGGGAACAGGTGGGGTATAAATAAATATAACGATGGTGATGTTTGGAGAGGTGAAATCCTTGTATGGCCTGAGATCTAATAGGCACATGTTGCTCCTAAACGGTTTAGTGCGGCATCTTTAACACAAAAGGACTTGCAGGTGAAGTCTGTGGCCAGATTAAAGCAGGTAACCCCCTTGCCTTAGGGTGGCTCTCTTTGTGGGTGGCCACAGCACTTGTGTCTTTTAATGGTGACTTTTTACAGCCTCTTCATATGTGGATTTTAGCCTGAGATAAAGTTGATCTCCATGCTATGAAGAACTTCAGCTGCTGCCTTCTGCTGATCAAGGTACCAGAACAAATCATGCTTTTTGTTTTCTGCTAGATAGCAAACCCAGATTTCTGCTATGCACAACCATTGATCTATTGCAGGAGGAAAGAGCTGTATGGTAGAGTGGTTATCCTATAAACAAACAAACAGCATATAGTATTGGAGCAAGGACTGCCAAGATCAAGTTCAAAGGTAGTCACTATCTCTTAGCCAAGCCTTCTACACAGGGTGGGAGAAACTCTGTATGCTGCTTTGAATTTTGGGAGGAAAAGGGATATATATATATGTCATCATGTTGTGGAAAGATGATTGTGTAAAACTTAAAAGGAAGGAAGGTTTCCTGTCTTTGACCAGGCAAAGAATGGTTCCTCCCTAGCAGTAGAAGTGAGACTTACATATCTTCTTTTTCTCTGTGCTAAGCTGCTGCAGCCATTCTGAAAAGCCTAACGGAGATGGGATCAAGTGGAAAGTGTTGTCAAAAGCTGAAAAGTATTATTATTTGTTAACTGACTTGTATGTTTCATGACTGCCTAGATAGCCTAAGATAATGACTGGGTTTCTAGCTGCTTAATAAGCAAGTTGGTAGAACAGTCAAGCCCTGATTACGTACATTTCACCAGCTTCAGCCCCGTCAGAGCCTTTTATAGTTAGACCTTAATGCTGGTTTCTAAACTCAGCTTGTTCATTTCGCTGGATATAAGGAACTGAGGAAAGCATGCACAACTTTAAACTTGGTTCATTTCACTCTGTTGGGGATTTATATTCCATAAACAAACAAACAAACAAAAACGTGAATGAAGTGGTAGAAAGACACCAGAGGGCCTATGGGTGGAAAACAGTCCAGCAACTACTGTCTGTTTTCTTTTTCCCCGTTTTTTTCTTTTTAGGGAATTAGCAAGAGAGATGGCATGATAACATCCTTGTCTGAGAACACCCTGTGATTTCCAAAATAGCATGGGGGGGCCAGGATTCCCTACAGGAAAATTTGCTGAGTGCTTTGGCTGTTCTGCAAAAAGAGTCGCTGCAAATCCTCTGCTGAAAGGGCCATCTGTTCCCATTCCCTTTTAAAGAACCATAAGGACAGCTCTCTGCCAGCACTTTGCACATGCCCAGTAGACAGAAAAGGCAGGTACACAAGCCTTCTGCACTATGTTGAGACGGACTGTATTTCTATGTGGTTTATAATCATTTCTAAATTTGCAGTTCTGCATATTGTTGGGAAAATTCAGATAAATCCTGGCAGAAAAGGGTTGCTTATGTGCCTTTGTGCTCTAAAATGCCTGCACCCCTTTCTCAAGGAAGCACCCAAAAAGTCCAAGCCGGGTTACTGTTGGGCATTTGCTGTTACTTTTAGAAGTGGGGCCTGGTGGCTTCCCCAAGAAGCTGCCAGGGCTGCTGTTCTGCTGATCAGTAAGAACTGGTCGGGCTGCCAGGTTAACAGCATCGCAATCACCCTCATTTGCATGCCAAGGCTCACAATAATCCCAGGATCATGAAGTTAATACCCTGCAATCAAAGGCCATTGTGTTGCGCCCGCTCTGCAGAGCTCTCACCTTCTTTTGACTGTGTTCCCCTTGTTTTGCCATCAACTGCCCAACTGCTGAGCCCATGCGTCTCAGAAACTATAAAATACTCTGTATATGTTCTAAAAGCTTGTAGCTGGCGGTGCAGACCACTCCCGGTCACACGCTGTCGTAAGTAACTGCAGGGGGCCTGGGTGATCTTTCAATAAAACTGCGGAGGTTTGAGGCGAAAAGGGTCTTTCCTGACCAAACCCGGTTTTCTATGCTGCTGCCATTGCGGCTTTCCCAACTATATCAATCAGTATATGCACATTTAACGGAAATTTGTCTCCCCTTGTTTTTTGACGGTGTACATCCTCCTGTGTGACTCCGTTAGTCACCATCGTCGTGCACCTGCAGAGATACACTTCGCACGCGTGTCGCTCAAGCTCGCTCTGGTTCCCACAAGGCAGCCGTCTCTGCTCAGGCGTCCCATGGCAAACCCACAAAAGTTCTTTCGTGGCAGGCAGGTTGACCGGTGCT